CGGACGGAAAGCCCGCCTCATCAGCGCCTTGATTTCATGAGATATTTTCTTTTTGGGGAGTCCCCCGGCGGGCTTGCGTCCGAAATGTGGTGGATCCGCTTATTTGCGAATTAAACACGATTGATACAACCTCCAAAAAGATTATGGCGCCATGACTTTTTATCACTTTCCCGGGTTTCTAACCTTCCCGTATACTGTTACTTGGTTCCTTGATCCTTGCTAGAGTTGTCTGGTGGAGACGCAAAGTAAAGCGTAGGGTATGGTGTTGGTGTGAACACAGCATTCATGAGTGATGGTCTAAATCTACAATACATTTGATCTGTACCAACATGTATCTATCCCATGCTCTAGGCCTTCAAGCCCATTTACACGTTGCCGAACGTCATCTAACCGTGAACGTGTGGAGTTGTTTAGTGGTGGCAATGGCCGAATATATGTGTGTACCGTTTTAGTGTGGCTGCTCGTGGATATATATCTAACCTACGTGTAGTGTAGCCACTAGGATTCTCTCGGTAATAGCCTCGAATAAACTACAACGTTGGCCTCGTTTTTGCATGAGTCAGTTAGTCTATATCGACAAAGACGCACATGAAGGTCTATCATCCCTTTGGTCTTCCGGGAATTAAGGATTGGAAAACTTTGAGGATCGAGAGAAAAGTGCAGAATGAAAAGTAGGTAAAAGAATCGGATTAATTGTCACTTGTATGCTTGCAGATCGGTTTTAGACGTAAATATATATCAACGTAACCCTTATGGTTCGTAAGGTTTATACATCTAGTCCAATCATAGATTAAGATATTCTACACTACTACTGGCATTCGATCATATCTATATACTAGGCAAAGCTCAATCACAAAGCAAGATGAGCGGGAGTCCAACGTAGCGGCTACTCATAAACATTGGAAGTCATAAAACTTAGTTCCTTTTATTCATTACTCCTGCGTATCGATCGTCAAAGTAAACCCTCGGGTATCGTTCGGGCAAATGTCCCTCAAAAGATCTTTTATTGATTTTCACGAGCTGTGACACAACTGCCTAAGCCAACTACAGCTTAGAAGCTGATATCTTCTTTGCGGTAGTGGTCTGAGACAATGCGGTACAGGTATGATGGAGCATGGCCGCCGCTGGGGTAGGAAAACAAGGTTAGCTTTATGAAGTGAGATAAGCGAGTGGGATGGGTGCTTGAAACTTACAGGTTAGTGATGTAAAGATCGACGAGCTCTGCGGGAACGTAGTCATAGATGGGGTTTTGAACATCGATTAGGTCGACGAGATCACCTTCCTCGTATGGGAGGACCTTGCTCGGGTCACCATATTCAATGAGCGAGTCGAAGTCGAATGGGTAGACTGGGCTGAGCTTGTAAACACCGCTCACGACCACGACGGGGGTCTGGTGAACCTTGGCGGCACGGGCGATGACACGGGTGCCAGCTGCGGCGACAAGGCCGCCGTTGGCGAGGACGGAATGTGTTCCGAGAATGACCTTGTTGACTCGTGACATGAGAGCGAAGACGGCAGAGTCTGGGATGAGGATGACGGTGATGCCGTGCTCGATCAGTGGCTTCTGGAAAGCCTCCAAGCCGATGTTGTCATCGTCAGTGACAGCGCTACCGCTGACGGTGGCGTGTGTGTCCTCATGGTTATTCGGGTACGACTCGGCATGGATGACGGTAAACTTGCGCTTTGCGGCGGCCTTGAGCAGGAATTTTTGGACAGTGGTCGAGGATGTGTGGGTGAGGATGATTTCGTTAGAGTGAATGTGGTCCAGTGCATAAGCGGCGATCTGATCGTCGACCTGGCCGAGCTCATCAATGATCTCGCCAATACCTTCCAGCACTTCAGCTCGGACGTCTTTGCTTGGACCGTGGCCAGGGAGGCGTCCGTTTGGAGAGGAGGATCCCGGGGTGCTGGGAAGTGAGTGCTCGGGTTCGGGATGGGAGAGAAGGCTGAACATAGAGGTCAGAGGGGGGCGAGAGGACCTTTCATCGGACCGGAAGGAGGGCGAGTCGCGATCCAAAGGCAATGATGGATCTATGAATCTATGAGTCACTGCGTTGATATTTGGACCAAAACTTGGGACCCACCGTCATAAGCCCGGGGTGTTTGGGGCTGACTCTCTGAGCCAATATCGCTAAGGGCGAACTCAGCGTCGCGATCATCTTCCGCTTCGTCGCGAATAAGACCTAGGACCCGGCGCACGATATTGCCCACAACCATCTCGCGCGGTTGCGCAGCCATTAGTCGCCTACCCACACTCTGCACCCGCTCAATAAGCTTTGCTGAATCTGTTGTGCGGCATGCAGAGATAACGCTTCGTAGCAAATAGGCGGTTGCTGTAGCACATGATCGCGAATGGCGGATTTGACGTCGCTTGAGCAATCTGATTGAAATATACTATGTTAGCGAGTTTGATCGTCGGTAAGAGTAGCCGTCATGACAAGGAGTCTGGAAATACGTACGAAATCAGAGTCTCAATAGAGGTATCAATCGGGTTTGTCTTGAGGCACTTGAGGAATGACCCCAGGCCCGGCGTCAGGGCCAACGAGGAAGACGGCATGAGGAAGTGGGATGTTGGGAGGAAGTCTACGCGGTGTCAGCGGGGGTTCGGCGACAGAAGTATGCAGTGTCGAGTAATAGACATACCAAGTTTCAGATCCAGATCACACCGAGTATGTAAATAGAGCGTTGAGCAAGAGATTCTCAGATTCTCACACGCAGAGCCAGAGAGTGGGAGAGACAAAGAATGATTTTCTGCCGTTCGATCTTGTCCGCTTCCCCACACTCATTGATCCTCGCTCTATTGTCTCGGCTTCGGCTTTCTTATTGGTGTTTTGCCAGTTTTTGGATTTTGATTATTTCATTTCCGTTTTTGGATTGCTTTTTGTCGGCTTCGAAACTTGTGGTATAAAATCAGATTGGAGTTGCGGAAGTACTTCCGAGGCACGGGTGACTTGGCGCATTGAGGTTAGAACAAGCTTACACCTCCTTGAGATCCCCCTCTTTCCTTCAGACTGCCATCACATCCCTACACACTCATCTCATGGACCGCTTTAAGTGGCTTTGATGAGTAACTCACGATCCGTTTGTCAATAGATCGCTGCGCCCCTGTCTCCCGTGACGCCTTGAGGAAGATGAACTCACTGAATATCCTGTCCTCGCGAGTCATTGGCCAATCTTCCAGCTCTTCACGCCACAGATCGCAGTCCCAAAGTGATAGCAAACGTGCATCTCCACCGTCAGACCTCTCGAAAGTCCGGTCTTATAGCGAAGATAATTTTCGGTCCCTTGACCCCACTGAAAAGAGCTACGACGATAGACCGCCCGTGGACGAAGATGGAGAGGAGGATGGTACATATGACTCGGACGAGAAGACCCCGTTACTGCATGAACCCCACAAGAATGGCACGCTCACTGCTCGAAGTACTTGGCGACTGATTTCCCAACGGTTTTTCGATGCGATCACGGAAACGATCAAGTTCATTTTGTCTACGTTTGCTGCACCCGGTGTGTATTTGGCTCAATGCTTTCAGACCGACGATGGCCACTACTCGCTTCTTGCACCTGTCCGGAAATTGCGACGCTCCCCATCCGACCAAGCCATCCGGTCGGCTAAAGGGGCCATCCGGGTAGAAGGTCGGCGTCGTAGTGGCTCCACCCGGAAGCTCCGACCTCAAGGCTCTCACGAATCCATTGTATCAACAACGTCAGAGTCCGACACAGATCGACGGTATACCAAGAATCTTTCAAGTGGGAGGAACCGACCTACCAAGACGAAAGGCCGCGATGCAGATTCAATCCCAGAAGGGACGGAGCATGAGCACACGCCCCGTCGGTCTATACGAATCAAGCTCCATAATGAAGAATCTCTCAAGCGGCAGAGACAACGAAGATCCCAGAGTGCAGACTTAGGACATCCAATGCCCGAGGGTGTCTCTCGTGTCCAAGGGGCTGTCCACCTGGACAGCTTAAAGTCCCCAACCTCTCCCAACATCCACCGCATAACAAAGTACCCACACTCTCCAACTCCACCACGCCCACTCCTCCCGTCACGAGTACCTTCATATACTGCAGCTCCGCGCAATGCCAGACCTCCGCAGAAGACCTTGGTGCTGGATCTCGATGAGACCCTGATCCACTCGCTCGCCAAGGGTGGCCGGATGTCCAGTGGTCACATGGTCGAGGTTAAACTCTCGATACCCACGACTGCTTCATTGTCCCCGGGCGGACCGCAAACGACACTGGGCCCTCAGCATCCCATTCTGTACTACGTTCATAAACGACCACACTGCGATGAGTTCCTGCGCAAGGTCAGCAAGTGGTATAAGCTCGTCATCTTCACAGCCAGTGTTCAAGAGTATGCCGACCCTGTCATCGACTGGCTCGAGCAGGAACGAAAGTATTTCCAAGGCCGCTTATACCGACAGCATTGCACATTTCGTAACGGGGCATACATCAAGGACCTGAGTTCCGTGGAACCGGATCTAAGCAAGGTGATGATTTTGGACAATAGCCCGATGAGTTATATTTTCCACGAAGGTAATTTAGTTTTATCTATTTGGGTGCGCTTAGACTAATAATCATCGCTAGATAATGCGATTCCGATTGAAGGCTGGATCAACGACCCTACGGACAACGGTCTGCTCCACTTGATTCCCATGCTCGAAGCTCTACAATATGTGACGGATATCCGGGCTTTGTTGGCACTTCGCCGCGGTGAAATCGAGTCATGATCGTTATCCACATTTGTGTCCATGAATGTGCGCATCTAGGTGTATAAGGGGGGTTTTTTTTAGAAGCGATATGCAACCTTTCAACCTGAAAACAGAAAAAAAAAAAGATATCACGGAGCAATGGAGGGAATTGGAGACCAACCGACACGATCATGCAAGCGCAGTTATTCATAATGGCATTTGGCGTCTTGTTTGACTAGGAATGGAAATCCGTACATATGACCATGAACTCTCCTATGAATCTAACACAACACATAAGAGGATGATGTCCTAAAATTCCACAGAAACCGCCATAACCTTACCCCCTCTGGTACTCGTGTCATTAACAGGAAGCTTCGTCTCCCCACCAGTAGTGATATAAAGAACATTACGATCTCTCTGTGTGCGCCCAAAAGCCGCCGATGTAGCAGTCATCAAGTCCATTGAGCCCTTCAAACCCGCGATGACCTCATGATATCCATTAGGAAAGGCCCTAATAACCACATCATCAACAAGACCCGCCAGATACCCAACCCCATGCGGACCAATAGCGAAGTCATCAGCAAGTATATCATGGCTGATAACCTCATAAGGCCCCAAAGCACGACCGGTATGTGTATCAATTCGAACACGACAGAAAATATGCTTGGGGCTGTTGCTGTAGTACATATAATCGTTTACTATCTTCAATCCGTTAACCCCAAGCAACAAACCCATGTCATGATTTGCGGCCATTGTTTCGTGTTGGTGGATCACGCTGTACGTGCCGGTACGGATATCGAGACGCCATATAAGGCCGAGTTGGGAGTCGGTTATGGCGACTGCTTTTCCTTCGTCTAGAGCAGCTATGCCATTCAAATAGCCAGCGGGGAGTTTTGCGATAAGAATTGGCTCGGGCGTATTCTCATGGTGTTTGAGATCGACCGTCCAGACTGAGTTGGATGCAATGACTGCGTAGATATCTGGTGAGAGCTCTGTGATACCATCTGCGTCTTCGGCGCCGTCAAAGTGGTGGACCAAATGGGCTGAGCTGGGGCCTGATGGAATTGAAGGGTCAATTTCCCAGAGTTCTGCTGTGCTCAGCACTGCGACGAGGAGGTTGCCGTTGGGTCGGACTGCGATATTCTCGACCCAGGTCCCGTTAGGGAATCTGTGGATTTCGCGGAGATTGGGAGAGTGGGCGAGGCATAGAGTGTGGATGAATGTAAGCAGTAATAATATGGAGCCTAGTAGATTAGCCATCTGTGAAGGATGTGACACAACTATCTCAAACAACCAAGTATATGGGAATCATCATTGTCATATATAGAAAGTGGCAGAGACGCCAGTTTCCTATTTCGTGTTACGAAATAGGTAGGTTTCCTCGGAAACCGTAGCCATGTATGTACAAAGTGGTGCTTGGTAATACGCCCTTGGCTGCATTGGGCCCAGATGGTCATACAACGCGATTGGTAATATGCTCTTGGCTAAATTGCTGACAGCAGGGCGCTGATTTTACCACCGGCACTCCACTGCAGCCTGAATCAAGATAGTAAGTCTAGGCATCGAATAGTCCTAGGCCTAGATATAAGCGTCGATATCTGACATGTAAAGAAACAGCACGTCGCAGGAGGGGTCGTTGGGTGCCAAGTTAAAGTCCCAGCGTGGCAGGCTGATTTTCTTCTCTTGGCTTTTGCTGAGGCTTCTGCCTCGGGTTGACAAGGCCTTTTCTTCTCTCTCTTCGTCAGCTTTAACGGAGTAAAATAGATGTAAGAGGCCAAAGAAAAAAACGAACCCCGTCAATGTCACTCTTGCTGACTGTATTCGGATTTGAGGTTTGTCAATTTATGCTTTTTCCGGGTGCCTACCGAGTGGGTCGCAACTCATAAATATAATTGGCGGGCTAGCCTGAACTGCCAATGGCCAAAAGTTAAAACGTCAAGTCGGGACCCACTTCAGTAGTAAAAGTCATGACGTACAATAAGCAGCTGCATGATGCTAAAGCCTGATATTACATAGATACTTAGCATAGATATCTGCTTCTTGGCGCTTAAGGCTGCTGTCTTGGGGGTTTGAAAATTGCCGATGGAAGAGCCGTGGACGAATGATACTTATACCCTTAATCTCTTGTCATTCTAGGCGCGAAAAGCTGCACGCAAATGATAGTTACAACAGATAATTGGCAAAGGATTTGTCCATAGTGCGTCCTTGGTAACCAAGCCATGGATCACGCGAAATTTCAACTCTCCTCTCCTGCTGTGACTTAAGCGACGCCGTTTCTGCGAGGTTACATCTTACTATGCACAAATCCCTATGGTGCATTTCGTTAGTACCTTGGATACTGCTGGAAAATTGTGCCAAATTTGACAACACATGTTAAGAGACGAAAAGCCTTCTCCATTTTCTTCAGTTGACATAACGACAATGTCAATTCGCAGGCTGTCCGCGTACCAACGTCGTGCCAGAGACCAAAGATTGTTGCGATTGACTGAGAATGGCACGTTCCAAATATCAGTTTTTAGTGACTTGCATTTCGCTGAAGGTATGCTGACAGACTCTAACCGTTGCTTTGGGATACTAACTATGTAAAGACGATACAGCAGACAACAAGACCGCAGGGGTAATGGAATCCGTTCTTTCTTCAGAGAAAGTGCAACTCGTGGTACTTAATGGAGATTTAATCTCTGGTGAGGCCACTCAAAAGTCTAACTCGAGTCTTTATGTTGATCGGGTTGTTGCACCTCTACTCGACCGTGGTATACCATGGGCATCCACTTATGGGAATCATGACAGCGAGGTTAATCTTGATCCAGAAGAGGTATTTCGTCAAGAGACAAAATACCAAAACAGCCTAACCGAGAGAAGGGTTCTGGACCCCGCTGCCGGCATCACGAATTATTACCTGCCAATATTTCCACATGAGGCTTCGAATGACACTATCCCTGTATTTATCTTGTGGTTTTTTGACAGCCAAGGTGGCCATTATGCATTGACAGAGAATGAGGATGGCAAATCAACCACGAGACAGAATTGGGTAGATGTCACAGTAAGTACCACCAGGGGTTTCACATATTATCATGCTTGATCCAAAATTTGAATGCTTGGTCCAGGGATTTGGTGTTGAGCTTTCACATACTGACTTGTTGCAGGTCGTTCAATGGTTTAAAAAAGCCAACGCAAATATAACGTCCACCTACGGGCGAACAATCCCATCTCTAGCCTTCGTCCATATCCCAGTTCATGCAATGCGCGCATTCCAGAAATCCGGCGTCAGCCCAGTCAGGGAACCAGGAATCAACGGAGAACGAGTCCAGCAACAAGGCTATGATGCCGAGTCCGGCTACCATTCCCAAGACTTCCCATTTATAAGTGCTCTGTTGAACACCACGGGGTTAGCGGCAACTTTCAGTGGACATGACCACGATAATGACTGGTAAGGACCATACTGTGCTATACATTCTCTTCTCAGGTTGAAGTCAAAACGCAAAAACGTCTCATTTGACTAATAATAATTCTTTTCATAGGTGCTTCAAGTGGGATACTAAGCTTACTGGCCTCAATGTGACGGGAAATGGCATGAACATGTGCTACGGCCGGCATACGGGATATGGAGGGTATGGCGACTGGGCGCGTGGCGGAAGGCAGGTCTTGTTGGATAAGCGATCGCTTGGGGATGATATACAGACTTGGATTCGGATGGAAGATGGGTCAATTTCAGGCGATGTTCATCTCAATGCGACGTATGGCCAAGATCGATATGGGCTGGTGCAGAGGAGTTTCAGCGGGCAAAATGGTGGTCTTTCTCCATACTTAAATGTTCTCTATTTGTGGATTTGTATTTACTGGGCTTATATGCAGTTGAACTGATGGTCAATGATTCGGAGGACTCTATAAATCTGTTGAGTTGAGGGACTGGTCATGGTTGGCTCTTAGGGGATATGCGAGCGTGTACAATTTGTTGGAGTGACACAGTTTACCTTGCCCTGAGGACTAGCAAGGCCTGAAAACATCGGCTGGGAGTATAATGGAGAAAAAAGAAGATTGTAGCAAAGCTGTGAAATCTAGAGGCAGCTATTGGCGTCGGGATCGAATGCTTATTTATCATTGGGTGTTTTGTATTGTACGAAGTACATGTGTATCGGATAATGCCTGGTACTCGAGACCTTTCCCTTTCCGTTTTAGTGCTCACCCCTTGCCGCTTTTTGATCACTGAGTAAAACTGAGCACATCCCTGAGTATGGGTTTATCAGTACCTATAGCCACACCATCTTCCTCCGACAATTTCAGTCCCCTAGTGGGGACTGGGAAGTATGGTATTCTCCCCCTATCTCCTCATCATCTTACTACCTCCCAACAGTCCCTGACTCCCAAGGGACTCATCTCGCCCTCCCCCATGTATCGATGAAACAGTGCATGTTCTACGTGTGTACCTTAGCGAGTGCAGCTAACCCCGTCAACAATCAGACTGCACCATGGGTTATCGATACACGCTGACAAACTTCCCTGCCTGTTTCATATATGTCTTCGGTCTGGACGACCAACAGTCCGGTGTCTTGCAACTTGCGAGTTACAGGACGACGATATTACGTTGTCAAAGAGTGCCAAAGAGTAGCTTCGGAAATGTCATCTGATCATTTATGCTGAATGATTCTAAGGTGTTGTAAGTCTCCCATAGTATCAAGGGCTATCTTTAGCGGAAAGGCACTACAATTGTCTTATTGAAAGCACTAGTTCAGCGACAGATACATGCATACTAGGGTAGCTGGGCATCATGAACAACTCAAGAATACAATCCCATATGCGAAAGGCCATTCGACTGTCAAAGGAGCGATGTACGGAGATCCACATTGGTTACCAGGTCCAGTCCGAGCTATCAGTATACCAATCCAGCCTGTCAGATGGCTTTGCCAATCCCCATAACACGTAGGTCTCGTCTGAGAACGGCTCAGTGTCCATTGGATAGGCTCCTCGGAATCCGGAAATGTGCCTAAAAGTGATTAGCTCATCGCCATCGGCATTCATAGATTGGTTAGGTGAATAGAATGTCGGAACTACCTACATAACCTTGGTCACATCATCGTAGATAATCTTGCTCGGAGGGGTAAGTCCAGGTTGCCAAGAACACCTACTGAGTTCTCTTCGTTGTATTAGTATAGATAGTTCTCGAAGTTTTGGACGTGTAGGGGTTATGATCTTACTCATAGGCAGTACGAAAGGCGGAACGTAGTCGCTGGCGGTATTCAAAGTCGCGTTTCCAGAAAGTATAGTAGTCCACGGGCTCACCAGGCACCCGTTCCCACGCAACGTAGTTGATGTAACCACCAGGCACAAATTCTTCGACACCTTGCAACCCTTCCCCATATCCAAGCAATTTCGGTACTGCCATGCAGTTTTCGCGATCAAGAGATGCAAGCGCTTTGAGCTCCGTGTGGGTGCACTGGCTGACAGCCTGCTGGGCTCGGATTTCTGGAGCGCTAGAAAAGGTACCATCAAGAGGGATCTGCATATAGATCCGCATGAAGCCCTGCTGAGTAGGGTCTAGAAGGCTGTGACAAGAGAACTTAATGACGGCAAACGGAGGCCCTGGTTGTCGCTCATATTCCTCCTGGGTCATCGTTTGGTAATCTTCGGATAGTTTCTCGCCAAGAACGAACGTACGAGGGGGCGAGAGGGAAGGCTGGTCGAGTTCGATTTCAGTGCCGCCCAGGTGATCGAAATTTATCGAGGGGATCGTTACGACGAAGCCCCTAGAGCGAGACATTGCGACAAGGGAAAGGAGACGAAAGGTTGAGTAGCTTCATTGAGTAGCTTCAAGATTCAGAAGAAATGAAAACGCTCTGGTGAAGTTGGTAAACAAGCGGGTTGTAAAATTCAAGTGCTGAGCAGAGAGAAAAGAAGGCGTGGAGGTGATAAAGAAGTATTACGGATTATTGCCTAATGTCTTAGGTGTTAACCGTGGAACAATAACATCCATGGATAACCTTCCAAATTTCGCCAGCTCCAACCTATCAAGCCCACAAACGTTTTGGATGCAACACCCAGCTTTTATCAACCAACCGGACCGGAGTCAACTTGATCAACATCCCTTCACAACACTCCGGCGCTGATCTACTCTTACGGGATCCATCCCGGTTAGTGAGGTCTCAATTCGTCCACGGGTACCTAGGTAGGCAGCCCTGGAGGGCACCGGTTGTTGTTTTGTCCCAAGGTGACACCTTGAATATCTGCGAGGTATGCCTATCTCCGGCACAATGGTGACAACAAGTCACAATCCCCAGGTTATTCGCACTACCTGAATAGGGAAGTCCAGGGCTTCGCGGGAGGTGAAGTTGTATAGTGGGTCTCGACTATTTTCTCGTGTGCTTGGCATTAACCTTATGTGGTGTATAGATCCGACTTTGACTGACAGTGGTTTATGATCTGTTTTGGTACTAGTAATATGAGATCGAGTGCAGTATTGAAGTATTGTAGACTTTCTTCCAGCTACCTCCAAGTGATGTCAGGTGCCATCCATTACGTATGAGCTGACATCCATGACAGATCTTTTTCTACTAAACTACGTTGAGCATGAGAGTTTCCAACCAAGATTTGAAGGGTCGTAACCCTTTCAAGTAATTTTGACTCATAGCTGGACTATACTTGATGTTTCTTGAGAGTAATAACCTAGCTTCCATCTGAATTTCAAAATCTGCTCCTTTGAAACATTTCATCAAGCTTCATTGGTATATCCCTCCTATTACAACCTTACAACCAACTAGAACACAAAGGTTAGTGATTATTGGTTTAGATACGGGGGTATGGTGGCTAAAAAATATTCCCAGCTGCTTATCTCCACATCTCTAATTTACACAATCAACAAAACGCCATGGATTGTGCCCAGGACAAATCTGCGCCTCAGCATCCCGGCGTTGCTCAACTGGGAACATTCGCAAAGCTCCCGCTTGAACTTCGTTGGATGATATAGGAATATGTCTTCGATAAAATATATTCCACCCCTTTTACTTTAGCTATCTTGCGTTATAGTCGATCCCTCTATCAGGAGATATCAGACCATCTCTTTAAGGACTTTGAGCACGAGTTTCGAGTTACGGGCGGGCTGAGATTCAATTTTACTATTAGGCAAACACATAGCCATAGATGGGAATTGAAGAATATTGAAGCTGTTCGTAGCTATCTTTATTCCTTTCCTTAGAGAAGAATCGGAGGTAAAATGTTCTTGTAATCGGTATATTCTGACCTTCTACTGATCGTATAGATTTTAAAATTGGATTATTGAATTATAATAGCTATACATATCTTTCAATTTTAAATAAAACTTGACTAGTGGAGGTCGAACATATCGCGGAAAATGTTAATATTGAAGAGGGGTCCCTAGGATAGGGGCACCGACAGCCCTGCCTGCGAAACAGGTGTGAGAGCAGAGTCGCCACTGGGAGTAGTAGGGTGCTAGAGAGGAGAACACCATGGGGTGACTACCGAGAAGAGAGGTGGAAAGGTGTCTGCGTTGCTATCTAGGCCTCGGGAGTGCTTTCATGTCACATAGCCGCTTAGTCATCCTGCTCTGGAAACAACATTCGACCAGCTGTCGGTCGTGTACCTGTGCCTTGGCTGTTGAGAGCGAACCATATAAATGTTATTTAGAAAGGGGTGTTGTCTCGGCCGTAGGTTTCAGTCGCATAGCTCAAAGACTACGCCGGAGACAATAATAGTGATTCGGTAATTACTTTTCACAAACATTAACTCTTAACTATATAAATCTGTAAGTTGTGGTCGCTTATTTCCGTTTGCCTCGGTTTTCCGGGGGAGTTCACGATGACTCGCATGTCAGATCCTTGATTCCTCGGCGAGTCTCAAAAGACAAGTACAGAAACCAGTCTAGATGACCAAACCCATGTGAAACCCCTGGTTTTTCTCGAAACACAGCCCTTTCGATCGTCGAAAGAAGAAAACTGGCTCTCCCGCCTCTGACGTCAGAGACCCCTGGGCGGCCCCACTCTTTCTGCCCCGGGTCCACGGTTGTGATTTACCAAACGTCCGAAAACGGAAACATTCTAGGGCGTGAAGAGATCGCAATCAAATGAGGTTGAAGGACAAGATTATCTCAGGCTAAGATATCAATCACCTACCTTAGTAGCTAGGGACTGTCATACATAAGCTGGCGTGAAACGTATCTTGTAATATGTGCGTAAATCATTGAATCTAAAAGCCAAGAAGTCTAGGTTCCTTGGTTGGATCCGTCGAATAGCTTGTCTTGCCCTCTTTACACGCGTTGTATGGCTTGGCATATGCATGGTGACCGAGAAAGTGGGGAATTAAATAAGCCCTAGCCCATCCGAAAACAAAGACCCTATATTATTCGACATCATCTGTCGCTGATCTGTTGCTGATCTGTCGCTTTCACTCACTTTATCCCGTAATAATATGATAAATTGACCTGCTAATGCTTATCCTACCCAGCCATGAACTGCTTAGTTGACTGCACGCATACAAACGATATCGGGCTATACTCGGCTCAGCCAGTGGCGAACGATATGATAGATCTGCTAGTTGATCGTCGGTTAGGTCTTTGCGAAAACAACCAGCAAAATCTTGCTAATTACCCTCAACCCCCACAGAAAAGTGGATAAGGCCCTGAAACCTATTTTTAACATGGAACTTTTAGGCTGGGGGTCCTCTGCTCATACATCAATTATTGCGCCGCATCCCCAACCCCCAACCTCCTTTGACAAGCAAGGTCTCGCCCCAATTTTACTTCGAATCGCGAGCACTTCTCATTTTAGATTGATACCATCTATGATTGATCTAAGCCGAAATGCACTTGTCCGGAACATGGTCTATCCTTAATGGCCTCATCACAACACTCCTCTTTTCAACGTTAACGCCTGCGATCGAATTAGACATCAGCAATAAACGTACGTCACGGATAGTCGAAGTTATTTTCCGATAAAAGTTGTCATGGGACTGACTCCGCGATCATTGGACAGAATCAATCAAAGATGCCGCAAGTACGAGTGCTTACTCCATGTTGGGATGGTATGCTGGCAACGAAACTGGACAAATTCCTGGTTCTTTCCCTGAAAAATGGTGGGAAGGGTCTGCTCTTTTTCTCGCGTTGCTTCAATACTGGCACTTTACCGGTGACACGACCTATAACGCTTTGACGAGCCAAGGACTGGAGTGGCAATCGGGCGATAAGGGCGACTATATGCCCAGCAACTATAGTAGCTACCTGGTGAGCACCATACATCGACTCCGAAATATCGCGACGAATAACCAGTTCTCTGACTATTCTCGAATCTCTAGGGAAATGATGACCAAATGTTCTGGGGTCTCGCCGCTATGATGGCCGCCGAGCTGAAATTCCCTGATGTCCCGGGCCAATTCTCGTGGCTTTCGCTCGCACAAGGTGTATTTAATACCCAAACCGCTCGATGGGATACAACAACATGTGGTGGTGGTCTGCGTTGGCAGATATTCCCGTACCAGGACGGATACACCATGAAGAACTCCGTATCAAACGGCGGTCTGTTCCAGCTCGCTGCGCGCCTCGCCCGTTACACCAATCAAGACAAATACTCTAAATGGGCGGAGAAGATCTGGGACTGGTCTACTTCCTCACCGCTAGTGAACAACAAGACCTGGAATGTTGCCGACTCCACGCAAATGGCAAATGACTGCGCCGATGTTGGTAACTACCAGTGGAGCTACAACTACGGTACATACCTGATGGGTGCTGCCTACATGTATAATTATGTGAGTGGAACCTGGATATTCGCCATTTACCCATTACATGCGCCCAAATCTTCTATTTGCAGACATTAACACTCCACCTGTACAGACAAATGGAGATGAAAAGTGGAAGACCCCAGTAGACGGCCTCCTTGACAAAACCTTGAAAACCTTCTTCCCGACCGGCGGCATCTTCGAAGACACGACCTGTGAACCCACTAAGAAGTGCAATTTCAACGAGATCCTCTTCAAGGGCCTCACCTCGTCATGGCTTGCATTCACCGCGCTCTTAGTCCCCGATACCGCAGCGCAGATCAAACCCAAACTCGCGAGTTCCGCACAAGCTGCCGCGAAGTCCTGCACGGGAAACAACAACAACACGTGCGGCATCACTTGGTATCAAAACAAGTGGGACGGGACAACTGGAATGGAGCAAGAGATCAGCGCAACGAATGTCTTCCTTGCGAATATGATCAACTTTGACACCGGCACGTTTGGGCCCGTCACTTCCAAGACTGGCGGAAACAGCAGCAGTGATCCCAATGCGGGTGAAGGGAAAGGAGGAGGGGATGACGTTAAGGAGAAGCCTACTACGAGTGGGGATAAGGCCGGTGCCAGTATTCTGACCTTGATCTTTGTCTTTACTTGGGCTGGAGGCATGGTTTGGATGATGCTGGGTGCTTAATTTGGCGGTATATTTATTTAATTGGCATTTTTTTTAGAGGACTCGGAGTTCTGAAGGGGACTTAATAATGTTTGTACATACCATCTCGAAATCTTTTACTCACCTAAAGCAAAATAGGATACCCACAGGTGGATAGCGTTTGGAAACGGGGGAATGAACTTGAAGACCTAGAGTATGGAATAGATGTTGTATTCTAATACCCGGGCATAGAGAACTACACAAAATCACAGGAAGCCGAATTATGTAGACAGATAGATCGTAGATTTACCTAGATCATATCATGTCCATGAATGGCTCACACCAACACCATATCTCCTCTTTCTTTCTCTAGCTAGCTCAATTCATGATTTCCTTTCCCTTGTGCTTCTGATACGTACCCATTCCCCCAAAGCTCCTATCGCACCGAAAGACAAACTTTGGTCTCTAATGAGCGACGCCATATCACTATATCTATCTCTCCAACACCCCTCTATTACGGCACCACCAGCAAGACCATCAACCGAAGGGTATTTTTGAGATGCAAAGAGAGCATCCACTCGTCCTTCGTACTCATTATTCTCTGCCACGGATCTAAATGGCCCAGGGGACTTATAGGGCCAGTGGCCGGTCATGATCGTGTAAAAGACCGACCCGAGACTGAATATGTCAACAGAGGCTGTTGACACCCATGGTTTACATGGATTGAAAAACCCAGAGTCAGGGAGATGCCCACCATCTATATCACCACCATTTGTCGATCCTCCAAAGTCACATAGTAGGAGATTGAGCTTGCTCTTGGAATCAGAGTGTAATAGAAAATTGTCCGGTCGTAGATCGGAATGAATGACTCCCTTCTGGTGGATATAGTACACAGCTTCTGCTGCTTGATAACACCACTTCAAACGAAGATTTAGATCGATATCGTCATTATGCTGGTCAATGTAATCTTGTAGGTTACCATCTCTAGCCTCGTCGAAGAGTAGTCCACGCGGTTCCTCGGAGGTACCAATATAGCTGTAATAAAATGATATTAATATGTACATTCGATCGCGTAGTATGGCTGACATACCGTATTATGCTAGGGTGTGTCCCTAAGATATTGAAAAGTCGCTCTTCAACCTTGAAACTGTGCTTGATATCCTTGACAAAGGAGGCAGTATCTGCCGTATCGGAATTCCACCATGAATATCTAGGGCATTTGACAATCACCCCCGGTTTTAGTCTTACGATCAACGAAGTCGAACCTTGGGCCAAGGTTTTACCCAGAGAAGGTTCATAGATGACCGGATTGCCTATTTCACCTGGCAAAATAGCTTGATATTCTTCACTTGTTCCTAAGGTCTGGTTCTTCGTGACAGTTGGAGAATCATTTTCGGATATAGCGCGTCCACGGCTCTCAACATCGTCATTCTCTCCATGCGAGCACATGATTTCTGATAGGTGAGGGTAATACACGATAAAAAGGCCCAAAGAATGATGTAGAGAGTATCTGAGGACTTCATAAATAGCCGAGCGGATTTTCGAGTTTTCCAGAGGTGCGTCAACATTGTGGAAAGTACGAGGCGTGTTTGCAGCCAACTGGAAGGGGTATAGCGGTCATATGACCTATGAGTAAAGCAAACACATCAAACAAATAACTAGTTACAGGTCTCTTGTCCCGTTATTTTGTTAAACGACTTTGATAATGGTACTCGTAAGTTTGCCTAGCACGTCCAAGGTTAATAAGATATAGCATATCGGCTCCCTCATTACCACTGAACTATAACATTTCGAAGGCGAACTGTTAGGGCACCCTTGACACGAATGTAATAGCCATGGCTCGTGTATAACTTTTAAATGTATGTCCATCCAGCGAACTAGATATTGAAACCCTTAGATTGGCCGAGTATTTTGGTAGACGTCTGCTTCGTTATGTGTAGATCCAGAAAAGAACTCGTCAACCTTACCTGCCAATCCCCAGCTAATTTTGTACCCATTTGCGCCAGCACCGTAGCAAGATATCAAGGGAAGAGGGTTCCCTGGCTTCAAGGCAAAATGGAGTCCACCATGTCTCATAGGGCGCCGAGCAACGTAGACTTGTTTCACATCAAACCCATTGGTCGCAGCCAGTCCATCCGCCTGCTCGTCAATCATCTCGGGGCATAGATCTCTCACCCTTTTAAGAATGACCTCAGTTGAAGCATCGTCGATATCCTCAGACCTAACGAGTGTTAGCGTCACTCTAACCTCGGGGAATCACTCAAGACATACCAGTTATTAGGCTCCTTCGTGCCACCGATAACAGTCCCACCACCCAGAGGCCGGGGTATGATGACCGTAGAGGAACCATCACCCCAATGATGACTGATAGTTCTGTCACAGTAATTCGAGACGATGATGAACTGACCCCGCGAGGGGAAAGAGTCAGGATCATTAAACCCCCTTCCACTTGCATCGACAACAGCCGAAACGTGATCACTCTCATCCTGGGGTATATTCTCCCGATATATAGACACAGCCTGTTCTAGGTCTGTCAACTTTGCGCGAATGAACCGAGTCCCTTGCGCCTCTGCGCGTGTCTGTAACCACTTCAAATAAACCGGCGAGTTCAGGACCCAACTGCGATATGCAACACCTAGCTGGATAGATGGATGTTGAGGGGGGTCTTGGGTAGGGTCGAGAATCTGGAAGTCCGGCCATGTGGTGTAGCCATTCTCTTCTGCCAGGAATGAGGTCGCGTCGGCTGTATCGAAATATTCGACTGCGGGAATAAAATCCACCCCCGCTTCCGGGTGTTGTTTCGCGATCTCCTCGAATTCTTGGTAGGTTTGTCGCATCCAGGCCTGTTCTCTCCGTTCCTCGTCTGTTTTTGCGGGGGTGGGGCGGAAGTGTGCCCCTGCCCATGGGGAGGCGTAGTCAATGCCAACGTCACCGGGTAACTCTCTCGCGATGACGGTGATTTTCAAGTATTGGGATAGTTTGACTGCGATGCTGAGACCGATAACACCGGCTCTGTTGAATTGCCGTTAGTAGGCAGAAAAAGGAAAGTAGACTTGGCGCTCACCCGACGATGATAACATGGCCTTGACTCATGTTGATTGTTCTTTGTCTTTACGGTAGTCCAAGGTCTAATGATTGTTTTATGAATGAATCTATGCAATTGTCCAGGTTCAAATGTTGCGAAGTGAGTCATCTAAATTCTTCAGGGCTGACACGGCCGCGGGGGCAAGTCACACCGAACAGTCATATTGCGGAATTTGTGGCTGTCGAGGCGCAATCGAATCAAACCAGAATGGCTATAAACCACCTAGACATTGTTGTATAAGAGATTTTGTTGTGGACTGTGTTATGGTAACTTCGGCCTAGCAGCTGTGTGACATAGTTTAAAAAGCATACATAGTAGAATATGAGGAAAAATGTACAATGATCTCCTCAAAGATACATCGCCATTGCAATAAATGCGTTAAGCGCGACGCGAAAGCGGTGTGGATCTGAATGGATTCGCCATCCAACCCCCGAATTCACCCCCGCATCGCAGCTCCCACGTCTAGATATGGTCGCAATTACACAGACAGACAGCCAGCTCGACGCTGTAGACGAGGAGGCGAATCATGTAAACGAGACTACAGCTCTCCTAGGGACCAGCAAGACCAAGTATGCTGACGCGCGCACGTCAGACACACTGGACAGTTCGCCAGGGCCAGATAGCGACAGTGACGACGAGGAAAAGCCCTTGCCCAAGTTGCAGATTCTGCTACTCTGCTATGCGCGCGTAGTCGAGCCCCTGGCCTTCTTCTCCATCTTCCCCTATGTCAGCCAAATGGTACAGGACAACGGGGGCGTGGCAGACACGGACGTCGGCTTCTACAGCGGACTCATCGAGTCAATGTTCTCCCTAACGCAGGCTATTGTCATGATATTCTGGGGCCGAGCAGCCGACCACCTTGGACGCAAACCCGTCCTGGTATCCTCCTTGTTCGGCGTGACCGTGGCTACAGGCCTTTTTGGTCTCGCAAAGACCATACCGCAGATGATCATGTTTAGATGTCTTGCTGGGGTTTTTGCTGGGACCATCGTCACCATCCGCACAATGGTGGCCGAGCACAGCACGCCCAGTACGCAGGCCCGGGCGTTCAGCTGGTTCGCCTTCAGTGGGAACTTGGGCATCTTCCTGGGGCCTTTATTGGGCGGTGCACTTGCTGACCCAGTACGACAGTACCCTGGAGTTTTCGGAAATGTCAGCTTCTTCGAAAAATATCCCTACGTGCTTTCGAGCTTCGTGGTGGCGTTTATCGGAGCCACCGCTGCTGTATCTAGCGCCTGCTTTGTTGAAGAGACGTTGAAGAAGGAGCCGGTTGTCGTGGACCGCGATGGCGGGGAGGCGACATCCGATGCGCTGACCGAGAGCGGTGACCTATCGACATTGCAGCTTCTCAAATCCCCAGGGGTGGGTATGGTCCTATACACGTACGGCCATATCATGGTCCTCGCCTTCGCTTACACGGCCATCATTCCTGTCTTTTGGTTCACCCCCGTAAACCTCGGAGGGTACGACTTTACCCCTCTGCAAATTTCGTTGATGATGGGTCTAAACGGCGCCTCGCAGGCTGCATGGCTCCTCCTGGTGTTCCCCCCATTGCAAAGGAGGATAGGGTCGAACGGAGTGATACGTCTCTGCGCTTTGGCTTATCCGCTATTCTTCCTACTCTGCCCTCTTGGTAACGTACTTTTGCGGGTGGGCACAGATGGATCCGTTAAAGCCTTTTGGATTCTCTTGCCGCTCGGGCTGGCGATTGGATGCGGAGTCAGCATGAGCTTCACGGCGATCCAGCTCGTTCTGAATGACGTCTCACCCTCGCCGAGGGTATTAGGCACGCTGAACGCACTGGCCCTGACTGGTTCTTGTACGTTGAGGGCCTTCTGTCCTGCCCTCTTCACCAGCCTCTTCGCTCTGGGGGCGAGGACACAGCTAGCTGGAGGCCATGCGATCTGGATACTCCTGCTCATGCTTGCTTCAGGATTATCTGTCACAGCAAAATATCTACCAGAGCCCCGGGCCACGTGCAAGCACCGCAACAGCCAGGCGAGGTGAGGATGGTTCGATTAGCTGAATTCACAGCACGATCAAGACTTCCCAGCGCGCACCTTTTGGAGGAAAGCCGCTTTTTCGCATAGAATCTAAAATTTGCAATTATCTCCAAAATTTGTCATGCTCGATGATGCCTGTTTATACAGAGAAAATTCACATGTACGCATTATTTCTTTTACCGATTCGTACCCCGTACATATAACATATTAGAGTATATCCTTTTAGAAGGTTAAAGATCGACAAAACGATTATTTATGAAAGATCCAAAGGAACATCGGTGTGTTAATCTAACGTCTTTTAACTATATCATCTAGACCTAAGTCTACCGGATGCAGCTCACCACTACCAGATGGTGGTGTTTCGTCTCAGCTTGAATATCATCGCGAGAACCACTTTTATTACGCTTGGACCTCGGTAATACAGTCTCTATTAAACTTTTGGAACTTCCAAATCATGGTCTGATCTAGAAGGGTTTCAATGTCACTATTCGATGCTGTTGCCCTCGATAATGAATTTGGAAAGGGATGTCTCATTCCATCGCCCGAGAACCCATCGAATCATCCATCCATTTTGTTATATGTCTTCTGTTTCCGCAAATCCGTCCATGCTGTTGGCTGTTGTGCCATGTCTCGGAAATCTCAATGGTTTTCTTGGCATCGAGGACCTTGAGAGGGTAGGGCTGGGCAGGGATTGGCGGGCTTGGCAGTCACTCGCATAAAGGTTTACTGAGCGATATATTCTCCATCCAATCGCTTTTTTTAATTCCCTAATTCCGTCAACATGCTGCGTGAAGCATTTCTCATATTCATATGCGTGGCATGGGCGGGATTTGCTATTCATCTCTCGCCGTGGTTGAAGGTTAGATCAATATCCTGAAACTGATACTACTCAGGACTAACGTCGTGTAGGGCATCTCCCATGAAGTTGAAGCTTACAATGCTACTACATTTAATTACCCAGTGCCATTGTCCACACATAATGAAGAGCACACGCGTCTACTGCAGAATCTTCAACGATCTAGTGGGAAATGGGACTCTACCCACCCTCGACATCGATTGTTAACTGCCCTACATGGATATACCCGCTACAAAGACAAAAGCCTAGCCGAGGTGACTCGATGGAGAAATCTTTACAAAAATGTCCCAAAGCAGCAGAGAACAGTACGATATTTTTTTCTTTCCTCTTGTTTTTTCTTTGCGGGTCTTAAGTGGGTTTGGCTAACTGGCCTAGTTGCTCGAATCAACCATCCACTACACGCGTAAACTCAACACAATGGAACATCTGCTCGATACAAACAACGAACTCGCCAGATCTATTGTTGACCACGGCCTTTGGTTCTACAATATCAGTCAATCCGAGCTGGACGAATTCGTCGAAGAAAGCGAGAGTCAGCAGCGGTCCGCTGGAAGACTAGCGTCTCCCAGGGAATGAAGCATTTTGTGCGTGACTGGGCAGATGAGGGCCAAGAAGAACGTCAACAATCCTTTGGGTGTATCTTGAAATCGCTCGCCCAGACACCACGGGCGAACGAAAGACCCTTGCGAGTGCTGTTGCCTGGGGCGGGATTGGGAAGACTGGCGCATGAGGTTGACAATCTTGGAGGTAAGTACATAACTTCTATATGGGGAAGTCTCATTGGCTGATTGGAGATTAGGCTTTGAGGTCACCATGAATGAATGGTCAACATACATGAATCTGGCATACCGTTATGTGTCCAGTCGCTCAGCCCCTAACAGTGTATCATTCCACCCATACATCGACTGGTGGTCTCATCAAGTGACGACCGATGATCTCCAGCGCTCCGTTACATTTCCAAACCAAATTATTCACCCATCATCTGTCTTGCTCATAGAGGGAGATTTCACTACGGTATTCGAAGAGCACACAGGCCAATACGATATCATCGTGACCTTGTTTTTTATCGATACCGCGCGGAACCTAGTATCATACCTTGAGACCATCCACAGACTTCTTCGTCCTGGTGGCCGTTGGGTGAACCTAGGTCCTTTACTGTATGGTACCGCTCCATTTGTACAGTTATCACTAGACGAGATAGTGGCCGTGAGTGAGGGCATGGGATTCGAGTTTCAGGAGACAGATCCCACAATTGGAAATACCACGTTGCCTGACTTGCGAGTGCGAGGCTTGGAGGTAGCATACGGTCGAAATGAGCGCGGGTTGAATAAAAATGCATATCAGGCGCAGTATTGGGAGGCTGTTAAGCACTAGAACAGGAATAAAAGCTATTTCATATGTTGCTGCTGTCTATTACAATTCTACAAAATAACAAAGTAGCTGTTTATTACCAGAATATCATCTGAATTCAATCTGGTTGGTTCAAAAACGGGAGGCATCATACGGGATAGGGCTAGTTACGAACCACCTGCGTTGACACACAATATCTCGTGAGCTATCCACCTAATTTAACCGATAAATGAATTATTTTCCCATAGCCAACATATTGATGCCCCTTTTACCTCAGCCCACATTGACTAGCTAGCACAGACAGCATCTCGGTTACAAGGTTTCCGGTGATGCCGGTACCATAGCTCAGCAATATCGACCGATAGTAAAGGATTGTCACGTTAAGCGAATGGAGTATTCTGGACTCGAAATTTACACTAAGAATATGGTATTTCTCCTCGGACAATAAAAGCATCAACACTTGGCAAGCTGGGATCGGCAGGGACTGTATGCTCTGACCTTCCAAGACGGCCAATGATATACCTAAGAAAAGCAAAGCGCTCACTAATAAAGCATTATTACCCACATGCACGACCATCCACTGCAAGGCCAATTATATGTTCAATACCATGAGACATCCCCTCCGCTGCCAAGGCTATTTGAGAACCTTTGGGGCACCAAGACTCCCACTTGTCTTGGCCTCGCAAAATACTGCTCTCTCGGCGGAGTGGCAGGTATAAAGGGTACGGACCCTGTGCAGCGGATCTCTGAATTCGCAACATTCGCCATCGTCATTACATTGTGTACAGCCCTAAATCACCTCGCCACAATGAGATTCTCCATCTTTTTCATCGCAATGATGACTTCGGTCACATCCGCGGCCTCTACTCAGGACCCCGGTCCATCTCCTACTGCCTCAATCGGCTGTGAGCCCCACGGAGACCACTGGTATGTTCTATCCCATCGTATGATGTCTATTACTCGAGGGTACTCATTAACACTCTTCTATATAGGCACTGTGATGGCCCAGCCTCAACAGCCGTCTCCTCGGTCATCTCCTCGGTTACATCAACTGCAAGCGAAGTCGAAGCGAGCACCACTTCTGCGGAAGCTTCTCCGGCAAGCCCTAGTCCTACCGAGTCTATTGGTTGCGAGCCGCATGGCGACCACTGGCACTGCGATGGACCGGCCGAGACGTCTAGCGCCTCCGCTAGCACCTCTACGGGTACCTCCACCAGTGAGTCGGCCAGTGCTTCCGACAGTACTGCCGATAGTGCTTCCGCGAGTGCCTCCGCGAGTGCTTCTGCCAGCGCTGGAAATGAGGACAGCGGTACTGGAGCAATTGGAGTGCAAATTTCCCTGCTTGTTGGATTGTCGCTTGTCGCTGCTGGTCTGAATGTTTGAGTTTTGATGACTGTCTGTGACTGTCTGTGTGTGTGTGCGAGTTTGTTGCTATATCAAGGCGACCATCTCAAAGTACAGTGATTTAGGAATCGATTCATTATCTATGTAACCCTCGAACATTGAAAGCAGTTATATAAGCTGCATATCCTTAGTTAGTCAACTAATTCACTACCTAGGTGAAAACTATAGCCTAGCTAGGGCCCTTTCTATGGCAAAATCTGCGGTGATTGGCAGTTGGAGGTCTATAGGGCGGGAGATGTCGAAATTCATAGTTTGTCGCCAGATGAGATTTTTGTTAGAAGCTAGGTTCTACATTACTGGAATCGGTTACTTAATATATTTTTGCGCGGTAAAAAAACAATGTAGCGCGAAACGAACAGTACCTCAAGGACAAGAAGGGGAAAATGAGCGAAATGTCAGACGGACGGTATGGAACCTAGCAGTAGGGCATCACCCTACACTAACGGCATGCTACTGTAGAGCAGTTCATCTCTGCTCCATGCCGTCCAACATTTTACGTAGGGCACCTTGATAGTATTCTTATACTATATTAGATAGATTTTGCATCGATAAAGCTACTGTTCAATACTAGTCAAAGTGGGGTCAACAGAGGATATAGATGCATGCATACCGCCCAATTTGGTAATTTCTTCAGTCTCATCTCTAACTGGTCATGTATAGCTACTGGATACAAGCCTGACTAGGCTAAAGATTTACAATATTGGCAATTGATAAATACTAACCAGATATTGCACGTGGAAAGTACCGCAGGGCACTAGTTTGAATTGATAACATGGCATATCAACCATCAGGATTGACACATTTTCGAGAGAATATTGGTTCAATACATTAGTTCATTGTTGTGATCAAGGTGTCAGGCTTTTCTAATGCTCTTTTTGCAATAAATGATGCTACGCTTATTCGATACTAGTAGACCATAGATTGTAAACTAGACGATACACGACCAATCAAAAATACGTGTGAAGCGGGTCGCAACTGATGACAGCCACTGCTATCAAAGGAGTTGCTGCGGGTAGTAGTGTAAATTAAGACAAAGACAAGTGAAAGACTTCGATGGAGGGATTTCTTTTTTTTTTTGCTACGTAGAATATTGAATACAGAACGAGTGTGGGAAGATCCAGGATGAGTAAGTATGTGTAGCCAGTTCGAGGGAGATGTAAACAAGACGGAAAAGGAAAGGTACAGCTGGATTCCCGGAGAAGGAGAACGATAAAAAGAACCGGAAAAGAAGAAATGGACTTAACCTCCCTAAGGTTCCAGCCCTAGATCCTATCCTAATCCAATGACCCAGAAAATCAGAAATTGAAAGTTGGTTTGGTTGGCTTGTAAAAAAAAAAACGAGAGCTTCGTGAGTAGTGGGTTACATTTAACAAAGAACAAGACCAATAATCCAGAACAGGAGAGGGAATAAATCCTGCATTGCACGCTGCAAGAGGGGAAGAGGGAGAGAGATCCAGGTACAGTAAGAGGGCAGAGTAGAGGTAACAGCAATAGACTCTATTCCTGTCCAAAGCCAAGCGTTTCCTCCACCGCAATAGACATTTTGTGCTCGAGAGCATCGTGCGTCTTGTAAGGAGGGAGATCAAGACGGTTGAAGCTGTGTTGAAATAAGGTTAGCTATGATAGACCAGATATAAAAACCAGGATCGGATACATACCAAGTATGTGACTTAGGCAGCGCAGCAGGATCGCCAGACTTCTCGATGGTAAACCGTCTGGGACCATCGGATCCCTGCAGATCCTTGAATCCGTTGACAGGAATACGCGAGGTACCAGTAGTGAACTGGAGAAGACGAGACTTCTGCTCGGCATCCCAGGTACGGACAATCTTCCAGAAATTCTGGATGACCTCGTCCTGCTCCTGGTAGCCGCGGTAATCGGTGTGCTTCTTCCAGTCTTCGACGTCGATGTCGGCGATACCACCGATGAGCAACTCGAGTTCGCGCTCGTCGAAGACATTAACGAGATCGGGTGGGATGAGCTCGTTGAAGCCGGACATAAAGGCGTCGAACTGCTCCTCGACTCGCTTCATGATCTTCCATTCCGTAACCAACCTGCGACATGATTAGCGGGGTTCCATCATGATAAAGGGTAAGATTTGTTCCACTCACTCAATGTACTGTGGCTTGTTCTCGTTGGTGACGGGAATATCCCGGCCACCGGGTATCAAATCAATGGTGCGACGCTCGCCAAACTTCTCATCGTCAACCGAAAATGTGAGTTCCACAATTCCGTCAATGTCATTATCCCTACCATGGTGTTAATATAATAATTCCTCAAAATAAGATGGCACGTATCAAACTCACAGTGTCCATGCCAAATTCCGATGCAGATCCTCATCCACACCTTCCATATCTTGAAGACTGACTTTCTTGCGCAACATCATCTTGTAGAAAGCTCCAATAAAGAAGGAATCCAGGAAACGACGGTGGAAGATAGCCAGACCAACCACTCGGCCGATGAACTTGAAATAATTGAGATGCTCGGGGTTCACGCCCGAGTGGGGATTAATCTGCAAGGTATAATTATCGTGGGCAGAGTACTCGAAGAGACAATAGAAAGGATTGAACATTTCATGAGAGAGGAGGAAGAAGAATTCACTGCGAGAGTTAGCATTTTGACTGATACCGGAGAAAGAAGAACGGAACATACCGTGAAAGACCACCGTAGTCGAGACCATCTTCGCCATCGAACTTGATCATTAGGCGCTTCTTAAGATCGGATGCGCTCTGGCGCATAATTTCGGCATATGAATCCTCGAAGATGTTATTACGACGGACTTTAACGTGACACTGTCCGGACATAATGCGCAATGCAGGTTGGGACCGGAAGTAGATCAGCTTGCGCCGGAAGTCACGCTTGTACTGGGGCACACCCTGGTCCAAAGAGGAGGGGAGTCGCGGATCATCCCATGTAGTCGTCTTGGTGTTGTGGTCGACGAAATATACGCGAGCAGTGTTGGTAAGACGCATTTCCCAGCCGCTGGGAAGAGGACCCAATTGGGATACGGGCTGCTGTTGAATGGTGGTGTTGTTTGCGCCACCTGTGGTCTGTCCCTGGCCGTACATGCGGATGTACTGCTGCCGACGAGGATCGACCCATGTTGTCGTGCGCGTGTTGTGGTCCACGAAGTAGGGCCGTCCCTCGGGCGTCACTCGTCGTTCCCAGCCTGGCGGAAGCTCCCCTGTGCCTGCAGTGGTGGCTCCCGTCGCCATCATGGAGATCGCGGCGGCGTTAGACCCGGCGGGGGCTCCGGTTGCGAGAGAGGTTCCTGCGTTAGGCCCGGGTGGTGGTGTGGGTGCCTGCTGGGCATCAGGCAGGTTGGGTGAATTGGCCCCGGTCCGATCTTCTGGAAGCATTCGGCTCTGGTGGGCCCGACGTTCGAGCTGCATGTTTGCTTCGCGCTGCGAACGCTGGGCATGCTCGTTATAGTTGGCCGATGGTCGTGACCAGGTCGTGGTGCGCGTATTATGGTCCACATAATATGTTCGTCCCAAATTGTCTTCGCGCCGTTCGTATCCGGCGGGGAGTCGACCCTGGCTGTCCTCAAAGGAGCTGAGATTGGCGCGAGATGGGGCGCCAGGTCCAGGGGGATTGGTTGGGGCGCCATTCGACGGGGGAGGAGCGCCGGCTGGAGGACCGGTGGTCGGAGTGCGCTGGGGCAATGATGAACTTGAAGCTGCGGCAGGGGTCGTATCGGTATTGCTGGGGCCAGCCTGCGATTGAGCTGTTGGTGCTGCAACCTGGGGCACAAGGCCGCTGGAAGTCGATGATTGAGCCTGTTGACGCTGGAGTCCATTCTGGTTCGGATGCGGGGTGGTGAGGTTTGACGATAGATTGATGATCAATTTTCCGTGAACCACGAGGTTGTCGTTCGATTTTTTCAGATCCCTAGTAAGCATTTCTGTGGGGGGCACATGGCCGTCAGGTTAGCCCACGTTTCTCTGACTCGCGATCGGCGTTCTGCGGACGTACCATCACCACCCATCGACAAGTCAATGACATCGCCGATGCGAACATTGATGACTCCGAGGAACCCCTGATCCTTCTTCTTGAATTTTTTCTGGTCGAAGATTTGAATCGCAAGAATGCTGTCCTCATTGACTCTCCTGTAAAGATCCATAGTTAATAAGGTTCACCCTTTCCCCTGACAGCGGGCAGATACGTACAAATCGAACGGCTCATTCCAATAGGGATTCAGAGTCTTCTTGATCACCGAAGTTGTATGTGTTTGCTCTCCTCCAACAGTAGCGACGGCGAATGGATCGGGGAATCCTAGAAAGAGGTGGTCAGTTCAACCCCGCAGGACTCGATCAACCGATCCGAAGGAGACGACATACGGAAGACATCGCGTTTGTACAAGCCGTCAGCCGCGATAACTATATGTCAGAGATGTTAGTCTTGTACGGATGCGGAACCCCGCAGAGTCCCACGATGATTCGACGGAATGACAGTCTTACTTGTGACCCGGAGATTTGGCTGGCTATAATGCATGTTAGCGATGATCTGAAGATCCAGATTAGAACAGAGCCCGATGCGAGTCCAACTTACGCTGGGAGATTTGACGCCATGATGCTTTACAAGCGCCGATCAATCACGCCCAAAGAACAGCGCGGGCGCGCACATTCACGAGGGGGAGAAGGACCAAACCGAGTTCGCCCAGGGTCAAAGCCTGGAAAGCGTGAATAGGTTGGTGATTTGCAGGTTTGGTGATGGGTGGTAGTAGTGTTAAGAGAGGAGAAGGAAGAGAAAGAAAGGGTTAGGCGTTAGGTGCGCCCGGGGTTTGTATGGCGCAGGTACTCGGACTACGTATTCACTATGTACGAGATACCCGGTCAGTACTTCCTGGGGCTGAGCACGGTAGATTTCTAACGTTGAATTATAATCTCGTTATCATTTTACTACATTAACCAATATTGTATAGCCCTAGAAAGCCATATTCAATTTTTTCCCAGGTTACCTTCTAAGCATACGTAATAGAGTAAATTTAGTTAGCGGGTGTGGGCGGGTAGAGTGGCAATTTGATATTAATAGGATGGTAATAAGAGAATATCACAGCTATGCCAGCTACCCCAGCTATCCTGGTAAGAGTTACGACTTTTTGTTTAGGCAACCAGATTTAGATGATGTTCGAAGTTCTTTATATGCCGCCATTGGTACTATGGTATGTACCCTGTACTCTGTACCCTATATAATACACAACCCTTCTTGTTATACCCCCGTGTACATTAAATACAACTCCCAAAGCCAACAATAGCCAAATCTCATCTCGTATTCTTTTTTTTTGCTAATTCTTTGCCCGGAAATTATTGTACAGCACAGTTCCCACAACTCCATACCCACACATAGAGAAAATGAGGAGAGGATTCAGTTCCGGTCCTGAAATCGGACACCAGACCCGGGATTTCCAGAAGCACGCTCAAACAAAACACTTAGTAGGGCGAGAAACCACGGCCTCGGCCCCGGTAGGGAGCACCACCGCGATATCCACCACCACGAGGGAAGCCGCGGCCACGACCGCGGCCGAAGCCACGACCACGGCCACGGTGCATCCCAGGCAGGTTGGTACGCTTAGGCACGACCTGTTATTCGACATAAGTGAGTGTAAAGAGAATAGGACCAGCAATTATAAACCAACCTTCAAGTTGCGACCGCGAAAGACACTCTCATTCAACACCAGAGCCTGGGCGACTAGGCTAGGTTCCGCAAATTCAACATAGGCATAACTGCAGCGCGTTGTCAGATCACATCCATCTATATTTTCCCGTCCGTCTGTTCAGATCTCACCCTTTGGGCTGGCCAGAGAACTTGTCCAGCAAAATGGTAACCCGGTTGATGGAACCACAGCTCTGGAAATGAGCCTGAATTTCCTCCGGCGAAGCACCGTAGTCGACATTGCCGACGAAAATGCTACGCGCATCAATATCTTCCTTGTTCTCTTGAAGGCTCTCGGTTTGCTGGTCGAGGTCGGCTTGCATCTCGCGCAGCTTGGCGGCCTCGGATTCCATCTCGGCCACTCGTCGCTTCATGGCCTCAATCTCTTCCTGTAGGAATCAATCATGTCAGCGGGGTATGCCTTGTATATGAGAAAAAGTATGCGACGTTGGTATGAAAGAAATGACCCAAAAATCTCGAACAAAGAGTGGAATTGCTTTCAATGCAGCGGAACAACCCTACCTCGTCATCTGCACCATCTTCCTGGTGTGGAATCTGCTCCGCCTTGACCTCCACTGGAATCTCCTGACCTTCAGCAGCCATCTTGTCGGTAAAAAAAGAAAAGTGTTAAGTTGGGGGTATTCGAAGGGTCGGTGAACGCGCCGGTAATACCGATGAGGGGAGCAAGTCAGAGCTCTCCGAGGGTCGGTATAATCTTTACGCCTCAAATTTTGTATATGAAAACGAAGGGATTGAGTTGCTTGAACTTGGGAATGGCCCAGGTGATTTGTATGAGTTAGATCCCTCTGTTCAAGACCTCTAGGCGGCAGAGAATTGAAGTTCTGGGGTTTGGCAATGAGAGGCTTTCTATTTCGGGAATAGCGCCTTTCCGACGATAAATTGGCATACTGCCGGGCGGTATACTTCCAGCCTCACTCGACAGAGTTTACTTCACTAAATGTCAGACTAGGATATAGCCCTAGGCCTGAAATAGGGATCGTGGTTTTTGCTATAGTCTAGTGGTAAAATACGCTGTATATTTTCCACACTAATACAAACATTCGCCTTCCAAAAAGTGGAGAAATTGAGTATCTTTGTATAGCACCGTCTGTACAAAAGTACATCGGCATGATATTTCAATCATCTGAACTCTTCACCGTCTACTAGACAGGTAAATATATGTATACAGGTATGTATGTGCAACTTGAAAAGGATTACGAAGTGGAAAAGTCATAGACCATTGGTGTTTATACAGTCCTGTGTTTGACATGATCTTGTTCCTCTCCATTGGATATTAGTTTAATCCTGGGTAGTTCAAGGGTGCAGAAATTCGGACCATTGAGTTATCATGCCTATGCACTTGTTGTATGTGTTGAAATTTTGATAGATAAGCAGAAACTCCATGGCCTAGGAGAGAGGCGCGAAGACATAAGAGAATCACGAAACGAAATCAGAGCGAGGAATTCAGCCCGTAAGAATAGATGGCAATATCATAGAAGATTTTGAGGAAATGAATCGATTCAAGGTATCATGTATCAAATTGAAAAAGCATGAGATCTGCTACAAGGCAGAGAGAAGGAGAAGAACGTATGATCAGGCGAACACCAAGGCAATTATGTACACGGATGAGGGGAAAGGAGGACAATAGGCATAACTTATAAGGACGGCATCACGAAGCCGGGGGGTGGTTCTTGCGGAAGGAGACCTTCTCAACAGCCACATTTTCTACCCCATTGGCATCGGTCTTCAGCTGATAGACGTATAACACAAGGACATCACCTTGGATCTATTCGGAGTCAGCATGTACACTATCTTTCAAATCCGGCAGGGCAACTCACGTCCATCAGGCAGAAACTCGGTATAGGCTCCTCGTCATCTGGCCAGAAGCCCGAGCTCATAGCACCCGTTGCGCTTCCCGGGTTGATAAAGAACCGGCCCTCCATCTCAAATGCCTCGAAGCGGTGGGTACCACCCCACAGCAGGACGTCGACATCCATCTGGCGGGCTGCAATAAGCAGTGCCTCGGCGTCGGCGGGTGGCACGATGGTGTGGCCATGAGTGAAGCCAATTCGTAGACTGCCATGAGTCACGATCTTAGAGAGAGCGAGGTTGGGAGAATCGACATCGTAGTCGCCCTTGACCATCTGTAGGTCCGGGGCTACCTCGCGGAGGAAATCATAGGTCTCGCGATCAGTCAAGTTGCCCAGACAAAGGGTCTGGCCGATCTTGCCAGGGGTCAGAAGTTTGCGAAACTAGAATCGAGAGTCATTATCAGCATGCTGGAGTAGATTGTGACGCAAAAGACAGACGGACCTTGGCTGGAAGATCCTAGACGACGTGTTAGCGGAGACAGTGAAGCTGAGCTGAGGACAGCTTACAGGAGCTCGGTCAGGGATGAACAGGTCACCAATGACCAAGACCAAACGGGCGGTCATCCTGGATGGTGCGTGTGGGGTCAATGAAGATCAATGGTCCATCCACGGTGATTGGGAATCGGAAATCGGAGCAAAGCCAGAAAGAAACAACGCCTGTTGGCTTCAGCCTGATGGAGCTTCGCGGGGAAGAGCAACTAAGCAATGCCCTAAGCCCTATTTTATGTCCGAATCTGGCTAGCGCTATCTGCTCTATGAAGCCCATCTCGATCTTGGTTTTCTTTCGCATTGGCTCATCAGACCGAACGTCTCGTCCGAATGCTTTTCGGTTTGATGAGTCCAATCATATGCTACACCTCTCTTCGAGGGTTAACTCTTGGTGGAGGTCGCCGGAGGAGAATACTACATTGGGGTTCGACAATCGAATAGAGTAGCAGTTGCCGGGCAGACATCGGCATTTGGATTTGATATTATATAGACATTCAACGAGAGAACGAGTGTAGTATTCGATACTCCAATCTCCAATATATGTGAGTGAACGGTACGGAGTACAGCATATATACTTCAGGATGATATAAAATGTCAAACATCCTGCAGAATACCCCAGATATTGCCCCATATCCCCAAGTACCCTCCATAGAAGAAATCATACGGCGTAAGACTTAGACGGTTGGAAATCTCACTCGGTAGGATCCGCCCGGCCTTCCTTTCTCCGACGTCAAACCCCGAAAGAAAAACAGACACCTTCGGAGACAAGACTCAGTTCATATATAGCCCAAGTCTCACTTCGCACGTCCTCGGTTCTATCGTCCGAGTCAACAAATCATCGAATTCTCCTCGGAATCTCGGCCAATCCACTCGGCGGTGATCCCCGAAATCTCCTTACCCTCGGGAACTCCTCCAATCCCCTTTCACGCGAAGAAAAAGTACCCCGCGGCTCGCCGCAATCGGAAAACTGGCGTCCAGATCGCCTACGGAGCGTTTGAGCCTGATTTCCAGACACCTGGACCAGCGTCTCCCATTGCCTGACCTCAATACTCCCTTCTCGACCGAAAGAAATTCACTATTTCCCGACGACATCGAATATAAACCCATTGACCGCTCCATTCCTCCTGCCCCTCTCTCACCAACTCCCACTATGTCTATCCAAACCCCTCACAACACCCTCCTGATCCCAGGACCCATCGAATTCGACGATGCCGTCCTCCAGTCTATGTCCCACTATGCGTGAGTCACAATATATTATGCTACAATATACAACCAACTAAATCTCCCAGTGAGAGCCACGTCGCCCCCGGCTTCGTCAAGGTCTTCGGCGAGACCCTAACTCTCGTCCGCAAGGTCTTCCAATCCACCAACCCCACCGCGCAGCCCTTCATCATCGCCGGAAGCGGCACGCTGGGCTGGGATCTTGTCTCCGCCAACCTGATCGAGCGCGGGGAGAACGCCCTCGTTCTTAACACCGGATACTTCGGCGACTCCTTCGGCCAGTGCCTCGAGACATATGGTGCTAACGTCACCCACCTTAAGGCACCCATCGGCGATCGCTCTTCGCTCGAGGAAGTGGAGCAAGCTCTGAAGGAGAAGTCGTACAAGGTCATCACCCTCACACACGTCGACACCTCGACCGGCGTCCTTTCCGACGTTAAGGGCGTAGCACAATTGGTGCGCCGCGTCAGCCCAGACACCCTCGTGGTCGTGGACGGCGTGTGCAGTGTCGGCTCGGAGGAGATCGCCTTCGACGAGTGGGATCTCGATGCCGTCCTCACAGCTTCGCAGAAGGCCATCGGCTGCCCACCCGGTCTCAGCATCGTCATGACATCCGGACGCGCCATCCAAGCCGCCCAGTCGCGCAAGACCCCGCCTAGTTCTTACTATGCCTCTATCGCCAACTGGCTCCCTATCATGAAGAACTACGAGAACAACAAGGCCTCTTACTTCGCTACCCCACCCACCCAGCTCGTCCACGCCCTCCACACCACCCTCACCCAGATCACCGTTGATGTCCCCGCCCGCTTCGCTATCCACGCCAAGGTCTCGGATAAGGTCAAGGCTGCTGTTGCCGAGCTTGGTCTGAAGCAGGTCGCTTCCCGCCCTGAATGCCAGGCTCATGGCATGACTGCCATTTACTTGCCTGAGGGTCTGGTTCCGGCTGATGTCCTGCCTGGTCTGCTCAAGCGGGGTGTCATCTTTGCAGCTGGCCTGCACAAGGAGATTGCTACTAAGTACATCCGGTTCGGCCACATGGGTGTCAGTGTCACTGATCCCAAGCGTGGTGACATTGACAATGCCCTGACAGCGCTCAAGGAGGCTCTGGCCGAGGCCAAGCAGGCTAAGGGTCTGTAAGGGCTGTACTCCGGTAGATCGATGTAAATAGGATCACTCAGACTTGTCTAGAGTAAGCCTTGTAGATCAGTTTTGGTAAAACTACTGCAATGAATTATTGATTATTGATAATGTTCGTTATTTCAGTTTCAGAAACTACCTTGCATAGCATCATGACCCTGTGATTTTATGGAAGCTCATATATCGCATAGAAGCATCAATCTTTCTCTTTTACCTACCATAACATTTATAATCCCTACAGCCCTGAATTAACAAGAAGCAAACCTTCTAATCTGCAGCTACCCACCGATCCTCCACATTCTGGAATCCTCCCTATTGGCGCGTCTAACCATACCCAAGGCACTAGCCGAAGAATGCACCAGACTTGTAGGGATAGAAATTGAACAGCCAGTCACAGTTAGGAATGTAATATTGTGCCAGGAATTACTCCTCGCAGTCTTAAATTTTCCCTTGTCAGCTCCTACTTAGTATCAGATAAGCTGGAAATATGCCAAGACCCCCCTGCAACACCCCTAGACAGCAATGCAGAGCAACCCTGTCTTGAATAAAAGCGGTGGATCTTCAATGTTTCGCGTAGCACTATAGTGTGGACGGTTCCCGCATCGCTAACCGAACTAGGGCTATATTTCCACATAGAATCTCCTTGTGGTTTTCGATAGGGTTACGCCTGAGATGAATATGAAGGTGGTAGGAGTGGAATGTGATGTCTTTGATAGAATGTAGCAGTGGACTTCATTTTATTTGCTGTATCCCCTGTACGTCTGCTCACTTATATTATCATCCATAAAGTAGCGAAGCGTTCTAACCCTGATCATATCTTAATATAAAATCTATACAAGATGCATTACTTGAAACCCATCCTCCCATTTATCCTAGCAGCCGCGAGTTTCGCCTCAGCAAACACAACGACAGCCACATTAGCAGACAACGTGGTGAATACTACATGTGTATCGGACAAGTAAGTTGGGTCGATCTACGCATACGCATTCCAAATTGAGCCCAGATACTGACTATCTAACCAAATAGCATTCTGCAGCAATGTGTTCAACCAATGCAATCTACCTTGGCAAACTGCGCACCGGACGATTGGAATTGCCAGTGTACTAGTAGCACAAATATCCTGGAGTAAGTCTCATCTAACCCCTCGACAATTCCTAAAACTTACTCTATACACCACCTTCGCGCATACAAATAACAAATTGACACTAATACCACCTCAGCTGCTATAATAACTGTCCTAACGACACATCGAGAAAGGACGCCGAATCCATGCGCCAACAAAACTGCGCTAATGCTAAAGCACATGCGCCAACATCGACATCCACAGCTGCATCTGCTATAAGCTCTAGTAGAGCTGCGGCTACGAGGAGCACTGATATTGAGGATGGAACGGAAATTTCCGACTCTGAGGCCGAGAATGAGTTCAAGGAACATCCGATAAAGCAGTATAGTGGGTTGGAGGCTAATTCGATCCCTCGTCCAGAACAGGGATCTGCTTCTGTTTTGAGGATGGGTGGTTGCTTGAGTTTTCTAAGTCTTGCACTAGTTATCATTCTTTCGTTCTAGTGTTATCTTTAATATTACTGTGTGTACCATATACTATGAATACCGTCCTAGGCCTATTCTCCCATGCACATAATGTACTTTATTTTTTTCTCTGACATTTTCTTCAACTAAGTAACGCACGAACTCGGACCCAAAGAAAAAAAAACAAACCATTGTAACAAACTGCACAGTAGTAAAAGAAAACAATTGCCCGTCCCATAACGGGCTACGCATCATTTCCGAATGACTGAACAACTTCAGTTCCGTTTCTTGTATCTCCGACGGACTCTCCGGCAATCCAGCACAGGATGGTGACCCAGCCGTCTAAGTTATTTTGGATGCCATCCTTAAAGTCCATGATTCGCGACGAACGGACTTGAAGAGCCTTGGGATTCTGCTTGTCGTGCCAGATCTGAAGGATACGGACTTGAAAATCCGATACTGAAAAGACTGTGATAGGGATGTATCGGTGGTCGTTATATCCATCTTCGAGTCGGCGCTTAGCGATCAAGCCATAGGAAATAGATACCTCACCCGAGTTAAGGCGATCAATAAGGTGAGGCTGTGAATCAACTATGAAGGCGTTGATATGGGGCTGAGACGCTTTCTTCGCGTTTGTCCAGCCTGCGAGCTTCCATTGCCATTGGGGTGCATATACAGAGCCGAGATCGTTGCTATATAGTAAGGATGGTTAGATAAAGGTATTGTATAGTATAATAACTCAGCGACTTACTCTTCATCAAGGATATAAGCCGGCACATTATCACCAAAGAAGTTATCCAGAGAATAATGGAAGGCCTTGACCACCTGGCACGCGTTAAGCCACCGCCGGTATTGATATAATTTCGGGATATCCTTGATATTCAGGCCGTGGATATCGAATTCATCCCAAGGTTGTTCACGGATCACATATTCTCTCATTTTATCATGGGCGAATGGCTTCACAAAGCGAGGGCCATAGTCTAGGGGATCACCAGAAGATAATTCTAGTTCAGTGGTAGTGATATGCAGATTTTTCTCGTTGCTGCGAGAGAGAAGGAGAGCGAGGGCCTTCCGAGTGGCGTTATGGCAGGTTTTAACGTAAATCTGACCTTCATCCCACTGCGTCGTTTGGGGCTCATGCTCTGATGTGATGGGCTTCATACTGTGTCCGCCAGTCGGTCACGATAGCGAGGTAGGCGTTGAATTCTGCTAGATTGTGCTGTCGGAAACAAGTGGAAAGAGGAAGGAGATCCCTGGGCTTGCGACAGCTTTTATGGCTGATGTGACAAGGCTAGAACCTGTTGTTGGTCTTCTTACGCGCCTTGTTGTTGTTGTGTTTGTTGATTGGCGTCGGTTGGCTTGCCAAGCTGGAGTAAAATAAAAGCAACTAAGCCCAATTCGGATTTGATATGGCAGAGCCGCCAAACGCTACTTCTAACTAGGTAGAGTTCCTTCGTCGCTACTAGTAGTATATCGCCGACTCTCCTAAGTACGTAAACGGTCTTAACCTCCTTAAAAGTTTTAACATAACTGTTTTTGTGAAGTACTATTCGAAAGTATAGGTATAAGTGTAGGCATAGCTACGATCCGGGAATATTTCTAGTAGCAGGTAATAATTACTACTATTTAGGAAGAGTAGGGCGTTTCGCTACAAAAAGGCTACACGGTGAAAACGAAATTTCTAGATGTAACCTTTGACAGTGAGTGGAAACATCCATTCATAGAGCAATAAGAATGAAATAATCATAGTCGCTGCTGAACAAAAGAAAACGCGAAAGTAAAAATACAGAAAAGAAAAAAGCAAATTTGACTCCTCCGTGGCATGTCCTTCGGGCTGCAGCATAGCAATAATTTAGAGGTTCTTCATGGCAAGAATTGCGTCACAGACATCAGCTCCAAGCACAGTTCCAGCGTCAGCGTCACGAGTGGAGGTATCGCCAGAGTCGAACGTCTTATCTTTAGGGTTAGGTTGCCCAGCTTCCTCGCGTGTTTTCTTCCGATCAGGGGAATTATTCCACGTGAACAAGGGATTCTGGGAGTTCCGATCCGGAAACACAACGGGCTAGTGTAACCAGTGTCGACCGATTGAGGTACTCGCCGGCTGAGGGCCAAAAACGTGTGGCTTCAACCTTTCTTGCCACAGCTCACTGGCTCCTCGGCTCTTTGCATTTAGGTATGCAATGATAAAGCAGAAGTACAAATACCGTTCGCGAGGACGGTTATCGGAAACGAACATCAATGGCTTATTGTCAATGTCCTATTATATCATTAATATAATACTCAACTCTAGCTTTTGCAATACTGACCTTTAGTCTCATATAAGATCCATCAAAGAAACCGATGGTGTCCTCCTTCTTTGATTCGTCCAAGACAACACACCTCCATTGAGTTGGACTTTTCATCGGGCCGGGCATAGGTACAATCGCGATGGTACCTCGGTCGAAAAGTAGCTCAATATTTTCTGCTAGTGTGATGCCTAATTTGTATGAGTCAGTCATTTTCTTTGCCACAAAGAGAACATTCTTACCATTGCGGCGGTTACCAAGAACTCCATTGCTGACTCCGAATAGGTGGCAAACTTCCTTGGATGTCATAGATTTGGGTACAAGATGAGCAGCTTTTATATTATTTTGGGGAAGTACAGTGCCCAACACATGACACCACCCAAAGCCAGGGCGACAATGCTCATTGTTACCGTAGTACGCGTAGACCTTCTTCTTGAACGCAGATTGATCGAACTTGAACCCTTCTGTTTTGCACGTGCCCCCAGCACACGGGAGATTATAGCGTCGCGGTAAGCATGCTCGAGCAGGCTTTGGTCAACCAGTCCTTCAATCCTCTGACGTTTCGCTGAAACTTGTTCAGCAATGGGCGCTATGCCTTCAGGACATGAATGGTTGATGATGACGAACGGAAGGACTTCAAGAAGGGTTCTGTTTCTTGCTGAAAGGGTGTCATGGGAGATCTTTTCTGTCTTCTTGCTTCGTTGAGGCCGTCTCGGACACATCGCATGTACTCAAGTTCACTTTCCATTGCCGCGAGTTTCATATCAAGAATATCGGATGTTGTCGACTCAACTGACATCTCAGAAAGGCGGGATGCTACACTTACAGACCTTTGCTTGCAAGTCCGTAGCGCTAACTGACGAGAGGGCGCCATAAGAGACGATATTCTTTGGGGGATCATCGGCAGGCTTGTTCATTGACGGTATTATGCAGAAAAGAAAACGAAGGGCTGATCAAACTGGGAAGAAGAGGTAACAGGCTGGTGAGGTGTTGGGAGAAAAGCAATATCCGTGGATAAGCTAAAGAAAGGTGATGCCAAGCTGAAGCAAAAGAGCAACTAAGCCGAATTCGGATTTGACATGGCAGAGCCGCCAAATTACTAAAGCAGTTACTAGAGTAACTAACTAGTTATTTTCTCAAACGGTTGCTTGAGCAGTTTCTCGAGCAGTTTCTCAAGCGGTTTCTCAAGTAGTTGCTAAAGTAATTGACGATAAAGCAGTTGATTACGCAGTTAATAATGATTGCGGAGCGAAGCGTAGCAAGTAACTATAAATCAGAGGGTCTTACGTACGTGTCACGTGACCAAGTTTCTCCTAAGGCTGAATTATGACAAAAGCAGGGGAGTTGATCTAGCCGAGTGGTCGCTGTGAAGCCAATAAGCCAGTAAGAGGGGGGCTTTGCGCAGAATTAGAAGTTAGAATCAGTCGCTTCGCTCTGCAACGAGGCCGTCGAGATCCCTAGTATCTTACAGTCAGAATGACAAAACACGTAAAATACAAACCATAACGTTATCAGCTTGCGATAACAGCTTATACGGTCTCCACGCAAGCTTCAACATCCTTCCAAGGTTCCACCGTCTCCCCAGAACGAATTGCCTCCCCTCAGTAATCTCGCTATGGCGAAGGAAATAATTACAAGGATAGCACATTCCCAGCCTGAGAAAAGCCAAGACCATCACAATGACAGAGAGAATGACAACAAACAACATGAATCATTCCATCCGCGCCATATCACCCTAGAGACATTCCACAACCTGCTATCCCACTACCCGTCAACGGTAGAGCGAGTGCACCTCAACAAGCTGAGGCTGAAGCTACAGTCAAAGGCAGGGAAGGGACCAAAGCGGAAGGTGGGGACGAAGGTCAACATAGCGCCGACCACGAAGGCGGAGCTCGATCCGTCCGAGGAGAAGGAAGAAACGGAGAAATTCCTCCAGCTTGACCGGTGGCGCTATGAAGTTCTGCCGAAGATTATCGCGGAGCGGGCGAATGAGGGTGGTCAGAAAGAAAACGCGCCGGATGGAGCGCACTTGCTCAAGGAGGAGTTAATTGATATCATGGAATGGAAGACGTGAGTAACAATTTGCGGTATTCATACTACAAGGTCTGGTTTTTTCTGACTTATTTCTAGGAAGCATGGTGTTTCCCGTCCCATGCTCATGGGAATGGTGAAAAGCAACCCAGTTGCAACGATCACCAAGTCTACATCTACGGCTTTTGCCGCCCTCCCAGATGCAGACCCTGTGGTTGCGCCGGAAGATGCATTCCCCAAAGCCAGTTTGGACGCTCTTACTGCGCCTATTCGTGGCGTCGGCCCAGCTACTGCATCTTTGATTTTGTCTATCGCCACGGTCTTCGGCGATGCTAAGAAACAAGTCCCATTTTACAGTGACGATGTGTATCTTTGGCTTTGTCTGGTGGATTTTCCAGAAGGTATAGATTGCAAAGAGCAGAAGCCTTCTAAACACAAGAAGCCCAATGGGGAGTTGATTGTCAAGTACAATATGAATGAGTATCGAGATCTGTGGAATGCCTCACAGGAGCTGCGAGCACGGCTGAACAATGGCGCTGGAGAAAGATCCGAGGATAAACCTGTCTCCTTTATCGATATTGAGAGGGCTGCCTATGTGCTCCTCAATATCGCTGTCTCGGATTACTATGCTAGCCAAGAACCCGAGGCTGGTTTAAATATTGTGAAAGATATTGACTCGGTGAATAACCAGCTACCAAAGGAATCAAAGATAGATTCTGGCGAGCTTTGCACGAGGCGTAGTAAGAGGATAAAGCAAGAATCTCCTTGATGACAGCTGTACTATTGAGGATTGTGCCTGTCATGCTGCTGCCACTTATTCTCATACTCCTAGCTAAAGACAAAGATAAATTTCAGGAGGGATCTTAAGCAAGAGGAAATCTAACACGCATTATCCAAGATAAGGACTGCTAACATAGCCAAAGGGATACGACCGTATCGCACCTTCCGTGCGCTAATCGTATGCAAACTATGGCTGCTACACTTTCTAGGCAATGACATAGCAAAGGAAGCCGCACTCGAGGAGAGGGAATGCATAAATGCTCTCCAAAGATTCCGATATACTCTTCATGATCAACATCATCTTCATGACACACCACCTGAGGCCGATTCCGAAGGGGAGAAGAGCCCGGCAATCACAGAGGGTCTACATAGCTGGTTGACTTGTTTTGTATAGTTATTACACAGGACCTAACTCAACACCGCTATGCTAGTTACAGTATTCGCTACGGAGTATAGTGCATCTATGCCAAACCAGTCGCATTTTTTCTCAGTCTCATTGCTATGTACACAGTCACGGCCGTCACGCCTTGATTAAAAGCAGATATGGGATACAGGAGAGACGCATGCATCACAAGAAATAAAAGTGGGGTAGGGTAAGACAGAAGAAAGTCATCAGATCATGCAATCCATGCATTACGGGTCATCGTCAAGATGACCGGTTTTTCCAGTGAATTGTGTTTCGACATGACGCAGAGGGGTAGGGAGAAATAAGTAATGGTGGATGGTGGATAGATAGTCAGGGGACATGAAGATACGTAATGTCTCCCGTAGGGAGAAGCGAGGAAGAGAGGAGATGAGAGAGGTCGGAATGGTAACGGCACTGTGTGAAAAGTGGCAGTACAGACTGGATCGGGGCGCGTGAGATCATAGCAGGGCATTCTACCCCGGTTTTTTTTCATGTTTTTTCATAGAACAAATAGTGAACCCCGTCATTACCGCTTGGACGGATTAGGCTTGCGCTCGGCAGCACGCTTGGTCTTGGCATTGTCCGCGGAAGAATTGAGATAGCCCACATGCTGATCGTCGCTATCGCTGAACGGCACAATAGATGAGATCTTCTTAGAGCGACTGCGCTTCAAGGGCTGGGACAAAGGCGGCCCGGTTTGCGGCGCAGGACTCGCGAGGGAAGGTCCCGGCTTGGCTTCGGCGGCAGCCGATGGGGCAGCGGCGCGCTCGTCGTCCTCGACATGGATGTGGCGGAACTCCTGGTCCTCCTCATCTGCTTCGGATGACGCAGGACTGTCGGAGTCGGAAGCTGCCTCGTAATCATCCTCATCATCACTGACCAAGCTGGGGGCCTGGTTAGCTTCGATGGCGTTGGGGCTCAGAGTTTGGTGATCCATGTCCGATTCCCGAGACTGCAGTGATTGGGACTTGCCAGCGAGCGAAATGTCCAGGAAGGACTGTGGGCGCGAGGGGGTCGCATGCTCGATGGGCGGGGTGTGCGCGCGGTCGAGTGCCTTTCGGCTCTCTGACTCTCCAGCGGTTTGACCAACAGGAATACGCATCAGCTGGCGACCGGTGCGAGCACCAAGGGAGGGACGGCTGGTTCCCGCCGACACTCCTCGATAGTCATCCGTTTCCGAGTCATCGTCGAAAATACCACCGAGATCTACAGGCTTTCGGGATTCTTCCACCAACTTGTCCATGTTTAGACCAGCACCACGTGATTTCATGAGAGCGGACAGATGAGGAGTTGCAGGAGAAGCCAAAAACTGTGGGTTTGGAGGCTGTTGGATGGGCTCGGAGCGTCGGCGATTGGTCGGTTCAGCAGTTGCAGGAGGAGTGGTAACAGCAGACGTGGTAGCCGTAGCCGGTTTGCGGGGGGTAACAAAGTCCTTAGCGGGTGTACGAAGAGATTTCCAGGGGGTTGTAGCAACGTGGGTAGAGCGGATGAGAGGATGCACGTAGCCCGGAATTGTTGGATTGGCAGTGGGCTCAGCAGAGCCACCGACAACAATCCCGGCGTCGTCCACCTGAACAGATTGACCGCACGCCATGGCAGCAGCGTCGTGGCTGGCGAAGTTGCGGTTATGCGCGATGCGGCAGTGGTTAATGAATCCCTGAGTGCTGGAGAAGTTATCGCGCCGGCAGTCCAGACAGACCAGCTTGACCAGGACACCATCCGACTTGCGCCGGATGAGCATGGGTCCCGACTTCTCCTTGACCACAGGGTAACCAGCCGACAGTGCGGTATGCTTGGTGGCAGTCGAGCCTCGCTGGGGACGGGTCTTGCCGGCCAGCATGCCCATCTCACCGGGATTCCCGCGCGTCGACCGACCCTCAACCAGCGAATTGGCTCGCATCCCAGAGCCGACTTCACCACCGTCAAAGCGAGGGTCGGGAAGCAACCACCGGGCGTAGTGGCGGGCGTAGGGACCTTCGGTTACTCCCCATGGAGCAGGCGACATCGGCGCGGGACCATTTCCAGGTGCCAGCACTGACGCGCCCGTTCCCGAGCTCACATCTGGCGAGACACCGGCAACATGGGATCCGGGATACGGGATTTCGCCACAGCGTCGCAGCTGTTCCAGAGCGACTTGGCACTTGGCGATCTCCTGGTCGATAAGACGAAGTTCGTTGTGCTTGAGTAACACCTCCAAGCTCAGCTGGGCGGTGATGGTTTCCCGAAGTCGGGTCACACTAGGTCTGGCGACGACGGCGTCCTGCGCCGGCGGACGCGCGGATGCGACCGGTGAGTCTGACGATGGAGTTGGAGTAGAAGGGGTTGGAGTGATCGAGTCAGCAATCACGGTCGGAGTTGGGCGCGTAGAAATGGAGTCGGCGCAGACTTTCGTCCTAGCGGGCGCATCGGGCGCATCGGTCGCGTCGGACTCGGAGTCTGAACGTTTGCGTTTGAGCTGGGGCAGCGACAGAGCGTTGATACCACAGTTTGGGAGCATTTTGACATCATCCATCACCTTATTCCCTCCTATATTAGAGGGCCAGGGAAGCAGGCGAAACATGCCATGTGACTGCATAGAGATGGTTTTGGATTAGGTGGCAGATGGTCCATGCGTTCCAAGTTTATTACGGGAAAGGAATGGACGTCGATTGCGCGACCGGATGTTGATTACGGAAGGCAGAAAAAAAAAATCTATTAATAAGAGGGAGGAGAGTACAATAAAGAGAAGGGGGGGAGAATGAGAATGGGAGAAAGAATAAGGGACAGAGGAACAATTGGAAAGGAAAGGGAAAGGGGAAGAAAGGGGGATTGCGAGAGAGACAGAATAAGAGAGAATAATGGGAATGGGAATGGGGGAGAGGTGCCTGAGAGGAGAACGGGGTGGAGTGGATGATGCGATACTTGTTGTTCCCATACAAATTGTATGGTCGGGCCATGTACCATTGGATAATCCCATTGGATCAGTCTCAAATATCTGCGACACGTCATACACTACTTACCTGAATTATTTATTTATTTACGGAGTACAATACGGGGTATACGGAGTATCTATTCTATTATGAATGATTCAAGGCATCCATATTATTCTATTCACCTACTACCTATTCACAGTTATTGTATTCATCCATAACCTATAACCTTTTCACATTCAGACTATGCTGGTACCTAATATAAAGCACTCTGACCGATCCTCTTGCATGCCAAGCCTATAACGGGTCTGGGCCTTGCCCTATTCCTGCCTAAGCTAGCTGTATCTACGATCTGGAAGATCCCTAGCAAATCAGATCCTACATCTATAAATTTGGCCGGGGGCGAACCGGGTATAAACAGGTTCTGACTGCGCCTCAATTGGTGGTGCGAAACACAAAAGTACGACTCATATTCCATAGGTCAGATGTGGCTGAGAAAGCAAATGGAAAGTGGTGGAACATTGTCGAACCGAAGGGAACAAGGGAGAATAGGGGCAATTCTAGGGAACTCTATATACAACCATCGGAGCCATTATTCTACGAGATATATTGCCCCTATTTATAGCGTCATTTGCTTACATCCGGGGTATACTCTAGCCATTTTAAGGCATATCAAGATCGGACTCTTATCAAGATATTCCACGATCATAGTACATAACCCTAACTCGTATCCGTATCTCTTCCTGACTTTTAATCTGCATCCACTCAGACCTTTCGCTCATTTACTGTACGGAGTATACTTTCTGTCACCATCCTGACTATCGTAGAAATGTACTTGGTCAACCTTGCATAATATATATATCGTATTGGTTCCTAACACAGACAACAGTACGATCCCTCTCTCTAACATTTCCGAGGTAACCCGCTACAGAGTACAATATATACTTCATATACTAAGCACATTCGAATCTCCAATATTTCTCATTCATGCACTCCGCATTATGTGGATGCGATCAACTTCAGACCCCGAATTCTAATCCTAGCCTGCAGATCACTTGGACCTACGCACCGGTTTGAAACTCGGCTGTTCGTGTTGTAATCTACCAACATTAATTTCCGTACGGACTACCTAGATACTATTAAGATATGTATACAGATAAGGCATGTGAAAATCGTTGAACGAGGCCGTTACCCCGGTCCCCAGTTTAACGTTGCAATCAAAATAATATCCCCTGCTTTTGTAACAAATCGGTTATCGTCAATTGTCTTCTCCTCGAGTCACTCCAACACACTCCCAACATTAACACCCCTTAGCGCCCTACACATACAACCAACAATAGCCTTACCGATCCCTAACTAGTAACTACGGTATAAACCTAGTTGGCTAGCCCGGATGCTGGTTAGGTTTTGTTCCCGAGCGGGGACTTGCACGGGATAATTGTTACTTTCAGTGTGCTGATGCGAGGGGTGGAAGGGGATGGGAAGTTCTTACGTCTGTTGGTGAGTGAGCGATTGCCCTCGGGAGGCTGGTAATAACTATCAATGTTCTTGCGCTCCGTAGTATTACATTCTGGACGCAAAGTTCTCCAGCGATAACAGGTTTACTGCCAAAGGTTAATCTGAATCATTGTGGAACTTTGCTGAGCGTACCCAGGGATAGACAATTTTCCGTGAGATTGACAGAGTGTGTACATACAGAATGCCACGATATATTCAATTCTAGTTCAATCGTTCATTCTTTTTCGCTTGTTAGACAAGCACAATCCCCAAACGCCAGTGCAATAAAGAAGACAGACGCTCGACTCGAGCATATGGACGCGAAAGGCATTCTGGCCTCATAAGCGTAAAGCAGGCCAACACACGCCAAGTGAATACATAAAACAGATATGGTTGTCGAAATAAACAGTGAACGAACAAGAATGGGCCAACGTGATCAATGGTATAGCATTCAGATGGCGAGACGGAGAAATCAAATCTCCAATCCAACATCGCCATCCCCACAAGAAAAGCAATAGTATCCACTGTCCAGGCTCAACCTAGTTCATCTCCCCATCCTTAATCCGCAAGATGAAGTTAACAACGATAGCGCCGAGCAGGGCAATGGCGAGGATTGTGGGACCGAATCGATCATCGATACCGCTCTGCCCGCGCCGACGGATACTCTGCGCACGCCAGTGGAATGTCACGAGGGCGTAGATCATTGCGCCCATGGCGATGACGGTAAAGAGAGCTGCGGAGATGCGACCGATGCGATCGCCGAAGTTGAGGAGACCGACGGCTAGGCCGCCCAGGATGACGGTGAAGTTCAGCCATGAGAGGAAGGTACGCTCGTTTGCGAAGAAGACTTTGGGCTCGACTCGGGTTGGGAGGGCGATTCGCTTGCCTGATGGGTGTTAGCTGGGTTCGGGTGGAGATTGGAGGGTTGAAAAGTGGTTGTGGTGTGGGTTAGGATGGGGAGTGCAATTGTTCTGCTTCTCTTGAGTGTGGAGGTTATTCTGGTGTGAGTCGGCCTCCACAGCCTAAGAGAAGCAAAGCAATCGCGCGCCAGGAAGAACGGCGGTGACGGGAGTGTGTCTAGGTGGAATTGTCTCTCATGCGGAGCTGCTGAGATGCTGAGATTGGAGGTGTTGTCGGACTTACCCGGAGCGGTTTGGAGGAGAGGTTGGCTAGACATTGTCGGATGTGAAGAGGGGAGGTTGTTGGGAGAGGTCGGAAGAAAAGAATTATCGGAAGAAAAATCCAAACTCAGTCAGGTATAGAGACTGGCGAAGGAAAAAGCAAGTTAAAGAAGCGAGAGGCTTCAAAAGTCAAGATCTCGCCCCCCAATGTTCTGTTCCGTCCTAGGACTAGCGCATACAGCTCTGTTGCACGTGTTCCCACGATTTGATGAGAGGATCAGGTGACTAAGTATACGAAATAGCGTGGGTTTTTAGTTTTGATCTTAGATATTATTACAGAACACCTGTATCACTTACGTTAATTGGTTAGATCTCTATTAACAGAAAGTGCCTGGAATTCGACGCAAATATGCTCTTCATTGATACTTAGGAGGCACGAGTTTCAACCCTCTTTTGTCTCACCCTTATACGGCGAAGGACAATGGTCAATGCAAAAATAGGCACGGCATCAAGCTTTAGACTTCATTTTGATATCATCCGAATATCCTCCGAATTAGTAGAGTTGACAGGTAAAATGTACAACATTCAACCCAACATTGCATTATTGCATCTATACAAGATGCTTGTATCGGGTATCCCATGAAACAAATTTTTTCCCGATATCGCCCCAATTAAAATGGGTCGAGACCTAATTCAAGGTCTAGAATATGTAGGTCCACTTAGTCTAATATAGCTGCTATGCTGGCACTAATTGGGTAAATGTTAGTCTAAATTCTAAGAGATAGAATTATCAAAAGAGATTATCCTCCCGCATAGCTGTTACAAAGCTGTGAGATTATGAGAGATTAGCCGTCTTACCATCCCACCCTGAGTTAGGGTGGGTCTGTCCCACATAACGAGAGTTTCTCACATAACGAGAGATTTCTCTTTTTAGGTATCTTTAATATGGCATACCCATACAAAAGGTACATATACCCCATATCATATTCTCAACCCTTTGGCTAGTTAAAGGAGAAATAAGAGTATAAATCAATAATAAATTTATAGTTAAATTAATTGGCTAATAAAAGAAGTTTCAGATATCTTATATAGAAAAGTAAAGACCATATTTATGAAAGAGATGTATATAGAAACATCAACGTTCTACCACTTGGAGAATACTCAATATTTCATCCTAATATATTAATAGTAAATAAAATAGACCTCCTTTAGACTATATATCCCCTACTATATCTTTTGTAAGTATTCCTAGAAGTGACAAAATCTCTATTTCATGTTTATGTACCTTTTGTATGGGTATACCATATAAAAGATACCTAAAAAGAGAAATCTCTCGTTTTGTGAGAAACTCTCGTTATGTGGGACAGACCCATACCTGGTACAGGTATGGGGGCGGTAAGACGGCTATGAGAAGAGTTCAAAGATAATGCAATTTCCATGTTTGGCACTAAGAAATTTAGCGTGCTATAGTTAGGGTTTGGAGGGAGCCCAATCCTCGAGAATCAAATCCGCCGCCTTCTCCGCAACAGCATACACAGTGCTAAGAATGTTCCCCGAAACATTATTCGGGAACACGGACGCATCTGCAACACGCAGTCCCTCCACGCCCTTCACCCTCAATCTGCTGTCCAACGCATCACCCATAGCAACGGACCCGTTGATGTGGTACTCGCCTAAAACGAGGTCATGCACTGCTTCCCGGGCCGTAGGAACGAGGACTGCACGTGTTTTGATTTTGTGACTTTATCACTCCAGCGCAGGAATGCCGCCAGGAGGGAGACGTCTGCTAGGTGGCCGCCGTATTTGGGGTTGATGATAGGGGGTTTTGTTGGATCTGGAATCATTAGTATATGAGCTGATTGAGTAGAGGGGAATCGTGTTCTGTAACTCACCTGCACTCCCAATATGGATAGTCCCTCTAGACATGGGGTACTGCAGAGAAAACGCCATGGTCAAACCAGACGGTTGATCAGCCGAACGCGGTGTAAGCAGCTTGCTCTGATGATCCATCGCATGCGGATTCATGGAGGCTGGCACGGTAAGAGCCTTCATATTGGCAGAGTGGTCGCTCTCGAGGTGTGCAATAGTCTGTGCAAGTTGTTTCGTGTGGAATGCGCTTGTCGGTTTGATATCGCGAATGCTCTGGATGATCTCTCCCAGCTCCTGCATGGTGCTGACAGAGCTAAGTGGCCCGCCATTGGCTTCGGCATACTGCTTACTAGCAGCTTCCATTGCCTCGGGCACTTGATACAAGGTATCCCGTGTGACTATTCCGGACTGGACGTCCATCACAGAAAACGTGAGGGGGTGGTCTAGGACGTTCGCACCGACCCCTTTGTTAGCGGCCTTGCACTCGACGCCGGCGGCTTTGAGAATCTCTGGGTCACCGATCCCCGATAGCTCAAGGATCTGGGGGCTTTGCAATGTCCCACCGCTGATGATTACTTCACGCCGTGTGGAGACCTGGTACTCGACTCCATCGTGTGAGAAGCTTACGCCGGTGGCTTTGTTGCCGTCTAGTACTACGCGATTGACGAGGGCCGAGCAGAGGACTTTGAGATTTGACCGAGTGGTGTGGATGGCTTCATAGTATCCTCGTGCGGAGCAACTGCGCTTGCCTTTGTTCGGGCCGGTTCGGTCGACTGCGCCGAGGGTGTGGTAGAAGCCGATGTGGTCACCACTCCATGCGTCAGTGGGCTTGCTTGAGATGCCGGTTACATCCTCGCAGGCTTTGATGATGTCGTTCTCCACCGGCAGTATTGAATCGTTGAAGCTGGTGCGAATGGGCCCGCTCGTGCCGTGGAACTCGCCTACAAGTGGCATTGTGGACCGATCGGTGATGGATGGATCGATTGGCTCGAGGGTCTGTTCATTTTGTTGGTTTTTCCACTGGGAAATAACTAGATTGGAAAGTCTAAATGCTGAGATCGTACCTGATGCTTTCGCATATACTGCTGCATATGCTTCGCGGACCATTCATCATCCCCTACCAGCTCCGCCCAGTCGTCATAGTCTTGCGTCGATCCTCGCACGTAGATCATATAATTTGAGACACGCCACGATTGCCTTCCTATACCCCCAGGAAAAGAATTAGCGACTCGAAGCAGAAGTATGCAATGGGAGTACCTACCTGCGGCACCATATACATACACCAATCATACTTGGGATTCTCGAACATCTGCGGGAGTATCAACTATTGGATCTCCAATGCGATACTTGCCCGCCTCAATGACACCGACGGTTACATCCGGATTTTCGCTGAGGCGCGCTGCGAGAGCGAGTCCTGCAGTTCCGCTGCCGCAGATCACATAGTCGAATGTGGTGCTGGTGAACTCCTCGACTGTGCAAGTTGGATTTTCGGCCATTATATGATTGTTGATTCGGATTGGAAGAGTGTAATTGGGGAGACCTACAAGTTAAATAAGCACAGAAGGGATAGTAACCTCAGGTAGGACCAGCTGCGGGGATTAGCGAATACTTACTGATATGCCAATAAAGTTTAAAACATACCGAAAGCGGAAATATAGGGCATCCATCTACTTCACGAAGGTTGTCCCTTGGTCAAGATCACCGCTGTTGACGTTCATGTTCGTTGGCGGCAATTCTCAGTCTCAAAAAGATAGAAATCGTGTATTTATATGAATGTAAATCGCTTCAAAAAATGCTATATGTACAATGTGTTAGTCTCAAGTGACCCGACTGACCCGGCCATGATGTTTGGATGACCCAGTCACCACTCCAATACTCAAAGCTCCATCTTCCGCTGCACCCAAGCAAGAGCTCTCTCCCACCTCGGATCCACACACCTCAGAGCATCAAACAACTCCGAAATCAGAGCTCTACCTGAATCCCGCGCCCACCATCGCTGCCCATCAAGCTCCCTCAACAACACCCCCCAATACATAAGAATCAGCAACGAAAATGGCTGCCGACACCGGAGACTATCAACGAATTCTTTCTCAACAGCCGCAAGCCAAGCGAGAACCGGCGCCGGATCCGCCGAGCGCGCAAACTTGGCATAACAATGCCTCAAATGCGCAATAACTTTCTTATTAATAAGATGCTGCCCTGAGTAAATCCCAATCATAACTTGATCATTCAATTCCGACAGATGTGTCAGCGCAGCTTCTGCATCGGGGTCAAGTTCGGCAGGCGTGTTCTTCCAAAACTCGCCCTGCGAGAATAACTCTAGCTTAATCCACGACTTGGTGACTTGAATGATCTTCTTCACGCCCTGCAGCAGCTCGAACAGTATCACAATGTTTTCTGTGATACTGGCGCACTCGTCTTTCGTGACGGTTAGTCGGGGTGACGCAATGCTGATCGCGATCATGACGATCGAGTGCGCGAATACCGCGTCGCAGTTCTGCGGCGTGATATTATCAATCGCGTTGCGGAATGGAGTCAAACTACGGTTGTAGTACTGCAGTCCTGTCTCGTAGTACAGGAGTGCTAATTCTGGTGGTTCGCATGTTGTTGCGATGTGCATTGAGGCTAGCGCCAAGATCCCGCTCATCAGATATCCATATTTGAACGCGAGTGTTGGGATGGTTATTTGCCAGATTTTTATTTCCGAGTCGCTGATACAGAGGCTTTCGTACGTCTCTGTTGCGAACTTGTGCATTAGTTCTAGGTTGTCGATTCCGAATGAGTTTGTCTGAGCTGGTGCCGGGACTGGTACTGCTGTGGGAACGGCTCGACCAGGCACCGCTGTGGGCGAGCCGTGGCCATCTAGAGGCCGAGGTACGTCGGATGTTGAACTGGGTGGGGTAAGATGGGCTGTAGCGCGACGGGCAGCGGCGACTTTCAAATATGTGCATTTTAACTCGCGGGTTGTGCAATTCGAGCATGGTGGACCCTGCTCGTCACATTTGACCCGCCTGTTTCTGCATTGATCGCACCCGTTGCGGGATTTTGTGTGCGCGCGGAGAGGGGGCATGTTCAAATTTAATTGACATGCTGCGGAGACCAATCATGAAGATGGCTGTGAATAAATGCGAGGAAGAAATTATCCGAGACAGACATGTTTCCCGTATCATGTGACTCGGGTTCTACACCAATTTTGGAAGTTTGTGGCGGGTTGGATATCGCCTTTCATATGATGTGTACGGTATTCTCGGTCATAATGGCCAAAATCGGCAGAGCATTATATTATGGGCATAGTGTATGTCCTTATTGGAATAATCTTGGAATACATCTGAAGGCTCAGATGTCATTGCACAAGATACTATTATTATTAGAACTGAACATAAAATCAACATCCCCGTCCAAATGAGTTAAGAAGAACTTCAAGTGCACCGTACTCAAATCAGACCCACAACAGCAAAAATACCAACAACAACACCAGCAATGCTACTGGACATTTTCTGGGCAGCACCAGTGAAAGTAGGAGAAGCAGAAGCAGAAGCAGAAGCGGTAGCGGAAGAGCTACCCCAGGAGCCACTCATAGACTTCGAAGGAGTAGGCATAGTCTTGCCACCCATACCCATAGCAGCCATACCACTTGGGGTACCCATTGCAGTCTTCTTTCCAACCTATCAATACAAGCAACATCAGCCCTGCGAAAAAGGGACGAGGAATGACCGAACAAAAAAAGTCAAACGCAGAAGGTAATCTAATTTACCTCGACGATAGCAGGACCAGCAAGAATATTGTCATCAGTGGCCTGCTTGTTGCCCTGAGTGAGGACGACATAGCTCTGTCCGGCAACACCCTTGGGAACAGTGACGGTGAACTTTCCATTACCCATGGACTTGAGAGGAGCCCAGACTGGACCGGTGACGGTGATGAAGGCGGCGCTCACGTCACTGGCGCTCGTGTTGAAGCCGCTGCCAGCCATCAGGTGCACTTGCGAGCCTGTCATGACGGCATCCATCGGGCTCATCATGAGCGAGGGGAAGGCCTTCACGGGCAGCGCTCCGTTGCTGGAGGGACACGAGACGATGAAGGGGGAGGCGACGGTGTACACCTCATTGAAGTCGAGGGGGTTGTCGAAGGCCTGGGCGAAGGGGACTTCACCGAGCGCGGCGCGCAGGTATGCGCTGTGTCGGGCTTCGGTGGTGAGGATGCTGCCAGCGGCTGTCAAGTAGGTGTCGCTCATGATGGAGGCTGCGGCTCCGAGGTAGGCGCTGACTCCGACACCTGGGAAGGTTATTAATGGTGATTCTTAGTATGATTGGATATATTCTTACCCTCGAGAACACTGGCAAGGGCCAGGAAGCTGTTGACATCGGTGGATGGGAAGTTGTAGGTGCAGCGGGCAACAGGAGAAGCGCCGGCAGCTAGATAATGTTAGTATATTGGTCTGTAGTTTGCAGTTTGAATGACAGAGACATACCCTTGAGTGCGGAGGTCAAGAAATCAACGTGCTGCTTCTCATCGGAAGCAACCTCCTTCAAGTTGGCATAGAAAGGGTCCTTCATGCCGGCCTTGAGGAAGTCCTTCTGGGTGTAGTTCTTGAGACCCTCCTCGTAGAAAGTGGCCTCGAGATGCTCAAGGGTAAGAGCATAGTTGAGCACGTCGGCTAAAGAAGAAGCACATTAGAGAAGTCATGCATTGGTTGGGAAGTGACATACCGTCGCTAATAGCACGTGTCGAGACAGGGCCGGCGTTGGCAAGACCGATGGCAGCACCGGTGAGGGCAAGATTGGTGAACTTCATTCTGTGGAATAGTAGAGCTTCGATTATATCTTGGATTGGAAGTCTGGGTCTAAATGAAGGATGATAAATCTATTTCTAAGTAGAGGGACATGTCTTTTATAGCTGCCCTGCCGGCAATTTGGGGATCTGATGAATGGACGCCTGCTTTGAGCTCGGGCATTAGAATTGCCTGGCCAAACAGAAACTAGTCATTCTTTTCCTTGTTTTGTGGCTCATATTGTTGACATCCCAGGCGCAAGACTGAGATCGGCGGTAGAGGTTTCAGATCGAGACAGAAAGGGTTAACGGAAGACTCGGATGGGATGTCAACAATAACTCCGACAGAAACTAGAGGAGGATCCAGGCTCCACGCGATATCATCTGCAGGAACCACTATGGATCAAGCCGGGGCAGCTAGGGAAGTTTTCCCAAGTCGATCATGCTCAAAGCGGAATATAATGCCATAGCTTTGCATGGTTGATAACTTTATTGAGTTCTGGGGCTTTTAGCTGCATGGCCGGGGGTCAGGACCGAGAGCGAAAGCGGGACCGAGACCGAGATTAAGGCGGGAGCGAGACCGAAATCGGGGCTCAACTTAGAACTATGTGTAGTCCTAACAGGTCTTATTCCACATATCCCTTTTTCTTTTGAAGTTGAACAAGAATAGGTGGCCGCTCATGCGACCTTTGTCATTGGCGACATAATACTCTATTCAGCCTGAGATTATATAAACTTGGACTTGTAATGTTTTATACCATTGTGTGACTATCTTTTCTCGCACAGTCAACTACCTATATAATCATTGAATTTCATATGATAACACCACACACAAAGCTTTTATAGAGAACCAATAACATTCCCGTTCGTGATGCCGTGCCAATAGCGTTTACCTTATACACCGTATACAAAATACACGAGAGGAGCATTGTACTGGAATCAATGAACGTATTGCTTATAATTGTTAAGCTTATATATAGTTGTGCATATATTTGCACGCAAGTCTGGAGACTACGGGATAGGCATCAATCGCCGTCTGCGAGCAATTACTTCATTCAATTCACCCCTCCCCAATCATATACCGGAGTCATCCTCTTCGAATGTCCCCGGCCCAGGCCAAAAGGCGTTCCACTTGTCGCACGTTTCACGGATATACGACGCGTTTTGGTGCGTAGCGGACATTTGCCCTGGCTGCTCAACAAATTGGATGCCGAGGGACTCGCTCGAGTGCCACATGATGTGGCAGTGGGCAAGCCATGTGCCGGGGTTGTCCGTCTTGAAAGCCATGACCATATAGCCACTCTCGGGCCAGGTAGCCGTGTCGCGGCGCGGAGGGTTCTTCAGGTTGAGGGGCGACTTTGAGGTGAAGTTTCCCGGGCCGGTGCCGAGGATATAGTAGTCGTGACCGTGAAGATGCATGGGGTGCGACCTGTTGCGGCCCGAGTGATCGTTCCAGACGAAGTAGACCCACTTGTTGTTGGAAAAATTCTCGAGAACCATGTACTGGTCAGGGAATTTGTTAGTATCGTCGAGAAGGAGTAGGTTCGTCGGTGCGGACCAATTGACCCAGAGGTAGTTTTCGTTGAGCGTGAACAGGAACTCCTTGGGCGCGGGAGGGGTGACGAAGCTGAGGTTGAGCTGCTGGATTTGGTCGGGCTTGCCGACGTCGAGGGGGACGTGGGGAACGAGACTCTCCATGGGTTCATCACGGCAGTTGTCGGGGTACGTGTTAACAGTGGTCTTTGTCTTGGGGTCTTTCTTTGAGGAGGAGTCGTAGCGAATGATGCCGAGGGTGTTGTTGGCCTGCTGGTTTGCACAGCACTTCTCCTGCCAGTTCCCGCTGTGGAGATTTAGCTACAGGGATTTGCAGATGAAAAGGGACCACTCACCGGAGCCAATAGTTGTTGACATCTGCGTTTGCCTCGACAATGATGTCGTACCGTTGACCCATGCTAATTGCGACCTGAAAATAGTGAGTACGGAACACCGAGTGGACAGGATAATGTACCTACATTGTCAGTATTATAGGGAACTATGGGTACAAAGTCCATGGCAATGACAGTGAGGGTGTGGTTATCAATGGAGAAACGCATGTTGGAGTAAACACCGGTGTTGATGAGGCGCATACGGTACCTCTTCCCCTGCTCAAAGTGCCACTCAGCACGGCTTGTACCACCCACGCATCGAGGATTCTTGGTATCACAGGGATATATATTCTTGCCGTTGATGAGGGAACTATCCAGCGAGGGAGGCAGCTGAGGAGTTGGTGGTTTGAAGACACGGTCGTACCACCACAAGGCGAAGAAGGACTCGTGCGCCCAGTCTTGCAAGATGACAGTTCCTAGATCTTCGTCATAGTCGGCTGTGGCAGGTCCATGAATAATTATGGGACCTTGAAGTCCAACGGAGTACTGCATTGTAAAGTGGGAATGATACCAGGTCTAGATATTGTGAGTAGCGCATCTGCATAGATTGAATTGAACTTACTGTTCCGTAGTGTTCGGCATAAAATCTGTAAGTATAGGTCTCCCCGGGTGGCTACATAACGTTAGACAGGACTTGTATTTTAGTGATGGACATACTATGGGGCACTGGGTGACACCAGGGACACCATCCGCCTCATTGTTGTTCAGCTGCCGGAAGCCATGCCAGTGGATAGATGTGCCATTCGCCTGCAGCTTATTTGTGACGTGGATAAGAACTGTGAAGTTGTGAGTGAACGGTCTGGCTTTGAAGGGTGAATGAGCAGTTTACGTTCGTCACCCCAATCAGCCTCGATCAGAGGTCCTGGAATGGTGCCGTTGAAAGTGAGAGCTCCAATTATGTAGCCCTGATGGAATTGGTCAGTACCGACGGATGCTAAAAGAGAGATATAGACACACATCTGGAGAGATGGTTCCGTTGACGACATCAAGCCAGTACTCCCTAGTCACTCCAGTACGAGGAGAGTCCTCATAGTAGTTTGTGTCGATGGAGTAGTTACCCCAGCAGCCTCGGGAGTGAAGGCCATTCTGGCATCCTTTGGGCAGATTCGCAGGGCTTGCGTTGGGAGTGGTGAAGTTTGCAAGGGGATAAGGCAGGTAATCGGTGGCATTTTTTAAGATCCCGCCAGAACCTGGAGTATATGTACCGCTTGGAACATAGGCCGAAGCCAACGCAAGCAAGCCTACAAACACGTATACAAACTTGAACGTCATGATTATGAGAAGCACTGTTCTTGAAGGGATACTTGACACTCAATCTATACTAATGGTCCTCCAGAGAGCTCTTTAACTATGCCTACTATAGTTACTTGAAACCTGCGTTGTGATGATATTGTTCCGGGGAGGACTCTAACCATAAGGGGAAAATCTAGGACTTAATAAGGGCCTTGGAAGGGGTTTCCGGAGCACGTGTCATCCTTATGGGGGTTTGTGGTTCCCCAGTCCTCCTTACGGTTGTTCCGGAGGCAGTAATACGAGGGCTCAACTTCGGCCGTGCAGGACTTCCGGTCGTCAGCCAACGGCCAATCGCGACTATGAAATGGTTGGCTATTTCTGCCTATTGCTCACTAAGTTATAACTAGCATTAAATACCGGTCGCATTTAATCGATTTGATACTATCAACCATCTGGCATTAAAATGCCCTTTCCAGAATTAAATCATCTCTACTCCGTATTATTAGTGGTGGTATGGAGTAGAATTAATTCAAATAAGAGCAAAACTTGCACCTTTACGTAACTATGTTCAGGATAACTAAGTAGGATTTAACCCCTTATCAATGAAGCAGTTGACGACGAAGTAGTTGATATGACAAAAGTGACTTAATCATGTTAGTAATTTACATATAAATTGCAGGTACCTACTGTCCTACTACTATTGTATGGGGGGTATACAAATGAGGAGGCGGTAAGGAGTATCGAGACAGGTACTTAACCAAATTAAGAAGGCGGTACTGAGGTTTTCGGCAGGTGTCGCCCTACGGAGTAGTTACCATACCTAAACTAGCAAAAATAATGGAATACTAATTTTCTGCCAGCAGAAATAGCTAATCATTTCAAAGTCGCGATTGGCCGTTACATAGTCTAATGTGAGAATGTGAGTATTCTGTCTACACTTCTAGTCATACCAATAGAATTTGATCCGTTAATGATCAAAACAATATGCATAGAGTCTAGTCTCCTCATCTCAAACGCAAATAGCTATTGTGTCAAACTCAGTTTCAGCCTACACGTTCATCATATCAAAGGCCCGGTCGGCTTCAGCATACGCATCGTAGCCGTACAGCCAGGGCTGAAAAGTCGGGCATGTCCTATAGGCCGCGGACGATGATCAGTATTACATATTCCAATAATCATGAGTGCAGCGCAGGGGCGTCATACCAGCGGCTACTGAAGGCAGGCGTGGGCTCGCTGGCCATGGCTGCGGCGAAAATGGCGTCGCGCTGTTGCTGCGCCTCCCCATCGGGCATATGAAAGGCTTCGCGCTTTGGGGGCGTGAGCTCCGTGTCAGCATATGAAGGCGCGGTTGGAGACAAACGCTAATAAAGGAGCATACCTGCTTGAATGTCTCGAGCGCAATGGTGCGGCCTCTCTCCTTACGCAGGTCTTCGTATATCCTAATGGCGCGGGGAACGTCGCCGGAGTGTTTGACATGGCCAAGGAGGCATCCGAGTACGGCACCGTCCTCGAGGGAGGAGTTGGCGCCTTGGGCGAGGTAAGGAAGCATTGGGTGGCATGCGTCGCCGCTGGTGAGGTGTCAGAGAGGCCGTTGACTGATATTCAGAAGCGGACACATGATGACTTACGCCATCACAAAGTTCCCTTGATCGTTTCCCCAATGGTCGAGCGTGGGACCTGCCGATTCATCAGAGGCAAGTTTGTGGCGTTTGGGATGTAGCTTACAGTGCAACAATCTCCACTTATCCACGCTTTGTACACAATTAAGAAACTTGATCAAACTTTTTGGTTAGCTCATCGTTTGTGGAAAAGTGAAGTAGGAATTTTACATTGGATCCCACCCTGCAAACAAATTCTTCATCTCATCGAGGTCGCCCTCCGCTCTGCTAGAGTCTTTCTCAAGATCATCAGGCGAGAGCAGGACTAGATTGAATTGCTTCCCGCCCTTCACAGAGTAGCCTACAGCGTGAGAGTAGGGACCGATCCAGAAATTAACGGTAGGTTTTGACACCCACTGCACAAGCTCCGGGTCTTTCAAGTCCTCGAGGTTCAATATGATGCGCCAGGCGAGATCGCCGGTCGGGCTCGGAAGAATTGGCTTCTGCATGAAGAGGTTCCTGCTACGTGACCACAAGCCATCTGCGGCCAGAAGGATGTCGCCGCAGACTAATTCGCCCCCCTTCAGTGTGACTGTTGCCGTGGAGAAGTCGATATCGACCACCTCAGAGTCGAGTCGGATCTCAACACCAAGCTCGATTGCGCGGCCGACGAGAGCCGTCTGTAAGTCTGCCCGGTGGAGATCCCAGAAAGGCGCGTCGTAATCATTCTGAATTTTCTCCTGAAATCTCTGCTCTTGCGCGAGCACGAGGCTGCCGTCGTACCGGCGCACAGTCAGGGACGATGGTGCGGCGGCCCGTCTTTGTAGCTCATCGAAGAGACCCCACCGCTTCAGAAGGCGCGTGGCGTTCGGTGTGACCTGAAGGCCGGCACCTACCTCCTGGAGTTGCGGGACCTTCTCTAGCACAGTGACGCAGTGGCCTTCGAGACTTGTAGCTATTGATGCGGCAAGGCCGGCGAGACCGGCGCCTATGATCACAAGATGGAGCTGGTATGGCTCGTCCTCATTGTTGATTTTACTGAGCATGGCTGCTTATGGGTAAACTATAATCCTGATAATTGAATGGAATGGTGAAAGAAGAAACGAGAGGGCAGAGCGGAGGCAATAGCTATCAATGATCGAGGCAGTCGACAGAGGGCACACCTAGACCAGGGCTTCCCCACGCAACGGACCGAGCTTGCCGGGATAGCAGTACTCATATTGACAGGCTGGAGTTTTTCCTCTCAAACGACGCCTGAGCTGTGCAGAAGTCTCCTTTTGGTAACCCGGGTGCCATCACGCTTCTGTCCGACTCCTAGGCTTGAAAAAGGAAGGGAAGTGAGGCGGTTTCCGTTTTACAATACGAGACTATATATGTATTTCAATAATGTATCTTAAAGGTATTAGAATACTATCTCAATGGTATATGTACGAAGGTATATAGCGGCCAACAGCCGGATGCCTGATTTTACTGGTTTTATAGCCTAATTGGGACTAGCTCTTACCAGTTTTAGACCGCCTTTGACACCGCCATCTTTTGTAAGTGACGGAAAAACGGTGGTAAGGCGATTGTATATGTGGCAGAAAAATCTCAATAAATTCTCTAACTCTCTAAAAATGACAATAGTCCTAAAACATGACAATCTTGTGGACAACTTAGTAATCAAAACAAACAAAACAAAATGAAAGGATGTTTTTCGGGCGAAAAACTGCGGGACTGGTTTTTCGGGCGAAAAACCATCCTGGTCAGTCACGTGACCCAACTGTATCAGGAATGAAAAATAACAGTATTCATCCTAGATTCTGACAGTAAGTACTCCGTACGCATTGAAAAGATGAAGCTGTTACCATGGGCACTTGGCCATACCGGAGCTAGAGGATACGGAGAGTTCGAAGTTCATACGGTCGGTAGAAATGGGGACTTTGTATTGAAATCTAGGCTTAGCTTTCTAAACGTTTTAGGCCTTGGTGTCAGTGGTATCAGTGGCGCTATCAGCTTTTCTCCGGGAAAGTACAGGACTATGGCGGGGATAAATGGCTTCATGTTTCAACTTTCAGGCCGTTCTCAAAAACTTTGGTACTCTGCTTACTAGTTAGTAGATCTGTCATAGTAATTCAGGTATTTTAATTTCCTGCCAGTCTACAGTGACTGTTCATAAGTTTTAACACCCCTAAAGCCCCACCCAAATACCGCCTTCCTATACAGTCTACACCGCCGTACAAAATGCGCAGCAAGCATGGGAAATGATTGATCCAGAGTACCTAAAGCATCTCTGAGACAATGCTTCACCGAATACAGGCTATTATTGACAGTCAGGGATGGTATACGCCATATTAGTAGATACTAGTTTCAATTTATGGAGTTTTAGACTGGCAGAATATTACATAATCTAGGGGTGTGGGGCTAGGGGGTGTTAAAACTTATGAACAGTCACTGTAAAACTAGTAAGAGCTAGTCCCAATTAGGCTATAAGACCAGTCCACTATACACCTTCGTAGTATATGTATCATATCATGTTGGTATACCGCACAACACTCCGACTAGCAATACAAGGTAGAACTATTGAATTAGGGAATAGCAAATCCGCTGCAGTTTTGCGCAGCCAATTTACCAAAAGTCCAGCGCCGCCCTTCTTCTCTTACTCCTTGGAGGAACAGAGTCTTCCCCAGGTGCGTTTGTTCTCTTTCCCGCCCTTCCGGATTAGCACGATCACCTTGGTCTAACCCGATTGGGTAATATTATATATCTTTCCTTTCGCGGTTGACAATTGCTCCAAATAGACCCTAGCATGACCTTGTGCTCGGATGACACCACGATCGATGATAAAGCGTTCGTGACCATGCTTGTATATATTGCAGTCCAGGTCTTGTTCAAGCCCTCTTCTGTCAAAAAGAAAAGGCTCAGTACAACGTTTGAACTATGTCACTTTTTACACCCGTCTTTGCCGGCCTTGGCTCCGATATCCTCTTCTCAAAGCCCAGCCTCGACGCATCGGCGCGCGATGCGTTGCTAGCCGAGTCTCAGCTCCTTTTGCAGGCTTGCCATGCTATCTTCCACGCTGAAGTCTTCTACGCAATGCGCTCCGGCATTCTCTCACATGAGATTCACCTTGAGGACTTTGACACCCCTGCCAAACTGCTATCCCCCAAAGAACACTACTATGGAAATGTGGTAATTCAACACGTCGCCCTATACCTATCTCAGATCCTAAGATGCCTCGGTCAACTACCACAGCATGGCGAATTGCTTGAGGTTGCTGGCTTTTGCGCTGGCCTCCTCCCCGCTGCCGTCGTTTCTACGTCTCGCAATCCAATTGAGTTTCTGTCTCGAGCTCAGGACCTCTTCTATGTCTCTGTCTGGCTCGGGATCCGCAGCGAAAGTTATCGAAGGTCTTACCTGGCCCTTAACGACTGTGAGCCAACCCTTCCTTGGAGCGTTGTTGTCGATGGGATCGATGCCAAAGGTGCCCAAGAAATAATCGCCGCCTCGACACCGCAGGTAACCGCCATGTCCATTCATCCGGTTCGTTACTGGCTTGTGCTGACCATTTACAAGATCGTCGACCAAACTGTTTTTGTGACTGCTTTCAACTCGCTCAATTGCGTGACCTTAAGTGGGACTGGCGAACAACTGCAGAAATTCCTTTCCGACGAACTCCCTTCCAAGTGCCGCACACGAACAACCAACGTCCGAGCGCTTTACCATGTCCACAATAGGCTTACTGCTCTCAAGGAAAACATATACGAAGATCTGAAACAGCGATGCTCGTCGATGTTGACGTCTGTAGGTTTTGTTGCCCCATTGCTCTCCACAATCGATGGACAGCCAATGAACTACATCGAGTCAGAGCCTCTAGGTAAGCGCCATTCTCGGAACGTACATACTCTTTCTAAGAGCTGCATCCTGAATGAACATTCCTGTGCACCATATGTCGCTCCTGTCTTGTGGCCGTTCCGAAACTAACTTATACTCAGGTACTATCATCAACGCCATCTTGGATATGATAATGCTTCATCCTGTAGACTGGGTCTCGGTTCAAACCTCAATCTTCGCCGGTGTACAAAAGGCTTCTGCCTCCTCTGAATTCGGGACGTCCATTGAGATTTTGAACATGGGACCCGGTTACGGCATGTCAACATCGGCTTTCCAATTACCAAGCAACGTAAAAATACGGGATGTGACTTCGCTCCCTAGGGCTCTCAAATCATACGGCGAAGCTTCTAGACTGGAGCCAGACGATATTGCCATTGTGGGCATGGCAGTCGACCTCCCGGACGCGTCCGATGTAGACTCATTATGGGCAAATTTGGTTGGCGGCGTGAATTCATGCTCAGAGGTCTGTCTAAATCTCGGCTCGATTGTACAGTCACTTACCTATTCGCTGAGCTCATAGATACCGGAGTCAAGATTCCACATCAACGACTTTTACCACGCAAAGGAGTTGAAGGACGGTAACGCTAATCGTACCCTAAACACTAGATACGGTAACTTCCTTCACAACCCCTTTCAATTCGATAATGGCCTCTTTGACATATCCCCACGTGAAGCTCGCTCAATGGATTTGCAGCAGCGTATCATGCTACAGACGGCGTTCAGGGCACTTGAAAATTCAGGCTACGTGCCGGACTCGACACCTTCGAACGATCGTGATACGTTCGGTTGTTGGATTGGCAATGCCACGCTGGATTACCCCGCTAATATGAAGAACGACATTGATGTTTACTACAGCCCAGGTATGCTTACACGAAATTGCTCTGTATGAACAAACCGTTGTTCTAACGTGAGAAGGCACACTGCGGACCTTTCAGAGCGCACGCATCTCGTATGTCTTTGGGTGGAGTGGACCGTCCATAACATTGGACACGGCTTGCTCGTCTTCTATAGTCGCTTTGCACCAAGCTGCCAGATCGATCATTGCCGGAGACTGCCGCGCCGCGCTCGTTGGCGCCGTTAACATAATCACAAGTCCCGATGTAGGTTCCTTCTTTCGTGGTATTTGGTCCCGCTAACGCTTCTAAGATGTACCTTGGCCTTGATCGTGCACACTTTTTGAGCCCATCGGGTCAATGCAAAGCGTTCGATGCATCTGCCGACGGGTATTGTCGTGCTGAAGGGTGTGGCGCCTTCGTCATCAAGAGGGTCAGCGATGCGATATCAGACGGGGATCGAATCCACGCAATCATCAAAGCTGTGGAAATCAACCAGAGTGGTAACACGCATTCCATTACGCATCCTCACGTCCCTACACAGGAAGAGCTGTTCAAACACGTTTTCCGGAAAACGAGAATTGACCCTCACATGGTAATGTCATCTGGCTTTTAAATACGTGTATTTACTAATATAGCATTAGATCACTGCGATAGAGTTACATGGCACTGGGTAAGTCTCCACTGTCAAATAGAGATGGAACGTCGATGTTAACTTTCGACAGTACCCAGGCTGGAGACCCAGTGGAGCTGGAGAGTGTGCGGCGCGTTCTCTGTCAGGAAAGATCACCGGATAACCTCCTTCACTTGACATCCATCAAAGCCAATATTGGCCACTGCGAGGCTGCTTCTGGCGCTGCCGGACTGGCGAAACTGGTCCTTATGATGAAGCACAACCACATCCCCCCTCAAATTTCCCTCAAGGTGCTGAACCCACGCATCCGAAATCTTGGAGATGATGGCGCTGTCATTAATAGAGAGGGAGTACCATGGCCACAAGTCGATGGCCAGCCACGTATGGCGATGCTAAACAACTTTGGTGCCGGAGGATCCAACGGAGCGGTCCTCTTGCAGGAGTACATCCCAGCCAAGCAACCAGTGGAGTTAGGAAGTGATAGCCCGCTCAGCTACGTCTTTGGATGCTCTACTAAGAGCATAGCTTCTCTAACAAAGCTTCGTGATGGATTTATTTCATATATTATGAACAAGGGCAGGTTTGACTCGCTCCGAGACATTTGTGCAACAAGCACAAGCCGGCGCCAGATATATGATATGCGCATTGCGGTGGTCGCAACCTCCCATGATGACTTGGTAGAAAAGCTCCAAACAGCGATACCTCACAACATATCCGAGTCAGCGGTCAAGGAGCCGAAAGCCGTCTTTGCGTTTTCTGGCCAGGGGTCACAGGTATGCCTGGAACCTTCCCGCCACACCGGTTTGCATGACTAACACCTTAAAGTACATGGGCATGGGTGCTGAGCTCATGGGAATTTACCCAAGTTTCGCAAAAACAGTCCGGGAATGTGATGCCTATCTTAAAGAACGCAACTACCCTGGGTGTGTCCATATCATCAGCGCTGCCGACACTGGAAGCGAGCACCTCACGGAGAGTGAGAAGCTACAAGCGTTCCAATCAGCGATTTTTGTCTTAGAAGTTGCCCTTGCGGAACTAGTTATGTCGTGGAACATTGTTCCTAGTGCCGTCGTAGGACACAGGTGAGTTTGCTTTTTTGTGTGTGTAGAAATGCCCATTGACCATCAATTATAGTCTCGGAGAGTATGCCGCCCTAGTTATTGCTGGAGTTCTTGACACTTTCAGCGGGCTCGGTTTGGTCGCTCATCGTGCGAAGTTAATGATGGAGCAATGTCAGCTTCAAACTACCTCCATGCTCGCTGTCAATGCTAGCGCCGGCACTGTGGAATATTTGCTCCAAAGCTCGGAGGCCTTCTCTGGCCTCTCAATCTCATGCGACAATGGCGCAAATGATTGCGTTGTCGGTGGCCTGACCCAGCAGCTTCAAATCCTCAAGGAGTATATTCGTGAAAACCTCAAGGCTAAAAGCAAGCTGCTTGATGTGCCCATGGCCTACCACTCCAAGGCAATGGACCCTATTCTCTCCGAGCTTACCGAATTTGCCTCCACTATTGATCTAGGCCGACCAAATATTCCGGTGGTCTCGAACGTTCTCGGACGTACCGTTCAAGCCGGCGAAATTGTCTTCACGAAAGAGTACTTCGCCTTGCACTGTCGACAGACAGTGAACTTTCACAAAGGACTTCAACAATTCTTCACTACCAACACCGGATCAACGGCTAAGAGATGGATTGAGATTGGCCCACACCCATCATTGCTGCCTATGCTGGGTACGTGTCTCGACAAAACATCGGTCGACCTTTTCCCTACTCTGCGGCAAGGCAATTCACCTTCGAATACCATGGCACAACTTTTGTCTAATTTATATACAACTTCTACCGGCATCGATTGGCGCAAACCCTTCAGTGGTATGTCAAAGCCGCTTCTAGTTGACCTCCCTGGCATTCCATTCTCCAAACAAGAGTTCGGCATCCACTATCCATCCGAAGCGGCAGCGAAAAAAATTGACGCCGAGGCTGTCCGACCCGTCATTAGAAGCGACAGTTTCATCGCCCAGACGGTAAGCCAACCGACGTTGGATGACAGGTCTGCGATTTATGATACGCCGTTGTATCTCTTGAAAGATTTTATCACTGGCCACTTGGTTGCAGAGCACGCCCTTTGTCCAGCTTCGGTATATCATCAGATTGCACTGTCGGCAGTGAGAGACCTCGAGCCTGAATCCGCGGTAGCTCACATCTGGAGTTTGTCTAAGGTGACCTACGTTGCACCATTGTTGCATCATGAGGAGCCCGCCACAACGGTAAGTTCTGCTTCTCTTCAATCTGCGTGATCCTCCAAGTCATTTATCGCTAACGCTTGTTCAGGTGAGAGCCATCTTGAAGCCACTTGACGACTCTCGCGGATTCTATGAGTTTGATATCCTTTCTTACGACAACAAATTTGGGCCAAATCTAGGCACATCGCACTGCAAGGGAATCTTGAAGCGCAGGTCAAGTCCGGCGCTGCAGAAAAAGTACGCCCGTCTTGTGCCTATGCTGGTTCGGAAGACGGAGCACATGGTTTCAAACACGACACGAGGCTTACAGGAGATGCTTATGAAGAGAGCCATGTACGAACTAGTCTTCACCCGTGTGGTAACCTATTCTGAGCCATACCAGCGAGTGAAGTCAATTCGGATCGATGGAGCAAGTGGAGATACCCACGCCATCTGCCAGTATCCCGATTACCGAATTGGTACGTCTGGTCTGCCTGCTGCGAACGCCATTTTCATGGACGTCTTGTTGCATGTTGCAGGCTTCGCTGCCAACATCAGGGTCGGCACCCATATTCTGTGCATGTGTAAGGAGGTGGCATCTGCCACTGTCCTTCGAAGTTCTCTTGCTCCCGGAGACATATTCGAGGTCCATTGTAAGTAGTGCGGCTCACTATTTGTTTAGAGCGTAATCTAACATTCTAGGCACTCTCAACAACCTTGCCAGCCAAGGTTTGACGATTGCAGATGCCTATGCCATTGACTCCCAAGGAGTTTTAGCAGTGTTCAAAGGCATGGCATTCCAGCAGATTGAGCTCTCGAAGATTGGCAGGGCTCTCGCCATCACCGCAAAAAAGCTTTCAGGCGGCTCGGCCCGTAAGGCTGAAGTCGCTGCCAGCGTGCCACTCTATGCTCTCTCGGATCAGGGCCCAATCAAGATTGCAATGCCTGCTGCGTCTGGTCCGACAGTAAGGGCAATGATTGCCACGACTTGTGGAGTTCAACTATCGATAATTTCCGAAGCTACAAGCCTCGAGAGTCTTGGATACGATTCCCTCATGATGATCGAGCTGCAGTCTGAGATTGCGACCCAATTCCCCCAAGTCAGTACCTCAGAATTGGAGGACTGCCGGAAGGTCGGAGACATTGAGCGAGTCTGCGCTGTTCAAGTCCCTCTGTCTCCTCCAATCACTCCGCCCCCGGGACTGCCGACTGGCTCAACGTCTAGCGTCCCCAACACACCCCCTAGTATGATGATTAGGCCAGTCAACAAGAGCGATGTTTCTACAATCATCGCAGACACTTGTGGGACTAGTCCAGACAACATTTCGTCAAGCTCGGATCTCCATCATCTCGGCATCGACTCTCTCATGATCCTGGAACTTGAAGCTCGCCTCGAGGAATTTTGCAAGGATAGGAAGACCGCCTCTGCTGCAAACCTCTCAAATTGTCGCACAGTTGGCGACGTTGAAAGATTGGTATGTGCTCTGCCAGAGGCCTCCTAGATGTAAGCTGAGTCCATCGAGCAAGGTTCGTGCTTGGCTAACCCATGTTCAATTATAGCATGGCGTGCATAATCAAGTCCAAGGGGTAATGAAGTCTTCCTCGCAGAGCCACTCGCGCAAAGACTCTGAAATAAACGAAGCTCTTCCTTTCCCGCGTCTGATTGACCTAGAGCTAGATGCCGCCATGGTGCAGAAGGTGACACGTGCGCTCAAGCTTTCTGAACAGCCTGAAGTCATCAAGAGCGGCCCGTCTGTCAGCCCCCACTCTCTCCCACTGTTTCTGATTCACGATGGTAGTGGTGTGTGTATGCAGTACCACCGTTTGCAATTCCTCGACCGCCAAACATATGCCCTGCACGATCCCAAGTTCATCGACACCGCAGATGGTTGGTTCAGCCTCCGCCAGATGGCTGAAAGCTACGCGCACACAATCCGTCACACTACTAAAGGCCCTTGCCTTGTCGGCGGTTGGTCTTTTGGTGGCGTCGTCGCGTTCGAGGCGGCAAGGATCCTGATGGCGACGAACCACGCCGTGAAAGGCGTGGTCCTCATCGACTCGCCACCACCATTGGATCATCAGCCTCTCTCCGCTGATATCATTGAAACCATCACCGGTGGAGCAGAGATCTCGTCTCATGCAATGGGAAAGACCATCCGAGAGCTTACGCGTCGGAACTTTTTGTCATGCGCTGCCCTTCTCGGCGTGTACAAGCCTATGCACTGCTCTGATTTTCCAGCACCGCCAGTAGTCTTGCTCCGCTCCGTTGAAGGCTGGCGGCGAGACGGAGATACTAGTGACCCGCGAGGTGTTATGAACCCGAATTCCATTGAGAATGCATGGCTGCAGGACAGATCGGACGTGAGAACCGCTACGGTCGACTGGGAGGTCCTGACTGGTACCAAGGTGCGCTGCTTCGACATCCCAGGTAACCACTTCCGGGCCTTCGATTCGGAAAACATCCGTGAGGTGTCGAAGCGCGTACTGGAGGCGTGTGCTCTGTTGGAAGGTCGATTTGAGTCGTAAAGTGGGAGACTGTGTTGCTGGCTTGCCTTGTACATAAATGGTATCTCTTCATATTTATGCGCCAATGTATTCGATTATAATCAATCCATAATGGATGCCCGTACAATTCAGAGGTTGTAATTCAGAGGTCGTAAGCTTTTATGTCGAACACCGAGGTGGAACTTTGCAAGTGAACCTGGATCCCACGTTGTCGACATGTCCATTGAAACTCTCGTAAATAACTAGTTATGGATGAGTTTATGTTATAGTTACCAGTAACCAGCTCAGGGGAAGAATGATTATGTATTAGACTAGCTACCGTAGCCGCTTCTGAAGGGGGTGCTGGGTCACGTGGTACAGTGGGTACATTAGCCTGGCCCAATATTTTGGAGGTCCTAAATAGACCGTCCTTTTATACCGCCTTCATATTGAATATACTGCCGCCGACCTCGAGGTGTTTTAAACTGGCAGAAGCGGCAGAATCCGAAAGACGGTGAACTCAGGTACATTCCTTTGGCCCAATATTTCGGAGGTCCCACTGTAAAAATTACAAAATACCATATTGCTATCTTTCTACTCTGTAGAGCCCTTAACAGAGAAGCTGCGAATTCGTATCTGCTCAACTCCTTGTAGGATTTTAGAATTGTGATTCTCATGCGTATACTTATTAGATATCGATGCTTAGATTGCAAACACAGACACGCCACTCCATGCCGCCTTAAGAATGATTCACTCGTTCGTACTCCCTGTATTTTTATCAACCGGTTTATCCTCCTGTTCAGGGGTCTGGCTTGGCAATCCGCTATTCACGGCCTTTTCCTCATCCGTAGGCGGGCGAGGCATCTCGTCCGTCGGTGCAAACTTGGACCGCGCCCGGATAACCGCGCCGTACCTATAAAAAACGAAAGGTATGGGCATCAGCAGCACGCCAACTCCTCCGATGAGCGATCCAGCTCCACCCACACCGAGTGCATCGAACATATACTGTGTGAATAGTGGGGATGCCGCGGCGCAGGCAGACCGCAGGACGGTATTTGCTGCAATGGCGGATGCGGCATACATGAGGTACGAGTCGATAATATAGTTAATGAAAACGACAAATATGAGGAGGATTGAAGTTGCGAGGAAGGTTCCCGCCACAGTCGGCACGGCCCAGTGGACTGAGTTGTATTCCGCCGTCCAAGCGAACCAAAATATCGTCACGGCGAACATAACCCCACCAACCATAGCGCCGGGAAGACGATCTTCTGGAACAGATTTGTAGTTTCTGGTGCCCTTTCTCTGGTTTATTTGGCTATTGATGAAGAGCACGAGGCCGCCGAGACAGGCGCCGATGACTGTGCCGATCAGTGGCAACTCGCCGACGCCGGCGTTCCAACCACGTTTCTGCTGGAAGACAATGGGGTAGATGCTGAAAAGCATGTACAGCAGAGTATAGACGACGGCGTAGTAAATGGCGACGAAGAAGCTGATTGGGTCGATGAGAAGTCTCCATGGCCTTGTCAGGGCCACCGTGAAAATGCCTCCCAGGGAACGATCTGATGTCTCGACCGGAGCCTTGATGCTCCCCTTGCCGGGTATTTTTCGTAGGCGACGAGCCTTGTTGCGCAGGGCCATCATGGGAAGGGTTTCCGGAAGAGTGATGAGTAGAAGCTCGGTGGCACCTGCCATCCAGAGGAGCACATAGAAGGTCCAACGCCATGTCTCCTTTACTTGAAGGAACCCACTGACCACTGGCCCAAGAGCAGGTCCCACGAATGTCATTGTGGCAAATAGGATCATGGCGTTACCACGCTCAACGGGTCCCCATATGTCCGCGAGGATCCCGGGTGCATTCGTTAGGGCGGCACTGACAGCCGTGCCAGTCAGAAAACGGCCGACCAAGAGCCCAGCAAAACTAGGGGTAAAGGCGCATAGGAAACCAAAGGCGAGATACATGGTGAAGGAGATGTAGAAGATCCAGCGACGCCCGTAGAACTCGGACAAAGGCGCCCAGAAAAGCGGACCGGCGCAATAGCCTAGGAGGAAGAGGGTGGTGACGAGTCCAGCGGCCTCGGCAGAGACGTGGAGGTCGTTACTAATACCCTGAAAAGATCCGGATGGGGCAGAGGAGGAGAAAGTGGCATTCATAACGAGGGAGATAGCGATGGTGGTGATATAGCACTTCCGTCCAAACGAGTAGTTCTTCGGGTTCTCAGGGTCGTTTGGTGCAAACTCGAGGTGGCCATCCTTGTCAAAGAAGAGCTCCTCGTCCGGCTCCACTACGGTCGTCGAGGTGGACATTGGGAAGTTGCGCCTGACAAAATCCATTGCTCGTGCTGGTGAAAGAGAGTGACAGTCGCAGTCTCGACAAGGACTATAAAGCGGCCCGCTGGGGTTGACTTAAGATCCAGTATACAACATTTCCAATCGCAATTTCCAATGCAGATTTCCAATCAAGAATTCAACATCCATCCATAAATGGATATTCTATGCCATAAGCCTTCCGGGGAAAACATATTACTGTATGTGGCAATTCTACATTTCCTTCCGGACCAATGTGGGGCCAATGTGGGGCCGATACCTAAATCCGGTAATTTTTGGGCTCAGTTCCGGGACACTATAGGTATACAGATCAACCTCCCATTACCAATCTTGATTCCCGCTGACGAATTTAGAAAATGTTTGTAGAGTTCGTTTATCTCACTCTCCAAGGCTATGGCTACAAAATTGGCTCATGTGGTCATGGCCTTTGTCGTCTTTCACTCAACTTCCCGAGCCTTTACCAAAGCTTCAACATCATCCAGTCTCGCAACTCTTGCAACTCTCGCAATGGCATCTCCAATTGTCAAAATAAGCTTCACCGAAGCAACCCAGAAGCGCCGCACTATTCGAGCTCTCGAATCAAAGACGACGGTCCCCGACAGCACCGTTGTCAAGCTGGCCGAGGCCGCCCTCTTGACCGTCCCATCGGCCTTTGACAATCAGTCGGTCCGACTGACGGTTTTATTTGGAAATGACCATAAACAACTCTGGTCTATAACCGCTGGCGCGCTACTGGCGAGAATTGGCGAGGAACGCTGGAATGAAGGCACCAAGGACCGCATCGCCAACTTTGCCGGCGCCTACGGTACCATCCTGTTCTGGGACGACCAAAAGTGCGCGGCCGCGATGAAGGAGCATGCCCCGGAAATTTACAAGGACAAGACGGACGAATGGGTGCAGCAGAGCAATGGCATGCACCAGTACTACCTATGGACCGCCCTTGAGGCCCTCGGACTAGGAGTCAACCTGCAGCACTACAACCCCCTCATTGACGCCGAGGTGCAGAATATGTGGAGTGTTCCATCGGACTGGAAACTGAAGGCACAAATGGTGTTTGGGGTTCCCAAGGATGGCAGCACGCCGGGAGAGAAGCTACAGAAGCTCCCCTTGGAGCAGAGGCTGCAGGTGTTCGGAGGTAAAGCGTGATTGACAGAGGAACGAATGATTGACGGAGGGTCTGGAAGCGTGTCTGTTCACTTACCAGATCGGATGAACAATATTCACGAGGGAGTAAATAGCAAGTGAAGTCGTATTCGAACTTCAAGATAAAGCGCTTCGCATCGTATCGAAATTCACAACGTTCTGCTCCTTCATCTGCCTACATTCAAGAACTTCAGTGCCTTCTGGACGCCCTCTGCCGAATAAGGGTTAGAGCGCATGAGCTAATCTATTTTGGGCAACACCAACTCATGGCGCCAAACGCAACTGCAATCAAATGTGATTTGTATCCCACCAAATAACAGGCTAACTAGAATAGGAAACAGTTACAAGTAGCCAAGAGATCTCATGATCTCACTCCGAGGCACTAAGCAATCTACGGAGTAAAGGAGAAACTAAGCGAGATAATGTTGGGTCTAGGCCATAACAACGCACCACGTAGCAAATGACGTGCTGAGTGCCTAACAAGGTATCTATCTAGGTACATACATAAATAGTAGGTAGAAAGCGCCCTAGGAACAAATCAAAGCGCCCAAGTGGCTGTTTGGAGGTTCATTGGTCGGCAGATCGACAGGGTTGAGGCGGAAGGGGAAGGCGGTATGACAATTAGGTTTACCATTAAGGAAGGCTGAGGGCGGCATTATTCCTAGCACCATATTATTGGCCTGTGGCCCCATTTCCCGTTTAGATTTCTATCTCTCAAGGTTAAGATGGATCCACGGATGCACACACGGACCGAAGCTATGTCCAAGGTTTGTGGATCCCGAGGTCTTGGACGAGGCTTATCTTAAAGCTGACATGGCATCATACATTCTCCTGCAGGGCCCCCAACTTCTGGACATATAATAATTACCAAGTTCCTCCATGTAGAGTGCAACAGAGCCTCCATGTTTCACAGATTCTCTGCCGCGCCTGCAAAGGCAGACAGCCAAACGAAAGGCTCCGGATCGGTTCGGGCCCGCAGCAAGAACAACAACATGATTAGCAATGCAGACTCTAACCCTGACCCCGCAGACGCAGTCTATCCCCTGGCCAAGCGGCAAAAGGCCGCCAGGGCATGTGACCGCTGCCGCCTACATCGCATCAAGTGCGATGAGCAGAAGCCCTGCGCACAGTGCGTCGGCATCAAAACAAAGTGCGTCGTGTCATACACCCCTCCACGCTTCTCTCATACCAACATCGACGCCGACCACGCGAAATCCACGTCATCGGCAGTACCCCCACCAAGACCGTCATCACCCTCGCCTACTCACGCTGCATGTCACGACAACAGGGCCAGCACCAGCAGCTCCACCACCACCAACACCAGCCCGATCAGCCCTAATGTTCCTCCATCTCGCATAAACATGGACAAGGACAATATGTGGGCGACAAGAACCCCGCAGGATAATGTCACCAAGGAATGTTTCAATCTTGCTCATATCCAAGGCTTCTTTGCCAGTGGGCAGCCGGCCTTTTCATATAGCTCTGCCCTTGGAGGTTGCCTCTTCCCCCAGCTCCCGCATCCCACCATTCCCTCGGGGGACCACCTGCTTGCATCGAATGTGCTTCTCAAAAGCCAGCGGAGCTATTATCTCCAGCTTTTCTGGGAGGTTTGCCACCCGCTTCTGCCGATCATGAGCAAGACGGAATTCGCCGAGCTCGACGCTCTGCCGCCACCGGTCATGTATGATGAGTATTCGGCAAGTAGCGCTCTTGTCGATTCAATGATCGCTCTGGGCATACAGCATAGCCATGTAACTGGCCTTGCTGGGCGGGTATTGGGTCTCGTGCAGTCGCCCTCCCGGCAGTACTATCACGCCGCCCTCCCACCGGAAGCCACCTGGTCCGGCTTTGAGCACTTCCATCGCTGTCGTGAGTGCATGAGGACCAACACAGAGGTTACCTTGGAGGCCCTACGATGCCACGTTCTCATGATCCTGTACCTCGTGAAGGGCAACGCTTTCCGTGACGCATACAACCTGCTCGGCATCACTGTCCGCAAGGCCTACATCGCCAAACTCCATCGACCGCAACCGAGCCATCTGCCCGAGGCGGGAAAGACTGCTCGAATGCAGTTGTGGTGGGTACTCTTCTCCCTGGATCTTCAGTGCTCGCTGCAGCTTGACATGCCCCCCGCCAGCCAAAAGAGCCTCGTCAAATGCCCCCTTCCTGCTGAGGACGCTCTTGCCCGCTACGTTTCCTCCCCACGGGAGGATGGCATGAACGCCTACGCGTACTCGATCCATTTGGTTAACCTCGCTGTCATTGTGACTGACATTGGCGCATGTGTCTCGACCGCGGACCTTGTCGACGACAACGACGGCGGCAATAGCCCGGCCTTCCTCGAACATCACGCCCTAAAACTCTCGTCTGCTCTCCAAAAGCTCGAGGTCTGGCATGACCAACTACCCTCAGAGTTACTCCTGAGCCAGTGCTCCGGCAATAGTGAGATGCTTGGCTTTGATCTGACTCTACCCAACTGGCTGCGGCGGCAAGCGGTGCTCTTGGGGCTTCACTATCACAACGCGTACACGCTGATCCAGCGTCCCTTCATCCGTCTCCGCTACGCCCACTCCAATGACACTAGCAGCATGATCACCCCGCCCGACTCTCGGCAGCCGTGCGTGGAGCTGCACATTTCTAGCGCCCTCCACCACGCAACCATTATTGTCGACACGGTCTTCACCGTCTGCTCCATGTCTGACATCTTCTACGGCTGGTCAGAGGTCATCCAACCGCTCTGGAACGCGACGTTGACAATCGTAGCCTACGTATCTGGCAACTTGCTCAGCTCCGTATTGCCGCGGGCGCTCGACTCCCTTACGCGTGCCCAGGCGGTTTTCGAGTTCTTTTCCCCCACCTGCCCGACCTCCTTCTCTGCAAAGGGAATTGTCCAGTCGCTCGTCCACAGCCTGCAGAACATGAAGGCGCAGGGCGCATGTGCAGTTGCCCATGAAAACCTGATGGGCTGGGACCTTCTCGCGTCATTGCTCGAGGAGCAGCAGACGTCCCCGGCCGCCATCGAGACCGGCCCCGAGTCCAATGATCTCTATGGGAACGTTCCCTTCACAACCTTTATGTCTTCAGTCTCGCAAATCAACACCCGCGACTTCAACTCGGTCACCATGCAGTTTGGTGACTCTTAAGACTTGCCCCTAGCCGTGTATCGACCACGCCATCACCTTCTGGAACGACGCGGAAGTCGGCTTGGTATTCTTTCTCGTTGTTTGTCTTCTTGAAGAAGGCCTCGCCTTCGTCGTCAACGATTTTATCTTCCTCGTCCTAAAAGTCCGAGGAGCGAATATTATGGTTACAGCCGCTTACGGAACACGGAAATGGTTTGCTGCTACGGTACGGTATGAATGAGTGTCATTGCTGAAAGAATGCGACACTGGCGAGACGGATTACGATGGGCTCGCGCAGGCGAAAGTGCCACAAACGCCTAAAGCTAGCATTAATGGTTGGTCGCGTGAGGCATCAGGCACCTATAGAGACTTGTTAATTGTTAATTAGATATGGAGTGAATACTTCACCATTTTAGTAGATAGAGTTATGCAGAATGGTTATGTTAGTTATAAGAAGAAGTAGTACTAGTTAACGACCTATGGTAACCTTCTCTTGGTGTCAGAACGAGAAATACACTAGTTATCCTTACTAAGTAAGGTGTGCACCTTTTTAGCCTAGTGGTAACGTGCCGTGTTTTTCATCCGACACTTGGCAGAGGCCTAAGGCCACAAATCCTACTAAGGGTTCAGTAGCTCCTGACCCATTGCTATTCATTGCGTTGCATGGGAAATATGCCGTTCCTAAACTCCTCCGACACTAGCATGGCAGCCTCCCGACAAGACCACCCATCGCTACATCCTGCTGTTCGGGCCGTAAACTGCCGGGATTGTGGGCCACTTATCCACGCCATCAAGTATCGCCATGGCCATACCGCCCGCGAAATGAGGCTGGACGTGGCAGTGCAGGATGAAGGCGCCAGGGTTCATGCTCTGGTAGCGGATCGCGATCCAAGTCGGCATGCCGGGCGCTACGTGCTTGGGTCAGCCAGCCGCTGTGCACACTCGACGGCATGCTGGTCATGAGAAACAGAGACTCAGAAGCAAGACTTACAGGCAGGAATCGAGACGAAGCTGTCGCGAAAGGGGGGTTGTCGAGGTTAAAGGCTCCGGGCTGCGCCTGCATAGCCTCCTTGACGGAGGTGTAGTTGAAGTCACCCGTACCGCTGCCGATTACGAAGAACTTGTTGCTGTGCTTGTGGAACGAGTGTGGTGGCTGCGTAGGGTTCTGGCTGCTGGTGTCGGTGAGGATGATGATATCCACCCAGGTGTCATTCATGGTGCTGATCGTGAGGTTTGGGTTGCGGGCCGCGGCGCTGTTGGGGCTGAAGAGGAGGGGATGGCCGTCCGCCATGGAAATTGGGTAGGAGAGGTTTCCCTGGTCTTTCATCAGCTTGCGATCCTCAGGCTACGCGAGGAGAGTGGGGATTCGACTTACACTCAGGGTCCAGTTCCAGGCGGCGCCATCGCGGCCAGCTTTGTAAATGTGCGTCGCATTGACGTCCTGCGCGGGCTTGATCGCGGGATATGGCGCGATGGTCCTTGCGTCAAGGGTCACGACCGAGCTATTAGTCGCGTTGCCGGCCTGGTTGAAAAGTGCGTGCGAGTCTGGCGCGACGGTGACAATCTTGTGGCTGGGGGCATACGAGAGCAGTGCCGTGGCGAAAAGTATCTGGTTACCTCCCACGTTGGAGAAGCGCATGGTATAGCCGTCGTAGCTGGGCTTGTCCTTAAGTCTGACGAGGGCCGAGTAGCGCTGCGCGCTATACATCAGCATCCCGTCGACGCGTTGTGGCTGCACAAATTGTCCGTCTGCCGCGTATATCCACATGTCGTGATCATCGATGGAGACCATCGGGGTCTGCACGGAGGCGCTGAGGATGAAGTTGAAGCTGACCCAGCGGTCGGTACTGTTGACGTAGAAGACGGACGGGTTGGTGTTGGTTGCATCGCACGAGTACGCCAGCACGGGCGGCAGCGCACTCAGGTTGAATTGAAAGTTGCCCTCAATCTCGGGGATGCCAGGAGGTGTGCAGCCCTGCGCGGTGATGTTCTGCCCTTGCAGGGCTTGCAGCGTGGAGGGTGCTGCGAGCGACATGTAGGTCGATATCAGCAGGCAGCTCACCTTGCCTCGCCCGTTGATCAAGATCGAGTTTGTGCAATACAAATCAAGGTTGGAGTCACGCTCTGCCTGGAACACAGTCTTCGAGTCTAGGTGGCTCCAGTCTGATATCGTGACGAGCTGGGGGTCAGTCGCTGCGGTTTCCATTGCTGCCATCTCGGGCTGCGATGAGTTGATGAGACTGTACGGTAGGGCCTGTTGAGGGCTAGGATTAACGTGTATCGGACCGAATAGGCCATCGCTGATGTCAGATAGATAGTGGCCATGATACCAGTACTGCTTGGACTATTTAGAGGAGGTTACAAGTGGGGTTTGAATACCAATTACCGTGCCGTAGTCATCAGCTGTCCATTGGTAGAGGAAGGAACCCCCCGGCAGAATGGGTTTCTGTGAAATCCCAGGGACACCGTCAGACCAGGGGGTCTTGAGCTGAGTGATGCCGTGGAAGTGGATGGTGGTGTTACTGGGCAGATTGTTGTGAACCAGGAACTATGAGACGCTGTCAGGAACAAGTGGATGAGCGTCGTCTTATATAACACCTCTTCGTACCTTGACGTTGTCTCCTTGGTCTATGAGGAGGGGAGGGCCAGGCGAGGTACCGTTGATGAGAATCATCTTCCTGCTGAAACCGTCTGGGGCGCCATAGTCCCATGTTAAGTTGATCGTAAATGACACAGTTTTAGCCACGGCCGAACAGACTTTCAAGGCCGCCCAGAGCAGTATAAAATCCCACATCTTGACACTGTACGCAGGAAGTCTTCCTGAGAACAGCCGGTGTCGCCATGCTGTGAACGATAACTATTTTGAATAAATACTAAAGCAAAGCTATCCATCATCCTACCATCGGGTTCCCTCTTTGGGAGCTCCGAATGTGGCATAGCAGGCCAAACGAGGTGCCCAGGTGGAAAGCGAAGCTATACTCGTACCTCGTACATAGTCTCTTGATGAAAGTTCTCCCTTGGGGTACTTCCGGTACTTCCGGCACTTCCGGGAAATCTTTCGAGAAATTTCCTTTCTGGTTGGCTTGCAGCTTCGACTTGGGGTTGTCGTTTAGAGGCGCATACCATGATAGAGCCGGAATTTACTCAATAATAAGCCTTCCTGTCACCGGGGCCTTTTGTTCAGTTGATTCCCCTATTAGGCCAAAATGAGTCTCTTTTTGCCGTTCTGATATCGAAAATTGTCAGACTGAAATATGGGCCCTCTAGGCCCTAAATAAGAACCTTGGTTTTTTGTTTATGGGTCAACAACTTAGTGGTAAGTCAGGGCTGTATTTTTGCCTTCTACCATGCATATGGTCGTCGTACCAAATATACCCATACTAATTCCGAACCCCATAGGGGAGATGGTGTATCAAATACATGGATTTACACAGAATCAGCAGGGAATTAACCGGGAAGATCATACAACCAGCTTATATTAAGCCGTGGTAATATATCTTCTCGGCCAATCAACACTGTCGATAACCAAAATAGTGGAGAACTCCCATGGAGCAGGTTTTAGGAGGGTTCTGTCTTCACGTGCCACCCGCCCGGGAATTCGAGTCTCGGCTTTACCAATTATTTTCAATGAGTTGCTACTTTGTGACTACTAGTCAGTTATGAGCCAGCGACTATTATGACTTCTGCAGGCGTAAGCGCCTCTCATCAGACCCCAGAAGAAGATCTGGAGCGCGAGCGGATCCGTGATTTGTCGAGGTTTGTGGCGTTTGGCCAGTGTCTTTGTCCCACTGATCACCACTGATCATTCCCATAACAGATATTATTGTACAGTCACTCAAGCGTTCCCAGCACCCGATGCGACGACTTTTGAGGAGGATGAGACGCCCGCGACATTGACGGGAGATGAACAGCCCACAGGTTGCGAGCTAGCCAAGGACATTACCCTCAACGCACTCGCTCAGCTCGGTGTCCTCCGCTTCAATGCCAATCGCTCCTTTGTGTCCATAATCGACGGCGAAACCCAGCATATCATCGCCGAAGCGACCGGCTCAGTGTCGCTACGAGATAAGAATCGCCACAAACCAGGAGATGGTATCTATCTCGGAGCGCGGTCGCTGGACCTGATCTGGGGCGTTTGTCCCCACACCGTTCGCTTGTTCACAGGCCGCGCGACGGACGAAATCTATACCGATAATGTAACCGCCAATCGAACGCGCCATATTATTCGAGATTTCACCCTGGAGGATCACTTCAAGGATCGACCATATGTTCTACAGTGGCCGCATATGCGCTTCTACGCAGAGGTGCCTCTATTCAGCGCTTCTGGATACGTTCTCGGCTCCTATTGCATTGTCGACAACAAACCACGGGCAGATTTCGGAGATGATCAGGTCAATGACCTCCAGGAAGTGGCCGACGCCATCGGACTGCATCTGGAGAATGTCCGAATGAGCCGGGCCCATGTTCGGACTGAAGGATTGGTCAAAGGCTTGACAGATTTCGTTAAATACCATGCGGACTTTGATCCTAAAGAGGCCTCTAACCGTGGCCGTCTTCAGTCTGGTGTTAATGCAGCGAATTCCATACCACATGAAATTGCCGTCACCGGTCCGGTGCTTGATGTGCCATTGGGTCATGATGTTCGATGTGTTTCTCCCAAGCCCGAACGATCGCTTTCCTCAGCCGTCACGGGGGAAGGATCTGTGTTTTTCTCGCAGGATCAACGCTCTACGACCGAACTGTCATCTCTATACTCGGGGTTTTCCGATCAACCAGTAATGCTGAGTCCCGGCGAAGAAAAGTCGATGGGTGAAGTATTGAAGTCAGTAGATACCGGTGCAGCTCCAGGTGTCGATCAAGAGTTCTCGCAGCTATCATTAACCCAGGGCACTCCCATATACGAACGCATTGCATCTATATATTCGCGTGCAAGTACGTTGCTCCGGGAATCTATGGACCTGGACGGGGTTGCATTCCTCGATGCCTGTCCAACTAATTTTGCGTTGTGAGTACATCCATCTTTCTATTGAGTGGTATCTTATAACATTTCTTCGCCAGTGTACCCAAAGAGCCAGAAGTTAGGGAGCCGTTGATAGCTGCAGATCCCGGGTTCCCGGCTGCTCCGCTGCCTATCCCTCTTGGGCTAGCTCGGGTTGTGTCGCATGAATTTGACCTTCCATGCGATACTTTGAGTTGTGCGCTAAAGTTGCCATCTAAAGGCAATCATGGCCCAAATAATCAACCACGAATACCACAGGGATTGCTCCATCAAATGCTCAAATCTTTCCCTCAAGGTCAGATCCTAAGTTTAGATGAGCCTATTGACGAGGATGATTGTTTCTCGAATGATTACACCAGCGACTTTGATTCTCGGCCTGATCCCAACACTCAAACCTGTGCAAAACACCTTGCACGGTGCCTCCCCGGTGCTAAATCGGCCCTGTTCCTTCCTTTGTGGGATTGGAATAAATGTCGTTGGCTTTCTGGGGTGCTGGTATGGACTACAAGTAGTTATCGAGCTCTCGGGCTGGAGGAGTTACACTATTTCAAGGTTTTTGGTGATTCTTTGATTTCTGAAGTTTCTCGAATTCATTGGGCAACTACCGAAAGATCAAAATTCGATTTCATATCCTCTGTCAGCCACGAACTGCGGTCGCCACTGCACGGAATACTGGCGAGTGCTGAATTATTACATGCCAGTTCTCTTAGTTCATCGCAAGAAGAGATGGTGACCATGATCGAAAAATCTGGGATGACGTTGTTAGATACAACGAATCATATGTGAGTCCACCCGAGTAGACCTTGGATATAGAAAATGTACTAATACGCCCTAGGTTGGAATTCTGCAAGGTTAACAATTTGAGCCATACGGACAGGCTAAATGAAATGATCCCAGAAAATGACACGGCCAATCTTATTTCCGATTTTAACATTAGCCATTTGGTGGAAGAGGTTGCAGACATATTGTACACCGGTCAGCGAGCACCTGAGCAGGTGAGCCAGCTCGCTAAAAGGATGTCGTCCAACAAGGAAGCATGCGATTCGATCAGAAAGGATTCTAGGGCACAAAACCAACTCTCTGTTGTCGTACGAGTTGACCAAACGGACACCTGGATGATTCGCTCCCTTGCAGGTGCCTGGAGGAGAATTGTGATGAACCTTCTCGGCAATGCGATGAAGTGGACCACAGCCGGCTTCATCGAAATAGCGTTATCCAAAGTCAGAGACCGATCGGACTCCCAATCACCGCTTGTGCATCTCTCTATTACTGATACCGGCTGTGGAATCGCGCCCGATTTCATCAAACACAAGCTGTTCGCCCCATTCTCCCAAGAAGACCCGCTGTCCGAGGGCGTCGGGCTGGGCCTAAGCATGGTACAGCAATTGGTGATGTCGCTCGGGGGGCATGTCAATGTAAGGAGCGAGATAGGCCTTGGGACTCAGGCCGATGTCTACATCCCGGTTCAATATCTACCTGCTAGTATTGGTCCGGAGGATAGCCTGACACCGACAACCACTCAGCCAGGAACTACCCCAATGCATGCATGCTTGGTAGGCTTCAATGGTTATCCTGACCTCACAGAGACGCCCACTGGAATTCTCACCGTCGAAAGCAAACGAAATCTTTCCATTCAGAGTGCACTCGCAAATATCTTCATGACAAAGATGAAGTGGAGAATTTCTCTGGCTGACTCCATCGACAAAGCTCGTGGCCAGGTCATTGTCATTGAGGAAGAACTCCTTAAACGAACTATGGATGAAAATGGTCAACTTGTGTCAGTAATGGCAGCTCAGAATGGCTTTGACTTCTTCATCGTGCTGAGCGGCAATGTCCCAATCATACTTGACAGTCTCTCTGTCAACATCATCCGCGTTGCCCAACCGTAAGTTACAATTTCTCTACATTTTTTGTATGAAAACTAATCCCTTTTGCAGATTCGGACCACAGAAAATTTACAAAGCCGTTGAAAAGATTATGAAGTGGCGCGAGATCCAAACAAAAGCCTCGTCCCCTGTGCCAGAAGTTGCTTTCCCGGTCATGTCTCCACCAATACAAAGAAAAATCAGTTCAGACTCTGACTCTGATGTCTGTGGTAGAGGGACGTCTGAGTATTCGAATGAAGCAATGAGCTCACCGGGAGGATCAAGCAGCTCCACACCCCGACCATCCAGCAAGCAAGCACTGGCCCATGTGCTCATTGTGGACGACAATGAAATTAATGTCAAGGTACTGTCCCACGTCGCTTCCCAGGTCTGAGCACCACTAACACAAACTAGATCATGTCCACCTTCATGCGCAAAATAAACTGCAGCTATGACACAGCCCACAATGGCCTCGTCGCATTGGAGAAATACAAATCCTCGAACTTTCACTACGACTTCGTCCTGATGGACATTTCAATGCCGGTGATGGACGGCCTCGTCTCAACGAGCAAAATTCGCGAATTCGAACGCGAACATAATATCAGACCCTCTTGCATCATGGCTGTCACTGGAGTTTCCTCCACTGGCTTCCAGCACCAGGCTACTACGGCTGGTATCGATAACTACCTCATCAAACCCCTCTCCCTTCGCGCCCTTAGAACTCTTATGAACGTTTCATGATACCATCTATTTGAATTTAGGATGTCTGATCCTTGGCCCTCATTGCACAGCGTGGTGTTGGTGGGTTTTTCTTCGGTCTTCCATGTGTATAGAAATGAATACACTATAGAAATTGCGTTCTGCCTTTTGGTTCCAATACGTATTTGATGTGAGTTTCTCAACTTGCTTCGGCCGCGTCAATGTACAACGATAACGTAGGTTCGATGAATGTGAGACACGCCAAGGATCCCCGATCCCCATGTCTCACAAGTACGATGACCCCTGTACTTGTCGAGAGCGAACCATATGCCGCGGATATCTCTGCTCCGTCTCGGCCTTGCCAATACTTACCCCGCGCCCCTCGTTGATCATGTACAACGCATGTCATATTTTGTACATCATCAAGAAAAGCTCAAATGAACCACATACCTACTGGTTCAATAACGAATGCATAGTGGAAATATTCACCCAAATATCACAAAATTGTCTCATTTCTCATTTAGTCTGTTATAATTTGTTAATTGTATGGTTTAAGAATAACGAGCCGCGTAAGAATCGAGTGCGTCCGGGGCCTATCGCATTGTTGCATTGGGGTTGGGGTGTTGAAATCCCATCTTTATGTCGCATTGGAGGAGTTGAAGAGCCATCAATTCGGGCTGCAAGGGCTGTGAGTCGCTCGGGCTTTGCGTCATGGTTGGCATGGGTCTCGTTCAGTCGCGATCGATCTTCTCTAGAATGAGCAACACTGCCTTGTCGCCGTGTCCCTTTACATAGTCTATAAGTTCCTCAGTAACTACCTTCACCAGGCCCTCCGCCACCAAGTTCTCAACCTCGGCTTGGAAGCCTCCAGACACCCAGATCTCTTGCAGAATCGTCGAGACAACAACACCCTTATTCTTAGCGACCCGGACAAGCTCTCGCAGAGCAGGGTCTGGCCCAACATGACCAAGAGTGAAAGTTCCCACACACGACACGAGATCGTATGTTCCATCCGCCTTGTCAATCGGCCGGTTCATGTCCGCGACTGTGAGGTCTCGATAGATACCAGTCTTTCTTGCGACGGAAAGCATGGCGGGAGATAGATCAATACCATCGATTGCCTTGGCCTGGGCCATTGAAAGAGCCACTCCGACCAGCCCGGTCCCGCAACCGGCATCCAGTATCACGCTGTTTGTGGCGCCGTTTGAGAGCCCGTATTTGACGGCGGCTTGAGCGACAAGCACGGGAGCAACGTAGTTCTGAGCACTGTCTCCAACTTCGTCGTCATACGAGGCTGCCCATTTCTCGTATAGAGCCATGCAATCTTCGGTGCTGCTGCTGGCGCGGGCTTGACTGAGGTATAGTTCGCTGGCTGAGCTTGAGGCCTTGGCCTGGATTGGAGTTGGGGCCAACATTGTGGATGACTTAGGTTGGTCCGATGAAGTGCTTTGTTAAATGGTTCAGGAGGTTGAAATATTGCGTGTGTGGTTGCGAAGGGATCTTGGTATTTCTGCCCTAAGATATTAGAACTGAATGAGTTGTAGTCCATTCCCAAGCCTTTGCCGGTGTTCTTATAGTCATTGGACAGCACTTGGACATATTCTAGAAGTTATGGCGTGATGCGGGGTTATTGATGAATGGACCTCAAAAGAGTGAAGTTTGGTCGATCGATGATGTCGGTGGAACATAGGTTCGAGCGTGCTGAGCCTGGGCCTGGGCCTAGGCATGATGCATGTTCCTACGCTGAGTATCTACCCGGTTGCCGAGGTAATGAAAACACCTTTTTTTTATTCAATCATCCGCAGATGGAAGATATGAAAAGCAGCAATCATTGCTGTTGATTTGAGGCTCTGCCTTGAGTCGTACGGAAAGACTAGAGAATATTTTGTCTCACGGACCTTTCTTCCTCTGAAACACAATTATCCACCAGTCATACATGTCATAGGGATTTGCACTTGGCCAATCATCCGATCTGATCTGGACATGTAACCTGTTCTCTTGTTCTCGTCCAGATATCCCCCATAAATTAAGATTAGATTGACGTGGAGGGCCCCACCGGGGTTACCATTATAGCGTCGATCTATTTCCTAGAGTGGCTTGGCTCCATCTTAGCCTCAATTTATTCCGAGGTCGAGTAATATGGGGTAGCTGTAGAGTGGTCAACCTCGTTTTCTTACCAGTGCTCCTTGCGTGCACCTATGCATCATTACCTAGTGATGATTGGTTTTTTCGCAGATTTCCAGGCCAGCATTACACCTCCGTTCAATCCAATAGCAAAGAATGCTAGATGCGAAGTGAGAGTGAGAATAATTTGCCGCGGTAGCCAGATACACTGATGGTCAGTGATAATACCACTCTGTCGGACTCTATAGCCCTATTTGTGTGTGCGGATCACGTGCATACGGTATTTTTCATCTTCGACATTGAGTTTTAAGCCTCCGTGGCACTTTCCCTTTCGGGAACCGAGGTTTCCCTTCATCTCCCAACGAAAATCTAGATGGAGTAGAACTCAGGTATTATTGACTATATACCAAGACTTATGTGAATACTCACACGACAGAGCAGCTGACTGGATATTGAACAGAGGTGATTGACGACCAGTAGCTTTTCAATTATCCACTATGTCCGCGTCCATGCCTGTTCGCAGAAGGCCTCACGAATCGTCTTTTGAGGCCACACAACAGGGTTGAGCCCGGGTACCTTTCATAAAATCTCGAGGAATCTCCACGATACATGGCTTCCTATTAAGGCTCATCAGCACATCTATGGAACATTGCCCTCCCGAGAAGGAAATGTGCTGGATCTTTCACATAGTTGGATCTGTCAGCATTTGAAGGTATTCATGGTGGCTTGACTGCCCTGTCACTGTTATCATCTCTAATGTCTACTTTAGAGGGTTTTCAGACCGCTTTCTCATGTCCTTTTCGATGCCGTCAGAAACGGATCGATAACGAGGATCCGACGGACCCGAATGATTGGAGCCGTGCTTTCGCTAGTGAAACAAAATATTCTGAGAAGACCCTCCGATCAATCGGATTCTACCTTCACGAAACGAATATACGGAGCGAGTTTGGAAATACCTCGAGACTCCCCAATCCTTGGTCATCTTCGGTCGCCACTATTGCCGTTTCATATCCTCTTCCAGTTCATAACTCGAAAATACAGATGGAACGACAATCATTCGATATTATTTCCCTTGTGTACACAATCTTCGAGATTACCGCAGGTTATTCCACCAAATCTCGGCGTAAGCATGGCGCTTATGTTTAAACCCGATACGGCCCTCTTTCTATTAAGCCGTCTTGGAAATGGAACACACAACTATGGCCGCACATCTCGTTATGGGAGCACCGCCGAGCACGGGCAAAAAGAACCGCATCTTTGAATCAGAGGACTGTCGATCAGGTTTGAGTTGTACCTAAGGCCCAATACTCTCTCTACACACCAGGAGACAGTAAAATTCCCCGACAAGTTCTCCCTCAGGCAGATTACGAAAATCCTAACTGGTGCTCTTTGCCGAGCAAAGTTATGCTTTCGGCTGCTTTTGTTCCCTAGGAGAAGTGAATAGTTGCGGTAGTTCTTTAACAAGAAGTTGGAAAACAGAGACGTGTCACTTTTATGTACCTCAATAATATTGCGTGCAACTTGTCATATATCGTAATATGAAGTAGCTCTAAGATCAATAAAGACCTTAAATCAAAGATTCTCTGTCCGCTCCACAGAAATTGTTTCCCGTCCAATCAACCACGAGTTCGTGACTGCCACTCATGGTCATCTATCAAATACTACGGAGTTCGTATCACATGCAACTAAATTGCGATCTTGTCTCCTGTGCACGGGCCATAAATAGGTAATATTACCAGAATAGGAACATTGTGATACGCTATGATACGCTGAAAATTACGAGATCTTTGTCGAACTACATGAGGTCTTCGTTATTTTCCCACAATCTTTTCTCTCCGCCATCACATGTCCACCTTTTATTTACTCTATCTACTTTTTGATAAACACACCTCATATGACAGTGACGATGGGCAAGATGAACGACAACTCATTCCACTACTTCATGCGGCTGCCTCTGGAACTGCGCCGCATTATCTGGATGCACTGTCTACCGTATCGTATTGCAGAAGAAGACATCCCTGACTGCCTTTTCAACGGCTGCGAATCCAACCAAGCCTGCGACACCCGCAAGACGATGAAGCAAAACGCTCAGCTGCCGACCATCGCATTCGTTAACAGCGAGTCTCGACAGGTCGCGCTAGAACAGGGACAAATATTGAAATCTGTGGAGATCAATACTCTGGAGTTAATATGGGTACAGCCGCGTCGGGATGTACTGCATATTAACTGGATACGACTATACTACACTATCCGGGGAGTTGATGACGATGCTCCGGGTAGGGCTGACGAGTTCCTATTGCATGCGAAGGATCTTGGGATGCGTCCTTCTGTCATGGCGGAACTTATTCACCCTTTTAACTTGAAGGCGGTGTTAGATGGCGGTGATGGTTCTGATCCGCCCGGTGACCCGTCGCCTTTTTATACCGGCGTATCTGTCATGCCGGTGCTTCCTTATCACTGCATAGAAGGTGATGATATGCGCGAGATGGTCGATGTTCTACCTTGGGCGAAAGGCCAAAGAAGCAGGCTAGACATAGCCATGGCGGGGGTTTCTCTACATATCACCAGGGAAGCAGCTCTGAGGTCTGGCCTGTTTGGGTTATTGGGTGATGCGCCTGTTCAGATGGTTGATGTTGATGACAAGGCTCGGTTGAGGGAGTTTGAAGCATTGTTCAGGGAACACACAGTTGAAAAGGAACCAGCCGTGCAAAGGCTATTCGATGCATTCACAAGCTCTCGATTCCAAACGGCTACGAAAAAATGGAAAAGAAAAGCTGAATGGTCTATCCTGGCTTACATGTGGCAATCGGCACGAGACAGAGAGCTCGACATCCTTGGGACGAACCCGGGCTCTGCTTGGCTACCTCACCTGTCAGAGGAGAATAATATCAGCATGTCTCAGTATTTACCCGATGAGAGGCATCCGTGGGTGAAGCAAGCTAGGCAGGTCGCCCCCAAGCTGCGACTGCGGATCATGGTGCGGTATTGTACCAATGAGTGTTGCATAAAGGAGTTACGTCCCGAATTCTTCGGGTATCCATAAGTAGTACTTATATGGTAACAAAGAGTCTTTTCCTATATAGCCCAACAGTCCATCATGCCTTTTTACACGTTTCAGCGAAGTGGTCATGCATACCCTGCGTCTTAGCAATAGCCTCGACATGGCTGACCGAGTGTACTTTTACCAGATCATGAAAATAACTAATGCCCCTAAGACATACGAAGATGCGTGGAAAGAACCACCGTAAGTCTTCCATTCGGTCATAGAACCGCTGGAAGAGTCATCAGCAATAGCGACGTTGTTGGGGGTGGGCTTCTGGGTTGAAACTGAGGCGGTAGACGTGGATGCCGTAGTTGTAGTCGTGGTGGACGACGGAGGGGCATGAGACGGCAAAACGTAGCCTGCACCAGGTGAGAGGCAACCAAGCGATACCTCGGGGACTTGGATGGACAATGCACTCTGGCCGTAGCCCCAGACGGTAGCGATGTATTGCCAACAATGAAAAAGCACAATTACCTCGACGAGGAAGATCTTGAGAATTAAAGAATTTGTTGACGAGTTGACAGTCGCGATCATCGAAACTGCATGATCCGCTGTGCGTAGCCCAGAACTGGGCCGCATATTCTAGAAATGGGTGCTCGTACTCGCGTGCTGCGATTGAATCGATGGAGCTTGTATATCCAGACAGGAAATTATCGAGACACAAATAGGTAAGGCAAAGTCGCATTATGATTTGAACGGCGGTTTCGTGATTCAAACTGAAATATCGCACGCTAGAGGAGCGGATCCACTCGGACGTTAGGAAATCCTTGATATAGGCGTGAGATAACTTCACACTTCCAAACTCATCCTGGGTGATGAGTCCCTGACAGATATCGAGAAGGATCTGCAGCGAAACCAGCTTTAAGTCGTCATCCAAATATGTGCACGTCTTCTCTAGTATGACTGCTTCGCTCAACTCGGGTAGGGTGAGCGAACGTTTTGAGAAACTGAGCCAAAAGAAGGCGTTGCGGCTGAGGTCCCAGTCATTTGGTGGGATTCACTCTAAGATGTGTATATATGTCTCTCGTAGAGTTCTTGGCAATATTTGCAATGCTTCTCGAATTGACTTGGCGGTCCGAAGTGAGCCGAGGGTTTCCAAAGAAAGCTGGGTCTAGCGAAATCTGCAAAAATGGGTTAGATACAAACATAGTATTTTAATGTGATACTACGATCTATCAGCTCCCTCCAGAAGAGTCGCCCAAATCTGATCTTGGAGACGCGTGCTCAGATTCCTGAGCGTCTCGTCTTGCTGCAGTCTGAAGCGTATAAATGCGTCGATATCGTCTCTGACAATTTCAGCATTCATATGAATTACATTAGCATGCTGTCTGGGGATCAGATTGGCCGTTCCAGTTATGAGAATTCGAAGGTTTGGGGCCAAATTCGAGATTTTCAGAAGAGAACGTATTATGGCTTTGTTCCTTTTACCGCCAGATAAAAGATGCGGATAATTCAGCACAGCGTCTTGCAAGTGATGTCTCACTCACTTGCAGTATCCTACATCAGTTAGGCAAGATATTGGAACAGGACAGCTTGACAAAACTTTGCTCCCAGCAGGCCTTTCTGACGGCCCAGGAAGTCTTGGAGGAATGCGAGAAAATCTTCAATCAAATAGACGAAGCAATTCAGAAGAAAGATCCGGGTTCTGGTAAAAACAAATGGGAACGTGGCACACGAAGGCTTACAATTGTGATACTTGGTCCCGATCTTGACGTGTTGAACTCCCACTTGGACAAGTCAAAATCGACCATGTTGCTGATGCTGAATGTGATTATGTATGCAAGAGAAATCAACCGGTATGTCTCATCTAGAATAGCCCTCGAGATCCACGTTGTTAAACTCCATTGGGTAGGACATCCGATCATTCTTCGCTCGAATGTCAACGCCAGTTGACTGAAACGCTTCTCCGGGAGAAAGCCGAAACTGAGGCTAGATTAAAGAGACTCATCAATGTGGCCAATACCCGTTCAGATTGCGATGGAGTGGGTAGATAGTCGTCTTCAACACTGGGTGCGAAACCTAGCATGAGAGTGTGGCAGCGACCTTCAACCGGAAACGAAATTGACAAATATTATGACCTTGTCAAAAGTCTACTAAATCAAATCGATGCTTGTCAAATAAACTTTCAACAAGATCGCCATTTGAGGATTAGAGATGGAGTGGTGAATGTTCACAAGGCCGAACTTGCCATATTTCAACAATCCCATGGAAAGGCAGCGGCACAAGCTTTTGATTGCCCCTATTTCAGGATTAGCCACCGAGGAAGGGACAGTTCTTTTACCTCAAAGCCGAACTCCAACATCCACTCTCAAACGGCTGAGGCGTCAACGAAACGATCTACCTTAATTACCTTGGGAAATTGCCATTCTTTTGGGTGCAGCCCCTTGCCTGCTACTCGTCGAGCCTCCACCAGTAGCTTGGATCTTGAGGCCGCTCATAAAATGTCAAGGAATCACCCCGGTTACCGTGAATACGCTACACTTGAGCTTAAAGAACCTATGGGGGAAATGTTCATTAACCAGTCCAGCATGAGAATTAGAAGAAACTCAGCATCCGCAGCAGACCTTCATGAAACTTCTGTTGACTTCTCAATGTCCGATCTCCACCCTGTGGCCAGCTCGGGTCGAGCTCGGTCTCCGGGTCCTTTACCTTCAACTTCCAATCAATGTGTGGCCCCGCGCGAGCAGTTTGACCGAGACTACCCTCTCAAGCCGCGCCATCCTACAGCGAAGTACTCGCTTGATCGGCCTCTCAGCATGACTGTGATGGACGAGCATCCCCACATGCTGCGTAAAGAAAGACCTAACCAGTTCAAGGGCCCCCATCAACTTCTGGGGGATTTGACAATATTCGCGCTAGAGGCCGATCATCCCGACACGCCGACAGAGGAGGCCACGACCTTGCTCCAATGGCCTTACCCCACGAGTCTGACGATAGTTGCGATACGTACCCCGACAGGCACCGCCGGCCTCGCCGCAGACATCGCTGCGAGAGTGATAGGCACGGCGGTGATCGATCCCTGGAACAGAAAGCACTTGATGTGAGCAGTTCAAAACTGGTGGCGACCTCAGGTAAAGAAAGTCCCAAGAAGCATGTTGCGTGGGATACTTTGGAAGATCTGATGCTTTCCTGGACGACGCTTCCCCGGGATATGATTCGGCTATGAGAGGACGCACGAAACAGAGGTTGAAACGCGTCAACAATGCCTTATTCCGTATTTTGTGCCACCCGCCCTCGCTACGCGACCGAGTACGAGGTATGAGCCTCAACCAGAATAATATCTTCACGTGAATGAGCGCAGACCATCTTTTGAACTCTTGGCTATCATAGCATGCAAGGAGTTGGGTTGTAGTAGGAGAGGTTATGAATTAGGGCTTGGGTAGGTGGCGAAATATATATGCCATTACTATCTGTCCGTATTTATCACCGCCTTCTCGCATGTAAAGACACCCATCTTCTAATCTAGCGATGATAAACATGTTATCACGACATATTATGTAGCCTCTTGGTGTTTATAGGTTATCCGGTATTCCTCTTGTATTAGCTCATCAGCACCCGCATACGTATTATCTGCTGAGCGACAGTGTTGGATATGGAAGCATCGTCTCAGCTTCACAAATTGATCTGCACATTCCCACAATGGGTTTATTTACATCTCTTTTGTTATACAAAACGTGCCGTCTGGCCATAATCACTCGGCCGATCCTCTACCGTAACGGCAACTCCATAATTAACCATTATATTCCGCTCGTCGCTCGGATACGCCAGTTTCTCCTGACTGCTTGATGGACTGGTAGAACGGTATGCACTCGCCGACTGGTACGACTCCTCCTTTCCCCTGAAGCTATTCAGAGGAATATCCGTTTCTCTGAACGTACCCGAGCGGTGCGATGGTATACCAGTGCCTCCACGGCCCCGGAGGTTGTACGAGTCATACGGGTAGGATGTCTTGGAGGGCGAGATAGCAGCTTTCAGGACGCGATAAAGGCCGGGGCAACAACCGATCATGACAGCTAGGAGATTGGCAGTTAGTAAAATGATTCAATATGCAAGTGGAAAAGCGGGAAATATAAGCATACCGATTGATGCCTCGATGGTTCCCCATAGCGCTAGCCATGATGGAGCGGGGACTCCGTTTTCAGTATCACCTAACTGAACGACGCGGATGGTGGAAATGATGATACACACCCAGCCAAAGCAGAATAGCCCGCCAATGCTCAGCTTTTGGCGGCTTTTCATCTGCAGATTCCAGATCAGGCGGATTGGGAGGATCATGACTTAGCGTCGAGTTAGCTCAGTTCAAGGAGTAAGGAGCATAGCACGTACTTGCTAGGTCAGTGGCTATATCCACCCCGTATGCGTAGTACAAGCTGATAACGGCCGCCCGATGGTCGCGTGGAGTGTTGCATTGGCCTGCAGTAAACCAGGCATGGAAGCTCGAGCATGAAAACCACGACGAGAGAATGCAGCCAATAATAAACTGAAAACAATGTCGTCAGTAATTTGAACACCAGCATTCTTACGGGAAATTCATACCAGGACACAAAATCCCATAATAACCCACCAGGCGATAATGTACTTCTTTCCAACCAACAACCTTTTATACATCGCCAAGAGCGAGAACTTGATCATCCACAAGCAGAGCCATAACGAAGATGTCGTGACAAAAAAGACAGTCTGTAATCGGAGTCCATCTTCCGAGATGGTGGCATAGGGGGGAATCGTTCCGGCACCGACTGCTGCTAGCCGAAAGATGACAGGAGAGATGTAGATGTAGAGAATGCTCAATTCCAAGAAGAATATGTAAGCGATAATCAGAAGGTAATCTTCACCCTTGAGGTCTTTATAACTCCGAATGGCACCAGCAAAACGAGTGCCTACAACCAGCGAGGTCAGTACAATCAAGGCAATGCCGGTACCTTTGATAGTTTCGGGCCCAAAAGTGCCCGTAATGGCCTCACCCATCCTTTATTGGGAGACTGAATTTTAGGAAAGTACGACAGGGACCGCGCGGGCCCCTGTCACCCATATACATCGAGCCATTTCACCAGAACTTTAACGAACACATGGCGGCCGATATCTTAAGTTTGAGATTCACAGATGGGCCACCTACAGCCACCTTGTGCAAACTTCGAGGGGTGCATGGTTTAGAGTGAACAGGGATTGTAAAACATGCACGAGGGGCAATATACGAATCTCTTTCGAATGCCATTGTTGAAAATGCATGCCCCGCCAGCCCTGGGCCAATGATAGAAGAAATATATAGTACCGGTGGGGATGGCCCGCGCCCTCAGCCTCGGCGGTTGTGCCTCCCGTGGCCATTGGGGAGCCGATGACGGGCCGAGGCGCACATGGAGGGGCCTGAGAGAGAGAGGAAAGAAACAGATCTAACTAGACAGGCCCATGGCGTGAGTCAGTATAGCCGTATCCAGAGAAAGAATATCCAGTTGATCTTGAAAGGAACAAAAGACAGGACAGATCTCGGTTAATGCCAGAAGGCTGGGGTGAAAATTCGAATTGAGTTTGGACTTCTGAAACTAAGCCGCGCTGCATAAGTCCCGGAGCCCTCCGGAATCCGGGCGATGGTGTTCTGCGTTGGCCGCTCGCTTAGAAAATTCATATCCCCTATCTTTTGAGAGTCACTTGCGACTTGAGGAAAAGAAAGAAAAGACAGAGTTTGTAACAGATAAATACAACTTTACGTAAGAATAATATGGACGAGCGAAACAATCGCTGCCGGTGACTCTAGAAGCAAAAGCCACAAGTCCATTGTTATGAGCTTCAGGCTAGCTTAACCCTTCGGGCTGCGCCGCTTCGCTTAGATCTGGAAGCGAGATTATTATATATACGCGTTAACGAAAGCGAATAGCCTAGTCATAATATACGCCAATTATCGGCCCCGTTGATTAGTTACTTAATGACACCTAATGCATCCCCGGAACCTCATCGGATCAGAGCGCAGGGGAAGTTAAAAAACAATAAGCTCCCTCCACCTTAGTTTCTTCTCCCTTTTTCTTTCCAAGTCATTGAATTTGTCTATATCTCACGTTCGTTTCTGTTTGGGTTACTTGCATAGCTTTTGGATCATGCATATTTCGACCTTTATTGGCGGGTTATCCGCGATTTGCGGATTGACCCTGGCCCAGACAACTGTGACCAGCCCGGTCATCGAAGCGGATGATTTCAGCGTCACTGGCGCATTGGAGGATCTCGGTGTGGATGTGTCGCAAATTCCTGCATTGGAGTCATTCACCGCCATTGAGACACGGTCAACCGATAAGGCCTGTGCAGCTGCTGTAAGTAAGCTCGCAAGCCATCGAGCAATAATTTATTCTAAATCTCTCTTAGTGCGCAAGTTTGGGATTCCTTTTTGGCTCCAAGGTTGCTGCCCAAGATACTACTGGGTACAGCAACTTCACTAGCTCGTTCTGGTCAGTGCAGCAAGAAGAGGTCCAGCCTCGTTGTATTTTCCGTCCTACCAAGAATACGGAGGTCAGCACTGCAGTTTTACTTTCCCGGTTGACAGGCTGCGAGTTTGCTGCTCGCAGTGGCGGCCATGCTGCCTTTACCGGGGCATCTAGCGCGCCTGGCGGAATCAGCATTTGGTTCAAGGATATGAATGCCGTTACCCTGAACGCAGATAAGACAGTCGCCTCAATTGAGCCTGGAAATAACTGGCTCACTACCTACACTGCCCTCGAGCCTTATGGATTGGCCGTTATTGGAGGTCGTGCCGCCAGCATTGGTGTTGGTGGCTTTGTTTTGGGTGGTGGAATCTCCTATTACTCCAACCTGTACGGATGGGCTTGCGATAATGTCCACAGCTTTGAGGTAAGATTATACACCTGTCATACCTTTTACCGAATGAATTACTAACAAATCCTGTTTAGGTCGTGACCGCTAGTGGTCTGATTGTAACCGCGAGTGAGACTTCCCACGTTGACCTATATTGGGCTCTGCGCGGCGGTGGAAACAACTTTGGCCTTGTCACCAAGTACAATATGTACACCATCCCCTCGCCAAAGCTTTACGGTGGTGCCAGAACTTTCCTCCAGACCGAGTTTCCCGAGGTTATCAATGCTTGGATCAACGTGATCAACAATGCCACCATTGACGGCAAAGCCCAGCAATACGTCGCCTTCCTCCGGACCCAAGATATGAACCTTGCCTCTGCTGAGTTGACCTACGTGCACAACGACCCCAACCCCGAGATCTACAAGCAATACAGAAGCATTCCCGCCATTTCCGACACATCTAGTGCCAAGACCCTTGTCGAGTACGTCGAGTACCTTGAGAGCGAGAACCCATTCGGTCTTCGCGAGGTGTACTGGCCTATCAGTGCGGCTCTCGACGAGAAATTCGCCAACTGGGTAGTGGATCTCTTCTACTCGATGATCTCTGAGGTGGCCGATGTCGCTGGCGCCCAGCCCGTGCTCATTTACCAGGGAATCACCGAGACCATGTTGAACAATATGAAGAACCACGGCGGTAACGCTCTCGGACTCGCTGGATCATCTGGCCCTGTTCACCTTTTGCACATTTCTTGCTGGTGGACGAACGAGGCTGATGACGAGACTATCTACGCGTTTGTCAACAAATTCATGGAGAAGGTCATTGCCGAGGCTAAGAGCGTCGGAGTCTTCAATGAATATGTTTACATGAACTACGCCAGCATGTTCCAGGACCCTGTCGCTGGATATGGTGCAACTAACAAGGCTCAGCTGAAGAATATTGCCAAGAAGTACGACCCCAGGGAGGTTTACCAAAAGCTCCAGCCTGGTTACTTCAAGCTTGATGGTCCTCCTGTGACTCCATCTTTCTAGATGGACATGGGGAGAAAAATGTACATCATCTACCGCGGGATATAGCTGTATCTAAAATGCATTCTAGGTGATAGCATATTATCTATATCATAATTTAATATCTGTGAATCATATACATATTTATTATATTATGAGGCTAAATGATATCATGCTTGAAGGATGTTGTAGAAAAAAAGAAGCGGCTCGGGGTAGGAATCCACGGTTCCACAAATGGAAACCCTGGTTCCATCACGACATATCCATGGGTCCATGGTCGATTTGCATAGTTAATGATGGGGCTGTACGACGTCGGGACGGGTCTTGTTTCCCGGGCGGAAAGTGTCGGGCATACAGAAGGGTTTGAGGAAAGAGTATGGGGACCAGTCATCGGGCTGAGGTGGTTGCTGCCGTGGCGAGAAAGGCGAGAGAAGATGCTTGATTCTAGCGATGTATCTGACAGATTCATGGAGGTTGTAAAGCTCTGGCAAGACGTCCGGCCCAACGCCCATATATAGCCTCGATATGATGGCCCCGGGATTTTGGTATCGGGATTCTGCGTATTCTCCAAATTTCTAAAGTGAGGCTGTATGTGATGATCATCGCCCGGGTGTCCTCTTTCATATTAGTTAGCCCAGTCAAGATGCTCCAAGATGTTAGGGACTTAACAGGTTTACGAGTCGACATTCCCCAAGTGCGATACCAGGCCCTTGAGCACCTCGCTTGTCCATTTGGTTACATGGGAACCAGATCGGCGACCATGATTCGAGGGCTAAACACACAGCTTGCACTTGCCCTCACGCAACGACTGCATCTGCTTGTGTCATCTAGGTCACACCACAATTTAAGGTTGTGGCACCGGTCGCAGGCTTGCCGCGAGCGCTATTCGGACATCCCACTCCGTGCTTTCGGCGGGGAAATATTCAGGAGTGGATGGGCTGAGAAATGCGAGAAGCTAACACAAATTGGGATCTGTACCTGACGGTGCGGGAGCCTGGAAGCTTTCCATTTAGCGACGCGTTCCTCCCGTTTACCCGCGACCTGCGTGCTGATCTCCCTTTCGGGCGGGGTACACCTCGATAACTATGAAATCTACAGCGACGGAACTAAGCAGGTTAGACAACTTTCAATGATATTATTTAGTATACACTTTACATCTACATATTCAGCAGCATTCCCAGGTAAAGGAGACCTTCGTGGACGTATCACACATGTGTATCCTGTAGACAACTAAGATATTCCTAGTTAGGGAAGTCCGTAGTCGGAAGAACCTGGCATTAGTCCTAATTGGGACCATTCGGCGACTTTAGACCAATCACAAGCCCGGATTCCCTCGACCCAAAAGGGGAACATCTACATCCATGGATATGTTGTACAACGGGAAACCTCCCCCAACCTTCAGCGTCAGCTTGTTGACAAACGCGTCGTCCCTTAATCCAAGCCAACTCTCGGTGGCCTATTTTTCAACGTGATCCGACTGTTACTATGATATTCTTTTCTTCGTTCACAACATACAACATTGGCGCGACTTCCCAGTATGTCAAACACTTTGACAGCATCGACACCGCCCGTTGAGGAGAATCAGGGAAGGGGATGGCGCTTTTGGGCGATCTACCTCTCCCTTTGTGTGTCAATCTTGTTAGCTGCAGTTGAGTCGACGGTCACGTCCACAGCGTTGTCGTCTATCTCCGATGAATTGCATGCGGGAAAGGATTATGTTTGGTTTGTCAACTCGTATTTACTCACCAGGTGAGTTGAAAGATGAATCCGAAGACTTCGAGTGAGTTGAAAGATGAATCCGAAGACTTCGAGAAAGCTGATCTGACTCTTCGGGTTTCAAGTGCGTGCTTTCAACCGCTTTTCGGGCAGACTGCAAATATCTTCGGTCGACGATGGTTGATGATCGGCGCGGTGGCTTTTTTCGTACTTGGCAGCGGCATAAGCGGCGGTGCTATCAACTCTGCCATGATGGTTGCTGGGCGAGCGATTCAGGGCATTGGTGGGGGAGGTATCAACGTCCTGATCGAGCTGATCGTCAGCGATTTGGTCCCATTGCGCGAACGAGGAAACTTCATGGCCATGATCTTCGCGGTATTCTCTATTGGAACATCCCTTGGTCCGTTCGTCGGTGGTGCTCTAGTACAACACAGCTCCTGGCGATGGGTCGTGAGTGTTTAATATACTTCACACCAAGTCAACCTCACCTAGCTAACCCATGCATCAACAATCAACAGTTCTATCTGAATCTCCCAATTGGAGGAACGGCGCTCGTCCGTTTGTTCTTTTTCTTACACGTCAACTACAAACAAGAGCCCTGGGAGGAAAAGATCAAGAAGATCGATTATTTCGGCAATGCACTACTAATGACGTCCATCGTCTCTATCCTACTAGCCCTCACCTGGGCCGGTACCGCCTATTCCTGGTCTAGCTAGCGCATCATTATGTGTCTGGTGCTAGGATTTGTTGGCATGATCATATTCCACATTTACGAGGCCAGCCCTTGGTACCCAGAGCCCATGATGCCACCGCGTATTTTCGGCAACCGCACCTCATTCGCCGCTCTGATCTTGTCCTTCATCCACAACATGCTCACCTTCTGGGTGGTCTATTTTATGCCTGTGTACTTCCAGTCAGTGAAGCTCTCTACCTCGACCCGTGCTGGTGTGCAGTTTTTGCCTACCGTAATCCTTGCTGTTCCGACTGCTATAGTCGGAGGTGTCGTCCTCAGCAAATAGGGCTTCTATAAGCCCATTCACATCTTTGGAATGGGTCTGTCCCTTGTGGGCCTGGGGCTCTTCACACTCCTTGACGCAGACTCAAGCGATGGAAAGTGGATCGTCTATCAAATTATCACCGCCATAGGTCTGGGTATGCTGCTCACAACGATACTGCCTGCAGTGCAGGTTGGCCTAGAAGAAAAGGATGTTGGGCTAGCCACAGCTACCTGGGCATTTTTCGCAGTTATGGTGCCATCTGGGGAATTTCAATCCCGGCTGCCATATTCAACACACAATTTGGGCGACTGTCAAGTCGCATATCAGACTCTTCTGTTGCTGCACAGCTAGGAGGTGGAGAGGCATACTCTCATGTATCCGCAAATTTCATCCGGTCCCTTGAGCCGCAAGTTCGCGACGAGGTGATGAGTGTGTACTCTGATACTCTGAAGCTGGTTTGGCAAGTGTCTCTGGGCTTTGCTGCTCTAGGATTCATCGTCATCTGGTTTGAAAGGCAGATCAAGCTGCGCACCGAGTTAGAAACAGAGTATGGAATCCAGGTCCCGAAAGAGGACAAGGACAACAAGGAAGCTGTTGAGGCATAGGCAGAACTTCAACGAAAGAATTCGTCTATGGCCATGGGGGATCTGCTCTCAGATATTGCTGTAGCAAACAATACCACAGAAAATTATTTCGGCATCGCCTTCTTACAATATGTGTAATATCATACTTCTCGCCATCCCACTGGCTTACCACCATCTAGTTAGTTAACTAATCAGTCCAGATTATGTCCTACGCGCCTGGGAAAATGATGACGTGGCAACAACCCGCAAATAACAGCCAATAACATGGTCTAAAAAAACAAGATCATACTACATATTAGAGCACAATGACATTATCACGTTAGACCGTAGAAAGGCAATCCATCGAGGGGTTGTGCAGATGCCAAGGGGCTGATTGTTCAGGTGCACCAATATGTACACCTTAACTTCGTCCATTGTTTCAACTAAATGGGGCAGCTGAAGATCAGCATCAATAGCTCGAGGAGATCAAAAGCTATAGTTAGGCGGCTAGTTAGAAAACTATCGATCTGTGTGCGGCTGAAGCTCGGCATTAATAGTTCCATCTTGTGACGTGCCAGTTCAATCCAAAGGAAGAGTGTGCATTTGCTCCAGGATTCTAAGTACAGAGGAGAGAAAGAAAAGAAAACTATCTACGCGCTCTCGCGACCTGGTTCTATGCAGTCCTCGCTTAATGGGTCACGAAGGAACAACTCCTTCCCATTGTGTAAAGTACGGACATGGCAGGTGCGACGGTCGAGGATCAGGAAGGGCAAGTACGTTGATCGTCACACATCTTGCGCTGATCAAGGGAGAAAAATTAGATTATTGAACCTTACCCTACAAGTGCCAGATATTATTATATAAGTCTAGATGAGACACGGTCGAATGAATAGAAAATGCTCACTATATATTAGTAGCTCTGAAGCAATCAATGGCAGAATACATTAGGTTGACATGTAAGGGTCTAGCTGATCATTTGAAAAAGTGGGTCTGCAGTTGATCTATGGGGGTGACAATAATGACTCCCTAGATCGATACTTGGAATACTACGGAGTAGTGAGAGCAAAATCAGGCACAAAGCCGAAGAAATCCAGAAGCAACCAAGCCCGAACCGTGGGCACTAGGTAACTACAACTTTACATTCATTATTGTAGGTTTAATTCATTTACTTCAAGAAAGTGTAGCTAGGTAAAAGGTACGCTTTCTGATCAGTACAGCTTCTCAGCGCCATATCCGCACGTAGTGAAGAGGGGACCCCTGAGGGGCACCGACAGCCCTGCCTGCGAAACAGGTGTGAGAGCAGAGTCGTCACTGGGAGTAGTAGGGTGCTAGAGAGGAGAACACCATGGGGTGACTACTGAGAAGAGAGGTGGAAAGGTGTCTGCGTTGCTATCTAGGCCTCGGGAGTGCTTTTATGTCACATAGCCGCTTAGTCATCCTGCTCTGGAAACCCCCACTGCAGTAGATAGATTTTCTGGCAAACATAGATCTTTGTGGCTCTACTATGTTCGAACCAATGAGAAAATTGTTACGACCCACTCGCCATATTCTTGCTAGTTTGCATTAGATAGATTGTTTGCTAGATAGTTAAGCGAGATGATTCGAAGTTTGCATCGTTTGCATCGTTTGCATCGTTTGCAAAGGGGACAGCTATATCAACCAGTTGCTTCCCACTTTGAAACTTGCTTCCTCTCTCTCTCACACACTATCTTAGCTATCTTGAATTCAATGCACTCTTCCTTTGCAAGACCTGGCACGTTACAAAAATGACACAATATCTGTGTAAGCCTACACTTTCCCAACTGCTGAAACTAAGCTAATTACTAAGTGGAATTCCACTAGTTAACTAGTTAACTAGTCATTAACTAGTAAAAGATCTCACCAAGGAATAAAATATTCTCTCCAATGTTCTCCAGTATCTGCCTCTTTGAACTTGTCAATACCACCGACAACGCCGTCTTGGTCCACTTGCCAATCACCCATTTCCACCCGTTCAGCCCAGCTTTCTAAAACTTTGTGTAGATATGAGCTACGCGAATCCCAAGGTAAATAACCACTATAGCCACTGAAAAGGTCTGCCTGGTAAAGTTGATCAGGCCGTTCGGTTCCCGGAAATCTAGCATTTTTGAATGGTATACCATTGCTACCTCGAACAAACCCATTGCTTCCAATGCTGAAGGGCAGCAGGAGTCGACTCTGGTTACCAGATTGCCAGTTGAGATTTTTGTCGGTTGGTTCTATGTACAAACCAGATGGAATGTTCTCTGCCCTTCCGTCAGGAAACCAGGGCCGATTCAAGGGCGACTTGTTCTCCCTCTCCCCTCGAAATAAGAGTAGAGGGTATAATGGTATCGCCTGGTCAGTATTATGCAAGCCTGGAATTTGACGTTCGGCAAGTGGTTGATTTGTAAATTCGACCGGATTTTGGAGTCGAATACCGGGGGCAATATAGCGAAAGGCGAGACGCCGGATGGGAAGAGCTGAGAGAAAACATTCGATAAACGAGCCCGTTTCTATGAAAGATGCCTTGATAACCGGTTCGGAGTATGGGAGAGCTATTCCACAATCATACGTCGAATGTATCAAAGTTGATGGAAGTTGAATCTCGATAGCACCAAGAAGACGAGTAAAGGCATTGACTGCCCTCTCCACATCCATTGGGGTATATTGGTGAATCTCCCAAGGGAATACTCCAAAAAAATTATCCATAGATTCCTTTCGACGATCCGAATATGTTGTAATTTTGCCCTCATCCAACATGTCTAGATAGGCTTTCAGAATGTTTTGTAATGGCCGCCATGGCCACCGTTCCCTATCAGACCAGATCATATCTTCCCAGTCTGGGACAAAGGAGGCAAGCTCAGTTTCTTGATCGAATCTATCTGGCGTATAAGTATTCGTCTTCCCTAAATTGTACTAAAGCTTAAAAGGACTCTCACACTATCCCGACTTCTTCGTCACTCTTTGTTCGTGTTGAGGGATATAGCCACACATAACGATCACCCCACGATCCGAGTGAAGATCCTAGAGCAAAAAGTTCATGTTTTCCATGAAGCGCTACGAGGTAATAGAAGAGATGAAAATTTGAATCAGGGTAAAATATAGTGGCCTTCGCCGACCGTAGGAACCTGACCAAGTTCGGATTCAGGCGGGATGCGAGATCGAATGGAATTGGCAAGAACTCTTCCCACCAAGTTCTAGACGGGATCGAAGCGACATCCCGTCCAGCCCCAATCCATGCCTGTTTAAGGATCTGGTTGTGAAGTTGGGCCGATAAATGGGGGTCAAATGTAGTGAATGACATATTGGCTAAGACGTAGGTCTTGAGAGACGCCAGGTCGATCTTAAACTAAGAAATAATGCATTCAACTAAATAAGTAAGATATATAGAGAAGATAGAGAGAGAAGAAGCAGGTTGCAAAGTGGGAAGCGGCCTGCTTATATGGTTGATCTTTGCAAACAAACAATGCAAACTTCGAGCGCTCGCTTAATCTCGCCTAGAAAGCAGACATTGCAATTGTGACAGATCTTCCCGGACCTCGGGAATTCCGGTGGGAGATGTAGAACGAGCGGAGCGGTACGGAGTACTTCGGCACAGATAGGCAACTACCTCTAGAGACAATTTTCGAACATAGCACATAGATGAGCTGTTTCTGCCCTCTTCTGATGCATCCCCTAGCATTGTCAAATATTCAACTGCTTCTGGCACAGATACTCAGGACTATACGGGTAATCCAGGTAGCCAGTTTTCGTGAGACACGTATAGAATGAGGAGCGATCATATTTCTGTAGGGCAATGCCATTCTTCATCCGAAAAGGGAGATCGGGCGTGGAGGTGAAGTATCTCCCAAATCCAATAGCAACATTGTCATAGTCTGCATACACCATTTCAATCACCTCTGGGGCGGACGTCGCATCATATCCGCCCGCCAGGATCACTGGCAGGGACCTCCCCCATACCTTGACAAAGGTGAGGTGGTTTGGATCAGGGTGAGTCGTCATTTGGTCCAACCACCGGGAGTTGGCGAGGTGCAAGTACGCAATGCCGAGTTGTCGAAGCTGCAGGATAAGGTATTCAAACTGGGGAACCAGGTCACCCATGATACCCATTCCGGAATACTGGCTCCACGGGGAAAGCTTCATGCCAACTCGATCCGGACCGATTGCGTTAATTACCGCCATGGTAACTTGGAGAGCGAACCGTGCTCGATTCGGAATGTCTCCTCCCCACTCGTCGGTCCGCTGGTTGCACGAGGCCTGCGTGAACTGGTCGATGAGATAGCCGTTGGCGCCGTGGATCTCCACCCCATCGAACCCGACCTCAATGGCATTTCGTGCTGCTTGCGCATAGTCAGAGACGTACTTCTGAATCTCCTCTTCGTCTAGGGCGCGTGGGGGCTGGCACCCTGGCTCTGCCGCAACAGCACTGCTCGACACCTGTTCAAACCCCCGGGATGCGAGCAATTCCGGGTCGGCAGATCGGCCGGTAGCATAAATCTGGCAGAAGATATAACACTCTTTGGCATGAACCTGGGAAACAACCTCTCTCCAAGCTTCGCATTGTGTCTTACTCCATATCCCTGGGATATGTGCTTCGCCAACTGAGTTTGGGCAAATATTCGTCGCTTCAGTAATCAACAGAGCCCCCGGATCAGATGCTCGCTGGGCGTAATATTCTTTCACAAACGGCAGAGGCACAGCAGCCTCATCAGCCCTATATCGGGTGGTTGGCGACATGACAATTCGATGCTGGAGCTGGCATTTTCCCAGCGCCAGAGGCTTGAAAATCGTTGGAGACGGGTGTTTGGGGATAATGGTCATAGTGAAACCCAGGAGTGTCTGACTCAATGCCCCCGGGAGAACTTGACGTGAGTCAAAAATCAGAAACATTGCTTTATCGTACCTTGTAGATGAGATTCGTTCTTGGTTGTCCCTCGCTTATGCACGAGAATTGAATTCCTTCGACTTCGCGTTTTGAGGCAAGGGCGCCATTGACCAGCACATTACGCGTCTACCAATCCTAAAGCAAGAAAGACCGGTGTAATTTCTGCAATGTTACGAGTCAAAGCGAAGACCAATCTACCAATGGAAACCTGACCGTGTGGTGTAGATGTAGGTTCATGTAAAGGGCTGTGAGGGATACAGCGTCGATCACACAAGAGCGGTCTTTGTTCAAATGAATAGAGCACTAAAATGATGTTCAAGAATCCAACACAGCCATGTATTCCAAACAGAGAATGGGAACGAGGCAGGGATGATCTCTTGGGGAAAGTCCGGGCTTGATCCCGCCCGTGGAGGGGCCGGCCAAGGAGGGGGGGTGTCGTTGAAGCAAGGGATGACCAAATTGGAGTATAAAAGTGCACTTTCATCCTTTCCTGGAGAGATTATCCTCATTGTCCCCATTGCCACATTTTCTTGTCCATCTCAAGAGCCTTCTCGTTCAGGGCCTCTGCCTGATCTGGAATTTGTCAGCTGGTCACAATATATACCAGATTGGAAGCCAGCAAACAGCAAATCGAACAAGATGAGATCACCAAGTCTCCCGCGACTGCCAGTCTCAGCAAGACCCGAGGCCATTCTCGATATTTACAAAGATTATGGATGTGTAATTATCGAGGGGCTTCTCAGTTCATCCGAGGTTGCCTCAATGAATCAAGAGATTGATCCTGGACTGGCAAAACTTGCTCCCGGTAAGAACGGGGTGCCGTTGGAAGAGTTTCTGGGCATAAACACAAAGCGATTGCCACTGGCTCCAAATAGCCGTACTTTCCGCGAGGTGATTCTGGAGAATGATCTGATGCACGCTCTGAGTGAATCGATATTATGTGACAGTCCTGGCGAAGGGTATCATATCAACTGTGCACAGGTGATTGAGATCGGACCCGGTAACGCGGCACAACCACTGCATCGAGATCAAAGTGTATGGCCTTTCTGGGACCTGATTCCATCTCCAGCACCAGAGGCTTGCATCAACTTCTTTTGCGCCTTGACCCCATTTACGGAGGCCAATGGCGCCACAAGAGTGGCCCCGAAAACGCATCTTGATGTCGATCTAAACAATTTGAATCCGCCCCAACTTCTGCCAGTTGAAATCAACCCCGGCGATGGATTTCTCTTTTCCGGCAGACTTGTTCATGGTGGGGGAGAGAACAGGACCAATGAGTACCGTCGTGGTATGACAATCCACATTGCCCGCAAGGGCCTCATGACGGAGGAAGCACATCCACTATCGATCCCTCGCGAGATTGCAGAGACCATGTCTTACAGGGGCCAGGCGATGTTCGGCTTCCGAAGCAACTGGCCGATCAAGGATGGACCCGTTGGGACCTACTGGTCCAGTAACTTTGACGAGATTGGTGGCCATTTAGGACTAAAGTCTAGCTAGTGCAGATAATTTACTTCACTTGACGTATTGGTAATCTGTCAGATCCCACCTTAATGCCTCAGACACGTTCGTATTTTACCTTGATACACGACCCGCCCCCGAGTTTCAAATCCTCTCTGTCTTAGGTTTTCAAAGTCAAGTTGGGATGAAATACTTCCTTTTTGGCAATATCTAGGTAGTAAAATATGATGCTGTTAACAAGATGGTTCTTCCTCTACAATATCTCTAATTTCAGTTCGATTTGCTCACACTGGGGCCTATAGCATTCGGATGATATTATCGGTCGTTTGAAGAGAATGCTGTAACTATATAATGAAGATGAAACAAGTCATTCTCCATGCCGACCCATCAACCAGCGAATGAGATCATCTTCGACAAGTGCCTCAAGATCCTTCGCAGGTAGCGTGATATGAACGTCCCAACCTGCTTCCTTTTGGTCACAAGTGAGTCGTTTCGGGAGAAAAATGACGTCACCCTCAATCAGGCCGAATGAAAGATCGAAATTGTGGACAATTCCAAAACTGTCACCAAAATCCAGACCATAAATATCAAGATGTCGCCAACTAGAAAAAGCAAGGTCGGTAAATATCATGCCGGTTTGACTCCAATCCTTCTGGTTTGCGATGTATGTCATACAGCTCTGGAAATATTTTCTATCCATATTTCGTACTTTGTTTCTCACTTTGCATGCCAAATCAGTCAGGAATCGGAGTTGGCCTGTCTGAATTGGGCAATCGTGGGTTAACCTGCAAGACAAACACTGCTCTGGCCTGGTATACTCCGGGCCTGGAGTTTTTAATCGAAGATTACATGCCATGTTTCCCAGAAACTCTTTTGCTGCGGATAACTCGATCCGGCCGCGCATATTGACTGCCATACATAAGTCCAGGCAGTCATAAGTCTGCCCTTTCTTGCTTTGAGATTTGACCCTTTGTATTGCGTCCGCAAGAGCCGAAGTCAAGACATCATTGCTCGACAAGAAGGGTGGAAGATCAGCGACAGAAATAGACGCACTATTTGGCTGGAACATGCAGGCGTGCTTTAGGAGTTGAGCACATTGGTGTTTGAGCTGCAAAATTCGCTCACTGTTGAATTCAAAGCGACATGTTCTGAGCGACGCTGCGTCAAGGGGAACGGGGTGTATTGCCGGCGCAGGACCAAGTTCTGCCGTGTGATCTTGGGCAGGAGACGTGTCTGCCGGTCCCGCAAATATAGCGCTCTGAGCTCGATCTTGCTCGTCAATGATGAGCGGCAGCGGGGTAACTGATGGGTCTCGACAGCATCTTCCCAGTAACGCAAGGATTTTTGCCGCGCCCGTTCCGTCAAAAACAATATGGCTGAACGTCATCGCCAGCACGATTGCATCAGTGAAAATATTTGCCTGGAACCGAATCACAGGCTGTCTTTCAGTCGAGGTAATAAGCGGTGGGAGCGGACAAAGATGCTGCTTGGAGTCAGATGTCTCAAGCATTGACATGCCGTTCTGCACACCTCCTAACGCGCTTTCCATAGAAAATGGGTGATGCTTGTGTACCAGGATTGTAACGTCTTCTTTTGCACATGGTATTTGGACACTCTGAATGTTATATTTTCCATCGAGCTCTGGATTAACGACGATGTGCCCGAGTAGAATGGGAAGCACTTTTGTCAAACTTGTGATGCCGGCTTCCAACAGAGAGAGACAGTGCGTAGAATTCGCGGTCTGAAAATACAATAGATAGGAGACATATGCCTGGGGCGCTATGTGGTCCAGGGGACTGAGGATCACTGAGTGATCAAAAGAGGTAGACATGCTGGAGTAAGAAGCTCCGTTTGTTACTTATGATAAGAGGTGAATAACTTTGAAAATCTTGCTACATCACGGCGGGGGGAGGAATTATTATCTAGCTGCACTCATTAACTTGAACCATGTCTGAGTTACTAAGACCTACATTCAATACACTGAAATAGGTACTTTTGGCCATTGATAACGCCCCTTGCAGATCATAAACCACCACCTGTGATGGCGAATGCAAATCGATATCTAGCTCAGCAGACCGTCTGGTAGCATTGCATAGCTAGCTCATAAGTACGAAATACATGCATCAATTTATCACTAGTCTCAGTAATTACTGAGCCATAAATACAGGGCTCAAAAAAGCACACCGCAATTTCATTTCCTCTCTTATCTGTGAATTCTGTGAGCTGGGCATTGCTACCGAGCTGTGGTTTCTAAGTATGATGCAGAGAGGAAGTCCATCGTAGTCACGATGCAGCTCCTGTCCAAAGTAGCCCGGGTCCGTCTCCAGCATCAATGAGGTAATCAGGCAATGATCGCTGAACTCCGACCTAAAGGCTTTAGCGCACACTTCGTATAGAAGTGGTTGTTGCATGGGATATATGTGGAAGGTCTTGCTAACATTGAAAGACTACTGAGCTGCCTCATGTTCGCCAGGTAGCCGCCTTGCATTGTTTCCTGGCCGAATTCCCACATTTCCTTGAAAGAATCCACCTTACTGTCGAAGGCTTTGACCTGCTCCGGAGTCATGAGGTTATTAATCCCTCGATGATTAGGGCTCTGTCTGCTTGAAGAATCTGGAACACCTTGAGGACAGGCTTTTATATAGTCATGGGTGATGTGGTAGATGACACAGAGGAAAGGAGGGTTGGGAAGTATCACAGAATTTGAAAAATGGTATATTGCAATTTGTTAGAGGTTTACCTTTCGATGTGGTTGAAGCAACATCGACAGTATTTTTTTCTTCGGCCGCGAGCCGTTTTATTGTATTATATCGATCAAGATAAAGACGAAATGGAGTGGAGGCCTCGATCACATTTCCAGACTGGTAGTTGAAGACTCTCGTAAAACAAAAAAAGAACGAGAACAACAAAGGTGGAGAGTTGGCTAAGCCCAGTGGTGCTTCTCATGCTCTGCTACATCCTTGAAATGCCGTGGGGGGTTTCCCGTCACTTCCACCACAGAATTGTTGAGAACTTCTTGTGGGCCATTGTTGACATCAACTTCCATGGCCGAAAGCATAGCTGCAAAGTCTGCAGGTATCCCTGCCTTTTTTACTAAAAGTTCAGTAAGTCCAGTTTCTGTAAGGCTACGGTGGATGATTTTTCTGCCCAAAATTGAGGTGAGAATCTCCGCCACCTATGATATTATTAGCGTCAAAAGGATTTATCCACAGGTATTAAGTTAGGATAGAGTCATCTTACCTGCCCATAAGATAGGAGCTCTGGACCTAAAATGACATATTCCGTCTCGTGCGATCCCCACTCAGTCAAGCAATGAAAGGCAACGGAAGCAATGTCGTCGGCTGAGACGAATGGAATCTTACCATCTCCAGTCGCGGTTATGATTTGATTTTCGTTCTTAATCCACTCGCGAGAGGGATCTTCTAATAGATTCTCTAGCATTAAAATCAAGCTTAGCCATATTATCGTTTAAGATTATAGAGTAGAAAAGGATAAACCGTACCCATAAACCATGTTGGTCGTAGTGCCACATACTCAACTTCTGCCAGAGAGTCCAGATATGCATGGACCTGCCCCATCGAGTGTCCACCTTTCTCAACAGTACTGGCGCTGAGAAGGACAAATCTTTGAACCCCTTTAGTGCGAGCTAGATCAACGAATTCGATCATAGGCGGGGCTATATCCATGACAGGAGGCCCAACTAGATAAATGGACGAGATTGTACCCAATCCATGCTTCCCGGCCTGTTCGAATGGTCTCTCCCACGTATCTCTTTTCAGCCAGTTGAACTGGCTGGATTTATAGGGGTCAGAGAGAGACGCCGAGCTAGATCCAACTAGAAATGGAGTTTTGGCTTGGTCCAGAAGTGCCGCAAGACGACTGGCCGTTTTACCTCGCCCACCCAGTACAAGAATAGTCATCACGAAAGATTCTTGGGTGCAAGTTTGCAAGGAAGACGGTTTGTATTACTTCCATCGAACTTTAGCGGTGGGGGTATATATGTTAATTTCATTTACGTCGAACAACAAGAATCCAGCAGACCGCTTATATTAACCGAAAAGCAAGATATGACTACACGTATTACCTCATACTTGAAAATGGCATATCCAAGAACAGAAACCGATCTTCCTTGCTTTAGCCTGCCAGGATCATGGTCTCGTGGATATTAGCAGTGCCCCCGAGGTGGGCCGAGAAGGGGTTGCATCAAATATACGCGTCCTGTCGCTGCCCCGATGCAGCCCAGCGCCCGCTGGAGCTGATGGACATTGATGCCCAATTTTGAAGATCGTTCTAAGTGCAGCAACAGTGCATCATGGATTCCAACCTTGGAATATCGGTTCTCGACTACCTCTGTAAGAATATATCATGAGCAAGGGGCTTATTGCAGCTTCCAATCTCCTGTTTTCCATCACTAAATACATCTCGATGATTTGAGACCTGTCACATACCGTATCCATTGTCGAAAGTGTTGTTTCGTTTACTGCATGCAACGACTGATCCTCCGAATACTGTGAAATGACCGTTTACGTAGACCCATCAAAAAGTGCAGCAATGTCATCTTCATAAAGCTGCAGAATAGGTACCCTAGCTAGTGTCCCCTTAATAGTCCGGACAAATGGCTTGTCCTTCCGAGCAATTATTGTCAGTTTCGGTTCCAGTTTGAGGAGACTCGAATCACTGATTTTGGAAAGGTACGGTTCTAAGCTCTCAAAGAAAGAACGCCGCCCGCTTTCCGTGTCGACATCGACCCCGTCGTTTGTAATCTCAAGGAGAAGGACTAGATCGGAGCACCCGTTGCCTCCTATCAAAGCAGCCTCTACACGCGGGTGTTGCTCAATCTCCCGCTCAAACGAAGAGACAAAGTATCCCTTCGCGTCGGTGAGGGAAACGAAGTCATCCATCCGGCAGACAATCTTCCAGAGCCCCTTACGAGTAGGGTGCTGAATCCACAAATCCTTGGTCTCAAATCTCTCCAGTTCAGGAAATGCAATAAAAATCGGCTGCATGACGCATTCTGGTCGACGGACAAACACCATTCCATAAAAGTCATCAGCCCGATGCTCAAACTCGACGCCTGCATGTGGCTGGAACTTGAAGTAATCCCAGTCCTCTTTGTCGTCCGGCCGTGTCTCGGTGAAATGGTGTCCTGACTCGGTACAGCCAATAAGAGGGGCTAACTTGGTGTCAGAGATTATTTGATTCCCCAGGTGGCGCGCTAGAGGAGCGCCGGCATAGTGGACATATTCCAGGCTTTTCAAAGCTTCTACGCCATCCGTGAAAGACAACATCTGACTCAACAGTAGCGGTGTGCATAGAGCACCGTCCGCACGGGCATAGCGCAAGATCTTCGCCACGTTTTCTGGGGATTGGTCGGGAGGTGGAAGGATGGCTGTCATGTTGATGAATGGGGGGATGAAGAGTACCATTACCATCCCCACATACTACCACAGCGTTGTTAGTACACGAGACAAATGCTATTAAACCAGACAGAGCTCAAAACTCACATGTAATGTTGGCAAGTGTGTATACCATCGTTTGTTGGCGTATTGATGAATATGGCTCTCTGCGACATCTGGCAAGCTTGCTGGAGCCTCTAGATTGGCCACCATTCGAAATGTATGGGTTAGGAGGGCCTAGGTGAATATTTATTGTGATTAGACGGTCCCTCTCCTGATGAACGAAAGAAAATCGGCTCACCTGTTGTGCCAGAGCTGTGAAATACTAGCCACGGGTCATCCTTCGCGTCATCCCAGGGTTTGGTGTATTCAATTGCAATCGGCTCCTTGTCTCGGAATAAGTCATCGAGACTTGGGGCAGCCATGTATTGAATTTCAGGTGCATGCTCAAGCGCTGCTTTGATGTCCTTGGCTACATGCTCTGTGCTCAGGTAGACTTCGCACTCTGCTTTTTGAAGCACGTACGCATGATTCTCTGGCATCATAGACATGTTAGGAAGAACCAACTTGGAATTCTGTTAGCCGAGAAAAGGAAACGGGAAATCAGCAGACATACCTTTTTCTGTAACTTTGAAGATCTTTAGGTCCGGCATATGCAAAACATTGAAAAGACCGCGAAGATGGAGGCAGATTGTGCAAAAGCCACTGTGCCGCATGATTGGCCGCATCGTTCAATTGTTTGAACGTGATATCTCTATACCCTTCGGGACAAATTTTCATCGTCAACCGGGATCGAAATCCACGAACTGTTTGGTTCGTCACGCGCTCGCTGTTCAATCACAGATATAATGATGCGCTTTCCATGCTGGACGCCGGGAAAAGGCAGATGCGTAGACTTTGCGGACATTTTAGGTTTTCTGGCGCAGACATTGAATGGAAAGTGCGCTGCTTAATTTAAAGCTTCCACAACCACTAGCTCAGGTCCGACGATCGACATTATTGCGTCCTAGCTACCTAAATCAGGGAGCGATCTTGCCGATCGCATGAACCAAGACCCTCATCGCGATACAATCTGGTTTTTCTTTTGAACCATTGCATCATCGTATTAGGTGGGCTGAAATTATGGTGCCAACTTGCCGATCGCGTTCCCGTCGGCCCTTCCTATCTTCGCAATACTAGATGCGCCGTGAGATATCAATCCCATCTTATGCAAGAAATAATTATTGAACTTCGTCTTGATCCGCCTTTGAAACAATCGCTAGTCATGGGACTGGAATTCGGACAAAGTGAGATGTATTCCATTTAGCTGCAATTGTCTAAATTTAGAGGTAAAAGGATTGACAGTAATCGAGGAAACGATCTGCGGTGTTCGTGTGTGTTCGTGTCAATGGTAACCTTCAGTGGTATAAAATGGTGGACCAATTTCAACACGTGATCTGACTAATACAAAGTAGCCCAGTCACGTGGTGATCGGCACTAAATCACGTGCATCTGGATCCTCAGCGGCCTCTAAGATAGAATTCAAAGCCTTTCTCTATGACAACGAATAACATCTCTAATTATCAATTTCCTCTATCTCTAAAAAGAACCCGAAACCTTAAAACAGCCATACGGAGTACTAACTATGGTGATCCCCATCTAGCGTCCATCATCCGGTCGTCGCCGCTTAAGACGACTCGGCTGCAGGCGGCTTTATACGGCTATAGGCGGCCTCGGCCGGTTTCGGGTGGCTTCAGGTGCTAGATATTCTCCGTGATAGGAAACCTTGTTTTCGCAATGCAAGAACAGCCACCACTTGTGGCTTTCCTTTCTACTCCTACTGTTCTCCCCTTTCGCTCTTACACCTCTTCAAATCTCTTCCACCTTCCTAACATTGCTCCCTTGCTCAAGTCGACTGCAACTATGACTGGAATGTGGTGAAGCTAGGCCACTTTGATAGCCTGGAAATCGGGGCGTTTTGCCACTTTGAGAAAGCAATTATAAGCGTGCACTAAGCCTTTTTGGCAATTCTGTATTGACTTCTTGGCATATTTCCGCATGATAACAAGCCATCCCCTAGGCTCCTAAAAGGAACCGAGGCCCTATCAAGGTAATGCGTGTAGGTAGTTGGACCCATTTATGTTGTAGGGGTCCAGAGGGAGTCTTAAGCCGGGATGTGCATACGAGGTATCGAATTCCCGAGATAATTCTTGACCCGCTAAAAGACATGTAGCTGGCTATAAGGGGAATCTTCAGTAAATAAACAACACATCTTAGCACTTTCCACTCACCATTGAGAGTGTGGATAAGACGCCGATGCTCGTTCTCACCTATACCAGAAAGGCATTGATATACTCGTGCATGTCTTCATCTTCTGATATATCAGTAGCTCAGGAGTCAGGGGAAGAATGATCGTGTTAGTCTTGCTGCAGCAGCCACTTCTGAAAGGGGTGATGGGTCACGTGGTAACTGTATGGCGACATCTTCGTTCTCGGTTTGATATTCACATCTGTAATTATGACACCACAAGAAGGGGCGGGTGCGTAATAGATAGGGAGAGATGAAGGATGAGAGCGGGTGAAATTATCCACAACAGTCGCGCACTGACCCTCTCTGTTGATTGCCAGATACACTCATTCGCTTGGCATCTGCACAGAACAACCTCTCTGCCCAGCCGCGGAGGTAACTAGTTAGTTAGTTATTGCCGCCTTCTTATGTCATCAGTAGTGGCATCTCACAACGTAGTCAAGGGTTGTATCCTTCCAACCGAAGACCCTTTTTGTATATAACGAGCTACAATATACAAAGTTTCCCCATGATGGAGCGCGGGCGGGGCCTCCTTTGACGCTACGGTCTAGAGCATCACAGCTTAAGACCGAAGCTAGAAGTGACCCGTTGCCGCTAAACATACGCATACTGTCCCTCTTGACTACGTAAGGCCATCAAGACAATGAATAATACCAAAGCAAATATGGACAGCCCTATATTACGATTCATTTATCCATTGCGGAGTCTTAGCCGCAGGTTCAGCCGGTGGAAACTAATCAACATGGTTCACTAATCCGATGGTTTGATCCAACGGGGCGTAAAATGTGTTCTAACGGGGCGTAAAATGGTCAGAGAAACTGCTCGAGCGCGGGAATCAAAGGAGTCGCCGTCTTGGCAAATGCGGTTATCTCATCTGCTGGCCAATGGTGAGAGGCAATACAAGCCGACGTTGCCTCCAGAGCTATTCGGGGCATTGCATGATAAAGATAACAAAGATAAGGAAGCCAATTCGACCCAATGATGGATATTTCCCGGGGCCCCGACGTCTTCCTTCAGGTGTACCTCATCAACGTCGCCGATCCGAGGAATAGGCAACCAGTTCCTTCTGTTGATAGGACAGCACGTTAAACTCCCCTCCCATAGCCAATCGCCACCAGACCGAGAGATGTACTTCGGATCCTCCGTATAGGGGGGGGGGCATGTACTTTTGGCTTTCTATAGTTCGCCACTTGGCAGTTTCAACTCGATCGAAACCTGATAACGTTAGAATATAAATTGCAATGTCCCCAGATCTTCTCTCGGGGCATTCGTTGCAACAGCGATTTTTTTCTTCCTTACCTTCTATCTCTCATCTCGGGTCTCGCACCCATTGACACGATGTCGGGAGTTGAAAAGCCTTTAAGCGACACCAAAGGTGTCCCAAGCAAAGATGCCGAGGAGACAATCGTAGGAGAAATCTATGAGGATGGCGTCGACCATGGCGCAGACTCTGGGCTCCAACGCCAGCTGGGATCTCGACATATCAGTATGATTGGTCTCGCTTCGTCCATTGGTATGGGCCTTTGGCTAGGATCAGGAACATCCTTGAAAAATGCTGGTCCGGCTGGTATTTTCTTGGGATATATCCTATCTGGCACCATCATTTGGAGTGTCAGTCAGAGTATAGGAGAAATGGCGATCATGTATCCCCTTCCTAGTGCTGTGAGTTTGGTGGCTTCTCTCTTGTCGACTGATCATGACTGACCCGGCCCCGCTAGTTCGTGCAATGGACTAATATATTCGTCGATGAATCCGCCGGTTTCGCGCTCGGTTGGGCTTACTGGTTCTCTTACTGGATCACCATTGCCAACGAGGTACAAGGAGCTATCACAGTACTCAACTTCTGGACAAGTGCCGTCCCCACTGCCGCTTTGATCACTATATTCTGGTTCGTTATTGTCCTGATGAATGTTGGAGCGGTCAAATGGTTCGCCGAGATCGAAGTCGTGGCTGCCGCAATCAAGTTCGGCTTCATCTTCGTTGTAATCATCTCCGGCATTGTTCTTTCCGCTGGCGGTGGGCCCAAGGGAGGTTATCCGGCGAGACCGGGAGGCACTATTGGTTTCCAGTTTTGGAACGAGATGGCCTTTATCAATGGTTTCAAGGGGTTCATCTCGGTTATGCCGACATGTATCTTCGCCTTGTCTGGATCAGAAAATGCTGGTCTAGTCGCCGCAGAGACCAGCAACCCCCTTCGATCTGTGCCCAAGGCTGTCAGGTCGATCTGGGTGAGATTGAGCTTGTTCTACATCCTAGGAAGTTTGATCGTCACGATCAACGTCAGCCCAAAGGACGAAAATCTGTTCGGTGCATCTGGTACCAATTCCAGTCCCTTCGTCATCATGTATAGGAACACTGGAGTGGCTCCTCTAGCTCATATTATGAACGCTGTCATCCTCGTCTCTGTCCTCTCCACTGGTGGTATCTCTGGATACGCTGGGTCCAGAGTACTCGTTGGTCTCGCGCAACTTCGCATGGCCCCTAAGGTTAGTCTGGTTCTTTTACCCGCCCGAGAGCACTGCTGACAAAATGCGAATTTTCCGTGTAGGTTCTACAGAAGACCGATAGCTGGGGTCGTCCATGGTGGGGCCTTGCGCCTACTCTCATCATCGGAGGTGGGCTGGCCTACCTGAACGTCAGCAACGGTGGTGCTACCGTTTTTGGCTGGTTCTCCAACCTGACCTCTCTATTCACTCTCTTCGGATGGGGCATGATCTGCCTGTCACATATCCGTATGCGTGCTGCCTGGAAAGTTCAAGGCCGCTCTGTCGAAGAACTTCCTTGGAAATCAAAGGTCTTCCCTTGGGCTGCCTATTGGGGCCTGTTTTGGTGTGTAGCACTTATCATCATCGAGTTCTATCTGGCCGTGTCGCCTTTGGGTGACTCACCCAGTGCGGAGAACTTCTTCGCCAATTACCTCTCTGTGGTGGCTATTATCATCCTTTATATTGGCGCAAAGATTTACTACCGCGGTAGAAGATGGAACAAACTCGAAGATATCAACATTGATGCTTGTAGGAGGTTCTATGCACCACGGGATGAGGAGGGGAAGAATGAGAAGAGCTTCGCCAAGAAGTGGCTCAAGTTTCCAACCAAGAACTGACCAGCCTATGGGAGGTTATGTATAAATCCACTCCATTGTTAGGTATTTTAGTCAGATTTCATTTTTCCAAATACATATGTTGTATATTTTACTGAACTCCACCTAATTTATTTTGGGTTTTGTTAATTCGACCCCGCCTGCCCCATATCTCAGGCATAAACTGACCGCCTACTAGAACTGTTCACCGCCTTCCTGGCCGCTTTGCCTACGATTTGCATGTTTGCTTGCTTATTGCTGTTTGTATGTTTGCTAGATTGCTCAGCGAGAAGGTTACCATATAAGCAAGCCGCTTCGTTGGTGGTTCAATCCCCAATATATATTGCAAGTTCCGTTGGGTAAATACGACTAGATTGCAGAATCGCCTCAACTGTTGAATATTAATAAAATGTTGCTTCATGCACACTTTAACCAAGAAAAATGAGAACCGATTTCACCAATCATCTAGTTCGAATGCTTAATTTCGCCCAGCTAGAGCAAAATCCAACCAGTGAGAACGTATTGCCTAACTATAACAAGACGAGTTGATAGCCTGGATTATGAAGAATGAAGAGTTAATGCTACGAGTACTGAGCGATATAGGGTGCACATTCTTTATTGCATCATTAAAGTTACAACCAAATGCAAAGCGTTACTAGACCGAGAGCCTTGAACGGCTGTGCCTGTGACCCCAGCGAGAATGCCCCAGCTTAGCAGCATCATTTTTCTCGACAACTGATTTAATCCTCTGCTTCATCCCCCTTTGCTCTCTCGGAAACATGATGAACCTGACTTGCCCTCCTTAATTCCCGATCAAGTACCTCAGTCAACCGCCCAAGCAACCACTGAACCTCACTCGTTTCGGCAAGCAAAGGATTTTCCTTATCAGTCCAACTCCACTCTCGTGCTGCTTCCGCCTGTCCATCATCGGCTTCATCTCCAAGAACATTGGGTTTATTATCTCCTGCAATCAGACTCATATAATATTCCCATTCTAGATAGTCGAATTTCCGGGATGGAGTGTTGCTGGCGTACTCAACCATTTTGCGTAGCTCTCGGAAGAGCAGGTAGATGTACTGGTGGATATTTTCGGCTTGCTTTTCTTCCTTGTTTTCTTTGAAGTCGAAATGATTGCCGTTCTCTTTATTGGGATCTTGATTTTCGCCCGTCGTTTCTTCCATCCACCATCTGACCCAGGAGATGTGAGTCAGTGTCTTAAGCCTGTCCACGAAGGATTGGTCACCCGGTAGAATAGTGAGCTCGCCAATGAATAGCGTAACGTCACGGATAAATCGGATAGCGGTATCGCCAATATTGGAGATGAGAATGGTAATCGTAGGAACGGCAAGCAGGGACCAAAAAACGAAGAAGGATTTACCCAAACTACTGATCGGATACAAATCTCCATAACCAACTGTTAGAAGACTGGTATATGCAAAGTATAGAGCCTCAAAGTACGACCATTTTGCGTTCGACTCCGAGCGCCAGAAAACCACACCCCCGATCAGCCATATCGTCATCCAAAGCAAAAAAGAAACCAAGAGCGAGAGCCATTTGTGTTGGACGTTTGCCAGCTTGCACATCTGACGCATGGCTATAAATCCTCGTTTGCGCCGCTCCCGCTCGCTGCGGCCTTCCGCTTTGGCACTCTTCTTCCCGAGCGAGGGGATAATACTTTTAGCACCAGAACGGTCCGAGAAGGCTTCTCTGAGTAGGTATTTGCGCATTTGTGCTCTCAGCATGTTGCCAATCTTTTGCTTGCCATTTTCCAACATAATGACGATGTCGAGTCTGGAAGTATGGTAAATAGCTGATGCAGGTCGTGAAACACTATGTCATAGATGTTCAATAGCCGTTTGTCAACCCATGGCTAAGCCTTACTCAAGCCAGTTCATGTTTGTGCCTTCTGATCACGAGGCGGTAGGAAGTGTGCTCTGAATTTGTGACCACGGAACAGATTGCCTACATGTGAATAGGAGCTGTTTCGCAGATGTGCTATCGTACATTCTACTATTGGTCATAAAAGCAACTTGTGGATCTTTGAAGCGGTAGATCATTCTCAATATATATCACGAAAGCTTTCAAAAATACTAATTAATTAGCGTCTTCATAAGATATTCCCTCATTACGATTTCTTGACCAAAATCCTCCAGGGTTCTACAGCTATAGAACCCTCTACCTGCTTTGTCTCCTTCTCCTCAACACTTTGCTTTAGCCACCCAGCTCTCCACGCAAGAAACAGCATCCAAAGGCGACTTCTTATGCTCTAAAAGAAATGAAAGAACTTCTGCCGGGCTGAATACTTGCTCCAGCACCTTGCTGTGAGATGAAAAGAAAGGGGGTGGCGATGAGTGCAAGATAGAGGAGTTGAAGCGCAGGTAAGAGAGAGAGAAAGGAAGTCGAAAGGGCACAGCGGGCTTTCGTGCCAGAGAAACAGAACGAGGTATGGGGGGCGCTAAGCTTAAAGAGGTAAAACTAACCGCATATGGTAATTCACAGGTCCGGGTATTATATCTAGAATCTGAGGTGATGGAAAATATACAGCGTATTTTACCACCACAAAAACCAAGGGTTCCTGTTTAAGGCCTAGTGTGGCCATATTCCTAGTTCGACACACCATGGGATGGCGATTCGTCGGAATTCTATGTATAATTTTTGTGCATACATAACTATACGGTTGACAAATGGATTTTTGAGTCACTTCCTTTTTTAGTCAAATGATCCAAGCATTCATCTAGGTCTTCATAGGTGCCTTTTAGGATGGGACAAGGGTAACAAATAAATCGTACGCTTCGGGCCTCGAACCAACGACCAGTAGCTCAGGGCACTTAGAACGAAGCCGGGCTCATAACTGATGGAAAATATGTTGAACGAAAAGAAGACTGTTTTATGGCAGAAATAGGATCCTGGAGAATCGTGGTAATGCGAGTGTATTGGTCAAATTCAGGGGCAGAAAAATCTCTAACTATGTTGTAAAAACAAATGGTCCGAATTTTACAATCTTATGAACTCGATGACTAAGCAAAATATAAAAAATAGACCCGAAAGCCCTCCGACATCGATACATACTCGCATTAAATGCCTGGTATTGGAACACTCCCGGGTGGCGCACCAGTCATGGCGATAACGGCAGCAGCACCACCTGACACGGCAGACTTCGGCGACTTTGTGAGCACTGAAGATGAGGAAGTTGACCTCGAAGAGGTTGTCGAGCCCTGGCATAAGTACGATATGAAGGAAACTCCATATGTCTTCTATCCTATTTGTGTTGGAGAAGTGCTCAATGAGAGATACCTGGTAGAGCATAAACTCGGCTTTGGCGGATTCTCTACTGTCTGGATGGCCTATGACCTTCAGGAAAAGAGGAATATAGCCCTCAAAGTCATGTCTTCGGGGGAATGTAGAGATTACGAAACCCGCATTCAGGACGAAATCGTTCAGAATATATAGGATACCTCTTACCTTGTGACATATTTGGCGACCTTTCTACTCCCTAGAAACAAGTGTTATCATAGGGTTCTAGTGTTTCCCCTGATGGGTCTATGCCTTGACGGAATTATCCTGGGAAAGATGTCTATGGCCACTCACATATCCGCTGCTCGGCAATTGCTAGAGGCCTTGGAAATTTTACACAAAGCCGGGATTGTATACCACGGTGAGTGGAATCTGCCTCCTACTCTCTTCCCTATTGGTCCGTATTCTAATCGATATTCGACAGATCTGAATGAAAGGAACTGTATGTAGGGGATGGTACCTCTCTACAATCTCGATAGGAGTGCTAAATACGAAGCACTCGGTCGGCCACTAAAGGAAATCATACCATGTATCGACCTCTGGAAGCAGGGAGAGCTTGTTCGGTCCGTTGAGGTCCCTGAGAACTTGCGTACAGAGGAATTCTATCTCAGTGACTTTGGTCTGGCGATGAAACTTGGTGACCCTATAACTCAACGCGGCTATCCGCCTATGCAATTTTGCTCACCAGATCGTCTTCATAGGAAACATCCAAGTTTTGCCTGCGACATGTGGAGTTATATGGTTATCTTTACAGAGCTTTACCTTGGCTACCCGCCTTTCCATTCCTTGCTTGATGGTGGAATAATAACTAGTCTCGTCAGATGTTTGGGTCCACTACCTGAGGAGTGGAAGGACTTTTATACTCACCCCGGACGCCTTGATTCCTGGTATGATCAGCGTCAAACGCCTGATCCAAAGCATGATCTTGCATCAACAATTGCATACTTTCGTCCCGACGCTGATCCAACTGAGCGAAAACATGTTGTGGTGGCCATGTGCCGATCATATGCCGTTGCCTGGTTTGCCAGGCTTCACCTAGCTATTTAGCTAGATCTCGATCGTTTGTAGGAATCAAACCTTCTATATATCTCTCTTACCGCTCTAAGAGGTTATGGGCCCTCTCTCTATCCCACTAGCATTGTCCTCCCTTTGCTAAATTCATTAATACTTAGCTACTAAAAGGGCGCTGTAACTCGCCTTATAAGCGGTTGCAGGTTCTAGTACCCGACTCGCCTTATAAGCGGTCATAGTACTGGTAATTCGCCTTATAAGCGGTTATAGTAGCTCTATATGGCTCGCCTTATAAGCGGTCGTCTATAGCTTAAACAGCTTGCCTTATAAGCGGCTGCCTAGCTCTATACAGTTCGCCTTATAAGCGGCTGTTACTTTTAGTTAATATAGCTACTCCCCCTATAGATAAATAGAGTACCCTCCTTAGTAAAGAAGAATCTATTACCTAAGTAAGTAGACTTCTAGATCCCAGTATATTTAAACTTTACAAATTCAAAGAGATACTTAAGAATAAAGATAACTTCGAAATATAGTTTAACTAAATCAATTAATATCTTAAAAGCCAAGGTCTCTAATATCTAATCGACTAGAAGATACCCTACCCTTCGAAGACAGCTAATAATATAAGAAAATAGTAATAACTATTAATTTAAATCACTAGATACCTTATTACTAATATATTGAATAATCTTATATAGTAGGTTAGGTCTTAAGGGGTATACGTTAAACTTACCAATAAATTTATAGAATAGACTATTAAGCTATTCTAGGGCTAGGGTTTTTATACAATTAATAAAGTATTCTAGAACCTTATTAAAACTAAGAAACCTAGCTTTAGTATAACTATAGAATTTATCTAAGTAATTTAATAGCATTTTTTTGTAGTAAATAAACTTAGTATCGTTAGAGTACTATATATTATAATAATAACTCTTTTTAAATAACTTAATAGGGAAGAGTACTTCCGTTATTTTCTTACCTCTTACTATAAAAAGCTTAAAGTAAAGGATAACCTATCGACTTCAATTATAGCTAAAGACTTCTACGAATATTACTCTAAAATCCTATAATATATAGAGCGAAACGTTAAAGATAGAATTATATATAGAGTAGTTTATAACCATAACTTCAATAAATCCAAATTAAATAATATACTACTAAGAGGAAAAACCGTAGAATCCTATATAGCTAAATGGAAGACCTGTACTATAAGTACTAACGGTAACTGTATTTACTACAGTAATATAGGCCATTTAGTAATAAAGTGCTACTATCTAAACCCCAATACTCACTCTCCTAATTAGAAACCACGTTTAGGCCTATAGTATTACTAATAGAGGGGATCTCGTTTCTAGGATTTAAAGACAGAAATTGGTGGAAATAATAATCAAGGGGTAGGTGCAATTATAGTAGTAGGATACGATTTCGGAGGCTAGGTATTTAGCCTGAAGGGGTGTATTGTGGTGGCTATATACCGATCATATGCTGTTGCCTGGTTTGCTAGGCTTTACCTAGCTATTTAGCTAGATCTCGATTGTTTGTAGGAATTAAACCTTCTATATATCTCTCTCACCGCTCTAAGAAAACATGTGCAATCCGTTATGTCCAGGGTATTTAATTACTGCCCAGAGAAACGTCTGACCGCTACGCAGCTTCTGCGGGACCCGTCATTCAGAGCTATTATGGACAAATATGGTTGTTGATATTATGTTCTCTCGACTTCCTGTGCTTCGTTGCTCTTTCTTTCTTACCTGCACTGGGTGTTTGTTTGCTTGTAATTAAAACCATTGTTATCCTTATGAGCCTCAATATCGAGTATTAGGCCTAGATTCTCATATAAACCATGGCGAATAACATAACTGTAAACCATCTCACTCATTTACAATAGGTTAAATGTTATTATATGCCAGGTTCTCTTTAGCAGAAGAAGTACATTGCTAACGAAATATCAAGTATAAAGAAGAAAAGAAAAGAAAACAAAATGTAAAATAATAAACGGGTCTTTATACCCCTTTAGGGGCATAACCCTATCCTCGCTTATCCTAGATAGAAGGTACGATTGCCTTATATAAATAAGAAGGAACGACCAACGGTACAATCCTAAACGGGAAGGTACGAGTTCTTTAGGTACTAATTGTAATATAACCCCTAGGCGAGAATACATTTAGTCCCTAAATACTGGCTTCTTATTATCTATATAGTCGTCTAATATTCGATTATCCTATACGGCCTCGATCTATTCTTATAGATATATTAGCAGTCTAGGCTTCGCTAGATAGGTATTATAGAATTCCTTAATTATTTCTAGAGTATTCTTAAAGTTACTAGCCAGGTACTATATAGGATCTAGGTTATATCCTAACTACTATATATAGTACTATAGCTTCTTATAATACTTCCTTATATCTAGGATCTTTTTAACTTCCTACTTATTAGTCTATCCTACCTATATTAGAGGTAGCGGATCTATATATTATCCTATAAGTAGTTCTATACTCGCTACCTTCTATAGCTTACTTAGGTTAAATATTAGGTAGATATTAATTAATAGTAGTAGTTCTAACTTATATATATTCCTAACCTTTTCGATAATCTTATAGGGTCTACTAATTATATAGGAGAGTTTTCGACTTAGATAATCCTATAGCTAATCCTTTATAATAATAAAGACTAGGTCGCTAATATCGAAGTCCTCTTTATAATAATAATAATTAGCCTATTATATTTATAGTTCCTATAACTTCGTAATTTATTTATATATATCTTCCTAGATTTATTATAACTTTAAGAGTTGATTAGCTACTTCTTATTTATTATATATTAGTCCTATATAATTCTAGTTAAAAGATATTATTAGTTTATAATCCTATTTAATAAAGAAAAGGGATCTCTTTATTATATCCTATAGAAGAATTAATACTGTAAAATCTACTATCAGTAGGTATTCTAACCAATTGTCCTAATTATATTTAATATATAGTCTTAATCGCTATACTATAAACTGATTTATAATTTCGCTCTAACTATCTATCTATAGGTAGTATATAGTAGATAGTTTTTACTTAATCCCTAGGATTCTATAGAACTCTATCTAGAACTTTATCAGGACCCTAGTACTAAGAAGGCTAATACCTAAGGTATAAGCCCTATTATAGGGCGTAGAGCACCTATCCTAGGTATATAGGGGACTATAGACTAGATAAGAGTAATATATACTGCCTATACAGCCTCCTTAGGTTATATGACCTATAAACCTATATATTATCCTTATATACTACTTCTTTAGAGAAGCAGCTATTAGTTCTAATATACCCTATATATATCACTATCTCTATTTCCTAATCCTCTATTATATATAGTATTCCCTTAGGCATTCTATACCTAGGGGTCTTATAGTTCTAATAGCTCTTAAATACTTAGATTGCCTAATAGAGACTACCCCTTATTTATACTATATCGAATCCTTATAATATATAGTTATAGGGACTTCCTATAATACTATAGCCTAATAAATAGGCTTCAATTAATTAAACCCTTCCTCCTACTACGAACTATCCTCCTATAGATATCTTAGAATTAATATAGAAAACTACTATATTACTAGATCTAATACTAGCGTAGTACCCTATAAACCTATCCCTATTAATACTTAATTAACTAAAGAAATGAGTTAAAGAAGCTAAGGTAAGAGAGGAATACTAAAACCTCCTTATAGAATTAGAAATCCTAGAGTAAGCGAAGCCTCCTACTCTAATAAGTATAAATAACTATATTATACTATAGGTTATAGAAAAATACTATATTTATATACTAAGAGAGCCTATAAATATTAAACTATTCTATAGAAATATAACCTAGGAATACTATACCTTTATTAACTAACTTTAGTTATACTTTAATAAGTACTAGTAATAGTATAATTTCAGCCTATATAAGGTAGAGGCTATAGTTAAATAATTAGATAACTAGAGGAATAATAATTAGTAGTCTTATATAAAGATATTTAAAGAGCCTACTACCTACTACCTAGTAAGACTTCTAGGACTTCTACCTATATCTTATAAATAATCCTTAAAATATCTACTAAGATAGTATACTAGAGTATAGTACTCTATAGTAGAAGTAATATTAATCTATATAGATAT